TTTCTCAATTATTGAAAAAAAATAATAAGGTGTCTTTTGAATACAAACTTTGTGTGATTAAAGATGCATTTGTGTTGATTAAAGATGCAAATAACTTAGAAAAATTCTAAGTTCACATGAAAGGAAAAATTTAACTTTAAATTTGATGAAAAAAGAGTTGACTACAAACGAAGATATAAAGAAAATTCAAAGAAAAATCATTATGAATATTTCTTAAAGAAACTTAACGTTAAGGAGAAAAATAAAGATATAGATGAAAAAATAGTTTTCAACATTTATCAAACGGTTAACAGTACTTCTATGAAGTTTTGAAAGAAATAAAAAGGATGAAGTTGATAAAGAAAAATGTGATCTCATAGAAGAAGGAAAATGACAATAAGTACAAACAAAAAAGAGGAAGAATTCTGAACAAAATAAAAGAAAAAAATATATTTCAAACTCAAATAAACAGATATTAAAGCAAGATATTTTATATGGGATATACTTTATTAACAGATATCAAATTCATATGTATATATGTTTTATTATCTTTTTATTAGGTATTAGGATATTTTATTATCTTTTAACAAAAAAAGATAAAAAAATATTACGTTATTATTCTAATTTAGGCAGTTATTATTAATATTTGATATTTTATAATATTCTTACTCGATATATAGATAGAATACATGAATAAAGAGTATACACATATGGGATATATTTCATATATTAGAAATACGCGTACACAGAACAAAACAAAAAATTCATCATTACAAGACATTTTGTATTGGTGATAATGATTACTCAGAGATTATGAGTGTACCGCATCAAAAGGAAGTCTATATTTTCAAAGTTCAAGAAAAAAATAAGATCCAAAATTTAAGAATAACATATTTTTGGACTATGTTAACAATGTGAATGAGTATATATTATGAGATCTCACTACCCATAAGATTATTGTTAGCAAATATGTAAATATTATTTTTCTTCAAAATGAACTTGGAGATAAGATTGATATGTTCCATCAAGAAGACTTTAAAAAGGAAAAAAAAATCTTGGTTTATAGGTTAATCAAATCTCTATATGGTCTAAAGCGGATTCTCATATGTTGGTACAAGAGATTTAATTATTCATTATTAGTCCTGATTACAACAAACTAAGTTCATACTATTGTACCTGTTATAATAGATTTTGTGAAAATGATTTTATTATTTTATCATATTATATATATATATATATATATATATATATATATATAATATTGGTGGTAGACCGCAACAAAGCTCAAATCCAACTTTTGAAAGTACAATTGGTTAGAAAGTTTGATATTAAGAACTAGGGACCGACAAACAAGATTTTAGGGATACAAATTTAGTGAGACATAAAAATAGGAAGGTTTATTTTATCATAAGAATTACTCATTGAAGGTCTTGTGATGTTTCAAAATGTAAAAGTGTAAGCCAATTTATACCTCATTTTCTCTCAAGTAAGTTACCTCAAGTATGAGTCTTTGCAATGAAATAAAGAGGATGAAAATGTTTTAAGTATTTTATGCATCGATGGTGAGAAGTCTTATAGATATCATGATCTTACAAGATCAGACATTGCATAAGCAATGAAAGAAGTTAGTAGATTCATGACAAATCATGGTCGAAAAAATGAGTGTTATTAAGAGGATCTTTATCAAAAGAACCTTGGATGTTGCATTATATTTTAGAGGATTAAAATTAGTTTTTAGAGACATTGTTTGTTCAAGTTTTGTAGGTAATTTTGACGTGTTTACCCTTGTTGGAGAGGTGGTTATCCAAGTTACAGAATATTGAAGTTATGTTTAATAATACAGAAATTGAATACATGACAGTCACCTAACATGTGAGAAAGTTATCTCGATTAGAAAGGTTAATAGGGAAATTTATGTACAAGTTGTGTATTGTGATAATTAGTGTATATTATACATTACAAGGAATCTTGTTTTGCATTCCAAGGCAAATCAAGAAAAATCAAGATTCATTTGCATTCCAAGGCAAATCAAGAAAAATCTAATTGATGTTGTGATAGTCGATTAGTAGTACCAAGTTTATATGGCGTCAATCCTAATAAAGGTCTATTGAAAAAAAATAATAACATGGATGACAATAATAATGTACAATGAATATTTGATTAATTTAATCACAATCTTCAAGTAGGAGGAAGTAAGAAGAAAAATCTCAGGAAACTACATGTTGATACTTACTTTTTCCTTATAAAAGGAACACAATATTTCTTATAAATCAATTAAAAAACACTTTCTTCTCTTTTCTACTATTGTATTACAAAATAATTATGTTCTCTTATTTAAAAAAATATTATTATATTCTCTTTAAATTTAAATATAAGTATTATAATTTCTTCTAGTGATAAAATTTTATTATCATTTTGTCTATCGTTTCAAATTTTTTATTTTAATTATGAATTTTTATATTATTAATCATATTCCTAACATATAAATATTTTTAAATAAATTAGATACCAAATTATATTTATTATATTTTAATTTAAATGATATAAAAAGCTAATACAATCATCAAAAACACAAAAGTTAAATTACAGTTTTTAGTTAAATATATTATTTAAATTTATTATTTTAGTTATTACGAATTTTATTATTCCACCTAAATTAAATTCATACCATCTGATAAATTATTTGAGACCGGAAGAAATATATAAAGAAGAAACTATTTCGTTCATTTATAATTTCATTAATCAAATCCCAAATACAAAATTAAATATTTTTTTTATATAATAATAAATTTGAATAATAATAGTAAAGTTAATAAATATTTTAATGATAAAAATTAATAAAATTAAAACTAGTTTTCTGTTTGATATAATATTTTTTTCTCGGTTTCCATTATTTTTTGTGGTTCCTTATTTTTATTCATCCAAATAAAACAAAACATTTTTTTACGATTTTTATTTATTTATATGATTTCTATTTCTTTCTTCTCTTTTTAATAGTTTCCTCACTATTTCACTCTTAATTTAAGTAAATTTCATTATATTTCACTTTTAATTTAAATAAGATAATTAAACTCAACATTTAGATCATCCTCAATATCTCAAAATAAATATATTATAATGTTTATAACATTTTCATAATATTATTTCAATCCCATAATAATTATATTACTTTTTTCCTTTTTCTATATCATACTAAAAATTATAGTATACAAAAAAAAAAAATCAACGTTAGAAATTATATCGTGTCAACTTTACAAGAGTGATAGTCAACATTCATAATAAGGTGATTAAAAAATGTTGAAAAGTAGTATCCACACACTTACCATCTCAACAACAACAATTTCACTACAACTAAATACAATTCAACTATAAAAAATTCTCCTCCCGAAATTTCATAGAATTTTACAAATGAGTGTTTGGGTGTCTACGTTAGTTTTTCATAATTCTCTTTTTGTTTCATCGTCTTCTTATTTCATTAGCTGTTGACAGAATATCATTACATTCAAGAGAAATTTTACCACTAAAAATTTATCTTTATTAACATAACATTCCTTTTGAGTTTCAAAACAAAATAATTTATTGGGCAATGAGCAGAATGAGTTGCAGTATTCGATTTTAATTGTTAAACTCATCGTGACTTTGGGTTCCAACCTAATTTTGCATAGTAATTTATATTAGGGTTTATGATTTTGAGTTTATTTATATATAAGTTATAAGTATTTTTTTTTATAATCTATTATTTATTAAAAAGATATAACTTTTTCAGTACACTTATAATTTTATATTAAAAAAAATCTTATTTTTTTTGAAAAAGTCTAACACTGCATTTTTATTCTTATTTTGTTTAATCAAAATTACATGAATAATATTTCACAATTTAATTAATCTTTCCTTATTTAATGGATAGTTAAGAGATTATTTATGGTTCAACTCTTCACAACCTATTGGTTGATGGATATAATTCTTTTGGTATAAATAATTTATCTGTCGAGAATATTTTCGTTTGAAGATCTTGTTTGAAATATGTTTAACATGAATTCATTAAAATTCGTTTATTTTTCATTATTTTGTATTTAGAAACATATTTCTTTAGTAAAAACATCTTTTTTTAGCCATTTAATATTGTTAAAAAATGTTATTATTTATTATTTAAAACTTAGTGTTATCATACTTTTACAATAGTAGATTAATTTCAGTTTATATGAGCACGTATGGAAAGTTTGATTTTTTTTTCAAATAATTAATTTTAAAATTGAATCAACAATGATATGTAATTAGGTTATTGTACAAAACTATTTATTGGCCTAATTATTCATTTAAGTCTTTAACATTTACAAGAAAAAATTGAGTTGTCATATTGAAAAATTCTAAATTAAGTTGAGTGGAGGAGGAATAAACATTGAAAGGGACAAGAGAAAAATGAAAACTTGTAAACACGAGAGGTTGTACAGCAGATAGAAGTTCCAAAACTGAGGAAGCACGTTTTGATTTTGGTTCCACAATTGAATTTTGTTCAGGAATCTCTTCATAGAATATCTTGGAAGAACGATTGCAAGTTGTGTACTAGAAATACAGAATAGTCTGAGAAGCGCGTAAATGAAAGAGGCACGTGTACGGAGAAGAAGTGTTTTTGTTTATTTTTCTTAATGAAAACGTGAATCAAAGTTGCAATAACATTTGGAGGGACATGCCCTCCATGTGAAGGGTTGGCATGCTAGTACTTTCTTCAATAATGCATTATTTCTTTTTATTTGTAATAATAATCATATAATGTTTCGTTTTAATTACTACATTGAAAACAATGTTGCCCTTTTCCTTCCAAGTTTCCAATTTGCATATGCACCCTTCCCTGTACTAAACGACACAACTCTTCAAGTTGAGATTTTTCCGTCATCCAAATGCGCTATCTACCACACATTTACTACCCATATGAACTTTATTTTTTAGGGTGAAAAATAAACCACCTTTTTTGCTTCTTAATTATAATATTTGACAGAGAAGGTTAAACCACTCATGTTCACATGCCCCCACAGGCTAAGTCTTCTGCTTTACATAAAGGATCCTGCTTTTTATATTTAAATGTTTTGATTTGTTATGTGCTACTAAAACAATCTCTTCCTTCCAATCATCATCTGAAGTTACATAGATTATAGGGTCATCAAGGACTCTTCAGCATCTAAAAAGGGTATTGTTCTTTGCTTCTCTTCTTTCTCTTCAGCATTTCTTTTGTGTCATCTACTCAGCGATTAGCATTATTACTTTTCCTTGTATCCATGTCAATTTGTTCTGTTTGAAAAACCAATATGCTTGAGGTCTTTCTCTTTTCTAGTTTTTTCTTTTTTCCTGAGGAAGTAATTTCAAGTTTTGTTCAATGTTCTCAGTGATTTGTACTCAAAAGGCAAGGGACAGCCACACATAAGTTATCTTGAATCAGAAAAGATGCTGCTAAGAAGCTCTTCAACGCCGGTTCTTGGATCCCTTCTTGCTTCCTTCACAGATAGTCCTAACAACAATTTTCACTCAGAAACCAGCCATGCACTTAAACACTTTCCACCAACCAGTGTCCCACCACATTATCACAAACTTTCTCTCCACCAAACTGGGTCCTTCACTCTCCCTTCCTTCTCATGTGGTTCTTCTCCGGTCTCTCCCTCGATTGGTGAGCTTGGAAGGCAAAACAAAGGCTTTAGAAGGGTTCAATCAGATGGGAACTTGCAAGACTTAGTCTACTCTTCTTGCAACAATGAAGACATGTTGGATTTTTCAGATCCTCCCAAGAGGTTTTCAGCGAGGAACAGGTGCTTGGTGCTGGAGACCATTCCTTCCTTCTCTCTGGGCAAGCACAATGGCTTGCTTGTAGAAGAGGAAGATGAAGAAATGGAAAGTGAGAGTGAAGAAGGGGAGGAGAAGAGAGGAGAGGGGTTCAGTGTGATGAATGGTATAATATTGAGTGAAGCTGTGAAAGTGAATGATGGAGTTTGCAGGGTGAGTTTTAGTGAGCAGGAAGAGGTTGGCAGTGAAAAAGAAATGTATCTTGCAAAGGGGCTTGGGCTTGAGTGCTGTGGGGATGGCATAGGTGGCTGCGGAGGTGGTGGTGGTGGTAGTAGTGATCATAATCCCTTGGGTTCTGGAGGGAATGATGGAGATAGGCATGAAGTGGAAGAATATTACAAGAAAATGGTGAAAGAAAATCCTGGGGATCCATTGTTTCTGAGGAATTATGCTAACTTCTTGTATCAGGTTAGTTCTATTTCCTTGTGTTTCAAAATAATCTTAAATTTTTGAAAGGAGAAAGCTTAAATACTATTATTAGGTGTTATTTATATTTTTCTTTAATTAAAATTAGAGTTATACTTTGGTAATTTACATAATCTTTTAATACAAACCTTTATTACATTGACTTTTGAAACAAATCTCCAATTCTGATCCGAAACAACACAATCACATGTGAACAACTATATCTAAGATTTGCACCTGTTTAAATTCTCATCGTGGTGACCAAATTGTTGGGTTACAACATCTTTCAGAGGATCTGGTTGATTGAAAGTGAAAATGGTTTTGTTAGTGGGTGTTTTTGGTGATGATTTTTGTCATTTTACAGTGCAAACAGGATCGTAAAGGAGCGGAGGAGTACTATTCCCGTGCCATACTGGCAGACCCAAATGATGGAGATGTTCTATCACAGTATGGGAAGCTAGTTTGGGAGGTACACCACGACCAAGAACGTGCCTCCAGCTATTTTGAAAGAGCAGTCCAAGCCTCTCCTGAAGACAGGTATGCGTGTCATGTGCCACTCTGCAGACATTCACTTTATGTTATGTTGTTTTTTAGAGCTTCAGCTGACAATAGTACTTATGGTTTTATGATGACAGCCATGTACATGCAGCATATGCTAGTTTCCTATGGGACGCAGAGGAAGAGGAGGATGGTAGCAATGAACCGCAGTGTTTGCCGCCTCATCCTCATCAAGGAGCTATGGCTACAGCAGGTGCTTGAGTGGCTTATCATCATGTATTGAAATTATTGTATTGAAGCCAATGTTGTAAGGGTCGGTTCTGTTGAGAAGGCTGTACATTCTATTAATAACACAAACGCATGATCTGTAGCTCATAGTTTTGCGCAAACTAATTACTTCATCAACGTCTACTGATTCATAACACGTCTTCTTCGGTACTAGTAATTATATGTGCATCAATGGCACTGCACAACTAAAAGGACATTGACACACACACGAGGGAATTAAGATGGAAGGTAATGAGCAAATGGTCCAAACAGCCTGCTTGAAACATATACAACGACCAAGAAACAGATTCTAGAAGACCTCAATCTGAACGCAACTTTGAAAGACGATAATGGCTGAGGAAAATGTAGTTGCAGTATTAGAGAATAACGTCATGCTGTTAAGGGTCTTGACCTGTCTCTAGAAGGGAGCGGGACCAATTGAATGCTGTGGCTAAATAGCTAGCACAATATTTTGCTTCCACATTGATGGTCTAAACGAAAACCACTTTCTATTTTGATAAATCATGCTACCCACAAAAAATGAACCATATAAACTTATTCATAGAATATTATGGAACTTTATGCACAAACTAAAAAAAAATAAAGAGCATATAGTGTGTTGAATAATATTTAGCATGTATATTACTCAAAATAACTATATTTTTGTATAAAATTATAACTAATATTCTAGCCTGTAAAACATGAACCTCTTACTAAGAATATGAAAAGAATGAGAACTTCATTTTCGAAGGTAGATATTTTGATACTAATAATCAAATCACATATAAATCTACTTCCAGAAGATGCCGTCAGATATCTTTCATTGCTTGAAATAGAATTTATCTATCATAAATTGAATTTTACATATTCAAACAGAATCACTATCACGAGACCCTGTATAACAAGAAGCTTTTGAATTTATTTGGGTTTTCCAAATAATAGACAAATGTAGAAAAACATTCTTATCGTTGGAGTTGTTTTCAAGTAAAATCAATCATTTAATGACAAAATTTGGTTATCTTCATGTCAACAATGCCCCAAACTAAAAGAGAAGAATCATAAGATTCCCATGGAACAGCTAAACAAGTTTTATCGAAGACACGAGCCGATGCACACATAAATGCATAGCAACATCTGACAATTAAGCACAAATTCTATTGATGTCTAAACTAAACTACTATCTTACTTTCAACACCCCTTCTGATTAAAAAGGCCGCCACAATCCAAACATGGAACAATACAAACAACCAAAACTTCCCACCTGAATGGCATACTAAATAACATTCAAGGGGAACCAACTGATCTATGCTTGCAAAACAAACTAGTTTAAGTCTCAATGGCTTTTACTTGAAAAAGACGCACCCAAAACGTAAGACTACTTTATGTGAAACCACAGAAGAAAATGTTCCTCAGAAAAATACCCACACCACAGATTTCACTAATTGTATAAGCTCCATCAACGGCATCTTCTGAGTCCATGCTTTGACACATTTTCCTCATCGTGATCCACGCTGAAGATAACCATCGCTTCTTAGTCTGGAGTAGTCTGAATTATCCTGATTAATTCCCCTTCCCATGCTCCTAGCACCAAAACGCCCTCTTGGAGCATCTGCTTGATAACCGCCTCTGCCTCTTCCCCTTCCTGATCACCGAAAATCAAAAGGAAATTTATGTCAATATAAGCAAATCAATTTTTATTTTTAACAGAGAACACTGCAGAACTGAACACTAAAAGTATAAAAAACTTATGTACATATATTATGCCTCTTCCAAATTAATTTATTAATATATATTTAGAGTCTATTTGTACGAACTTCTTCATAAACATTTCTATGAACAATTTTTTTCGTATAACTTTTATAAAATTTGATAATTAATCTGCACGTAAGTTAATTATTGTTTATGGAGAACCTCCTTTTATCTGCACATAAGCTTCTTTCATTTTTGTTTCTTATTTTTATCTCCCAGAAGTATTTAAGGTTTCTCCAATCATACGTGGACAATTTTAGTGATAAATACCAACTCCTGTCACAACAGGTTCCCTAGCATGAACAACCATAAGGCTACCACTCGGATGACTAATGTTATTGCACATGTATTTATTAGGAGCACTCCGACGCTAGCAATTGCAGCAAGCAACAAACACCTTCCAAAGATTTAACCAACATAACTTGAGAAGCTAAATCCTTTGAAAGAGTAAGAAATGAAAAGTGAAAATGTAGTAGAACATTACTTCCTCCCCGCGCAGCACCAACACTGTTTGGCCTCCGCTCCTCTATGTATACTTGTCTTCCAGCCAATTGAATTGGAGAAGCCTACAAAAAAGTATAACGAAGATAGATAATAACCAAAGAACCATGTTAAAAATAAAATGAGAATAAAAAATGGCCACTGTGCTCAAAACAAGACAGTTGAGTAAAGCAGCATTAGATTATTTTTTGGGGTAAACTAAATTCACTGCCCTCCGCTTTAAATTTAAAAAGTAGACCCCTTTCCTAAGAGATAAATATACATTACAATTTAGTTCATTCTAATATCCACAAGCTTTGTTAAAGACATTTTTTCACTCTGATTTTCAGCATCATTAACAACTAGTTTCAAACTCCTACTCTGAAACATTAGAAGATGAAATGAAATCCAAAGCCAATATCAAATGTTCTGTTTAAAACTTCAATTCATCTTCTAAAGTTCTAAATCAAATGCAAGTGACAACCATAGTCAAAGAAAAACGAAAATGACCTTGGAAGGCTGGTTAATTGATGTTGACCACCCTTAAGAGGCTCATTTACATTAAAATGAATTCATCTAGCATATTCCATCTTTGAAGGAGAAGTGCAATTTTTTTACATTAGTGTAAAAACTATAGCACTATTAGATGTTGACCATCATTAAGAGGCTCATTTACATTAAAATGAATTCATATAGCATATTACATCTTTGAAGGGGGAGGAGTGTAAATTTTTTATATTAGAGTGTACTAACTTTAGCACTACTAGGAGAGATGAGCGCAACTTACCTTTATATTATTGACAACAAGCTTAAAATGCATAAGAAGTTGATACTTGATTTTACTTGCACAAAAATTCTACTAATGAAGCTATACTCATGTTTTTCTTAAACACAGTAAAAATAAACCATGGAATTGATCCAGAAAAACACAAAATTGACACAAAACTAGCCAATTAACTCCAAAGCCATGTGAACATATTTGATATTGACAAAACCAAACAAAGGAACAGAGAATACCTACAGTCAAGGAATACAAAAAACGATGTTACAGACTTTCTGTGGCAGATACAAAAGTCAACTAAATCAACAACAAAAAGATTCAGAGATGTTCAATGTGATTTTCTGCTTATTAAGGTACCTAATAACATAGATTATCAAATAAATATTGGGTCTAATAAGAAAAAACAAAATAAAATAAAATAACCACAAACCTGAAGAGCATTTTGAACACCAATGATGTCTTCAAATTCCACAAATGCATAGCACACTCCAATTTCCTGAACATGTGAATTTTTACTTTAAATTTTCTATTTCTAATGGACTGATATACAAGCATTAAATTTAATCCAAAGAGAGGTGAGCTACCTTTCGAACCCTAATGAATATTCCATCTGGCTTAATTCTGCCAAAATTCTTAAATTCCTGGTCAATCTCTGCTTCGGTAACGTTAGCAGGCAAGTTTCTCACATAAACAGAGGTTACTTCACCTGGAACAATTAAGATCAGAAGTCATCTTCATGTTTTATACGAAGTGAGTAATGCAACAATGTTACAGACACATAATTACCAAAATGCTAAAACAAGAAAACCATTTTACAATAAAGAAGCCAAAATTTCTTTCTCCTAAATATTATGGATCAAAAGGTTTATGCCCATAACATCCTCAAAAAGTCTCTGCCAAAATAAATTTGGCCTGAAAAATCTTTCTGCATGTATAATTGTGTAAACACTTGTTCAATTTCACTCCTAATAATTACAAAAAAAAGGTCCAGCAATCAAATAATCACCAAGAACGAACAAATAAAAAATAATTCCTACACCATTAGCATAAATGATACAAGTAATAAACAATATCCAGACACCAGAAATGCCACGAAAAGGATCACAATATCATGATCAAAAACTAAACCTTCATCTTCTAAGCCATAGCCTTCATCTGCAGCCTCAGCCCCTGACTCAGGGACATACACAGATGTAGAGCTTGCCTGCTGAACAGCAGGCTGTGCTACGTGGTTGAACTCTGAAGGAGGTGGAGCACCTTTAAAAGAATATTGAGGAACATGCTGTGAAGCAGCAGATAACACAGGCTGCCCTTTGGAGACTCGTAACTGCAAGTTCATTGTGACACGATTCAATTAAGAAAAAACACCAAAACTAGAAAATCAATTCCTCTTTATTTAGGTTTAAGTCCAACAAACAGAATAGGACAATAAATTAATGCTTCCCAATATTTGATGCCTCGTGTTTAGTTTAAGAGAGGACAAGTAAAGAAATAGAAAGTTTAAAAGTAACTTCTGATAAATAAGGAAAGTGTTTTCCTCCATCACCTATGATACTACAAAAATAATTCTGCCTGTAGTCATACCTCCTAAAGCAGACAAATAAGGAGAAAATTTAGATACAATTCTATACATGATGTTTGTTTGTACTGTTTTTCAATCAAAATTAAATGCTAGAAGCCCAGACGGAAATCTACGTCCCTAGGAGAGCTCAGTAAGTCTCACAAAACAAAAATTCTTGATTGCAAACAATTTCAGGAAATTATGATTATGGAAACATGAAAGACTACTTCAAAGATGGTTTTGATATGAAATTTAAGATTTGTTACTCCAATGATGTGGTAACTTGTTAATGGATAGTCTATAATTACACAAATAAAAAGTATAAAAGAAAAAAAAATGAACTGAAAGTATTACATACAATAGAAGCGTAAGTTTTCTTAGGAGGCTCTTCCAAAGAATCTTCCACATGAGTAACAGGAGGTTCTTGGACAGTATGTGCAACACTGTGAATTGGTGGAGATGCCTCCTGTGCAGGAGTTTCCTCCACCACAACTTCTGTTTCAAGATCTTCGTGTAGCTGCTGCTGGTGCTCAGGAAGACTATACTTGTCCACTGGATCATCATCTAGATGAACTGAGTTGACATATTCCCTGGCTTCTTCCTCCAATCCGTAGTCAGAAGATGCTAAATCACAAACTCAGGTTTCAATCACAAACAAGTACTTTTTCAATAAAAAAGGCATGCAATACATATACATACTATTTCATTTTAGTTTGGAAAGAACAAGATGAAGGACTAAGAAAATCTGCCACACCAGCATGCGTTTTTGTTTACTAAAGAGCAAGGTAAGCATAAAACTCATTTATAAACACTTTCAACAGGAAACCTATTGTTGCTACAACAACATTTTGTATTAAATATGCACAGATCGTGGATCTCCTCCTAACTAGATGTTAACATAATAGACTGCAGCACAAATTTCCATTTAAAATAGTCGAGAACAAATGTCATTAAAACACAATTCTAAAGCAAGTTTACCCTGAGGTTCTGCAAGAGAAGAAGACACATGCGGCTGTGTGTCAATCGTTTCAGATGCCACTGGCACCATATTTGGGTACGTAATTCCCTCGTCAACAAAGTGAAACATATCATTCAGTACAAAGTAACCCTTCTCCTGAGGAGCAAGAAAGAAGGTTTGAACAAACTTCCGCCTCCCACTAATATCCTTTGTCTTCACAAAACCTGAGACCATGACAAGCACACCTCCATCCCAAGATTCAAGAGAATTGATTGTTTTGATCTCAATCGCAGTAAAACTCAGTAACGAGACAATAGAATGAATTTGCTGCATGAGAACTCTAAACTGGTCAGCTATTAGCCAGCATTAGAACTAAATCAGAGAACATTTTATATCTGAAAGAAAAGGGTATGTCACTTTGAGAGAAATTTCTTGCTTTTCACTTTTCAGCACAAAAATGTTCTCTTGCTTTTACTTTATTTACTGTTTTCAAATTTCATACAGAATGAAATAAATTTGTTATTATTTTAATTTTACTATTTCTTGTAACTATCTCCTATTCAAAAAATTAAAAACACAAAACAATAATGAAAATGGAAAGCATCATCTCAAACAAAAGACACCCAGGAAAATCATCAGCCAATACATAAAAAAAAAAAAAAAAAACCTAAAATCAAACACCCACCCAGCAATCTCCAGCTATAACTATAGCATGTAATAGAAATTTTACCAGCATATTTACAAAAAAAAATCTAAAATACTCCAAACCAAACACAAATTGAAAAAAAATCCCTACAACATTGACAAACAAAACAGAACAGTCGTCTAAAAAATCTTCAATACCAGTTTCCATAAACAACAAAGTTGAAAAATCACATGAGCTAGCAAGGCATACCAACACATCGTGGGCGGTTTCAACTGAATCTCCGTCAACACGAATCATACTGCTGGAATCGGAGTAGAACTGGTGAACGAGATTCGGCTGCTGGCGGAGAATCTGATAGTACTGTCCGACAAAGTAAGAGCCAACCTAAAAGCGAAGAACCAGAGAACTCACTCAGTCACCCACTTAAAGCAGATCAAATAACAACGAAGCAAACTAAAAACCATAAAAAAAAAAAAAAAAACCTGTGTGGCACTAACGGAACCAGGATACGACGAAGACATGTCAAAGAGCGTAGATATTCAGAACATGCAAGGCTTCTCCCAGGTCCAGCGGCAGATCGAGGAGAAGAGAGCCGAAACCCTAAATCGAGAGGAAAAGATTCTGATGCTTTGGGCTGAAAACCCGAAGAAGAGGCCCAAGGAGAGGAGAGAGAACCAACGAGATTTCGTTTTATGGAGAGAGAGAGAGAGAGAGAGAGAGAGAGAGAGAGAGAGAGAGAGAGAGAGAGAGAGAGAGAGAGAGAGGGTGGAAATGAAGAGAATGAGTGCTCTAGATCGGAGATTGAGAATGGTGCCCACGGTAAGAGTGTTAAAATATGAGGGAGGAACAAGGAGTGAGGGAATGTACGAGTGGAGTGTGATTCATTTCTATAATTTTACAATTTTCAAATTTCATAATTTACAATTTATAAACATTGTAATAAAAGAACACCCTCGGATTAAGTATCCTAGATAAAGTTTAGGCAGTGGCAACGGCTCAGATTGATTTAAAGTGAATATCGTGGAGGGGTTGGATTCTAGGGTAGCACTACACTTACGATTTGGGTGTGTTCCATTAATGTATAGTGTATTACCATTCTCATACATGGTTAATAAGCTTTGATGGGAAGAAAGATAAGGAGTAATTATATTTATTAAATTTTAAAGTAATGGTTTGAATTATATATATGGATTAGTGTAAAAGAATTTATAGTCTAAATATAAAATAGTCAATAAAAGAAAATTTACTTTATCAGGTTAATACTAAAATTTATATATTTTTTTAAAATAAAATTCATAAAGTTTCCATCTATATAAATTATTGTGGGATGATAATTTAATGTAACAGTTTCAATTAAATACATAATATTGGGTATATGTCAACTTTCTAACTTCAATGACATATATGGAAATATGTTTTCTAAATATATAAAAATATATATAAATAAAATAACCTGGTAAACCTCTTTATGGAAATCGGTTTATCACCCAAATTCATATCTCGGTCTTTGTAATATGTTTTATAAGTAAGGTTTTAAATTTTTTGAATATTTACAATTAAATTAGACACAACTTTAATTAAACTTTGTTGTTGTTCTTTTGTATTAGTTAACTTTATTAATCTGTCAAATAGAATTTTTACAATTTGTTTTCTCTTTATACGAAGTTCGTTTGTGAAATATCATAGTGAAAACGCAGTTTAACACTGTCTTGTTTTTTTATGGATACTTTTAATAGCATATTTTCTGTTGGTACTTAGATTGTTCTAATTTTGTTTATTTGGAATACAATGTAAGTATACATAGTAAAGAAACTATTTCCTATTAAAGTAAATTGACTTCCAAAACCTATCAGTTTATTTCAAAATAGACTTTATATTCTAAAAAATAAAAATTCCTTCTAACTTAAAGTTTATCTATTAGTATATAATTTCAATAAATGTCAAATTAATTGATCCATTTTTTATTCAATTTTGCGTTTGAATAAGATATTCTGAAAAAAGTTACCAGGAAAATAATAAAAATTGAAATCAATCGGTTCTTTTGAAATTATATATATATATATATATATATATATATATATATATATATAAAATACATTTACTCAAAATTTTAAAGATTTTCTCTCAATTTATTATTTTAAACTATTATATTAAAAATAACATAAATAAAAAATATTTTTTTAATATTAAAATAAGTGAATTATATCTTTTAACTATATATTTTTATAATTATATATAAAACAGTGTTTAAAAAAATAAGTGTCATAATTAAAAGAATATTATAATTTAAATATTTATAAAATAATAAAAATATATAAAAAAGAAAAAATATATTTTGTACTTAATAGAAAATAAATAAATAAATTAAAATAAATTAACTATTAAAAAAAACATGAACATAAATTTTAGTGCATCTATTTTTACTTGTATATATAACAAAGTTTATTTTTCTCAATTGTTTATTTTATTATTAATAAATTACTTATATTATATTTTTTATTTTCTTTATTTTCTCAAATATAAAAAAAATTAAGTTTTTTATTTATTTTTTCAAATATACATTTTTTAACATTTTTAAATATAAATTAATAAATAATAAAAAAAATACTACATTCCTACTACTATCAATTACATATTCTTTATATTAAATTTATTGATCTTTAACTATGTGTAATTTCAAAATAAATACTTATTTACATATATATTTATATACATGGACACAGGCCCTAAAGTAAAATTATCTGGAATGCCAATTTATCATTTACTCCCTCCAAGTATAAAATCAGTCAAACTATACTATATTTAAAAGAGTCATGTATTAGCAAAAGTAATACTTCATTCCTTAACAGTAGAATAATATTTTTTTTTAATTTGTTTAATTAAGGTTTTTTCCTGTCTTCATTGAAGTTAAATTTTCCTCGGGATTCTATGAAAAAAAATGTTTTCAAGGACCAAATTAGTTTTGACATTTAGATACCGAAAACTCACAAGAATGAAATTAGAATAGAAAAATTACCAGAGAAATCACATTTGTCAAATAATTCTTGAGACATTGTCCTATTCCTTAATCCGCGTTAAAAAAAATAAGTATCAACATGTGAAAAAAAAAGTACACAGAAAATGAACACCTAAAAAAATAAAAATACAATTGCAAATTAGTCAATAATTTTTTATCTCCGGTAGTATAACTTCAAAGTTTTTAACTACACCTACACCTAATATCAAATTACCTACAAGATAATGGGAAAAAAAATTACAGGAGCCAAAAGCAGTGCCCATCTCATTTTGTCAGCTTTAGTAATAACTGCCGTAATAGGCTTGAGGAACTGCAGCAGGTTGTTGTGCAGGAGCTGCAACAGGTTGTGCATAATTTTGTTGAGGAACCGCAGGCTGAAATTCACACAAAACAATCAACACTTATGAAATTAGCCAACAATGTTAGGTGAGTTAGATATACTGAGAAGAGCAACAAGAGTTCATGCTGTTAAACTGCGGCAACTAGACTCAATCAACAAATGGAAAAGACCAAGCAAGGCGCCCATAAGCTAATAAAAACAAAACATGAAGCTATAATAAAACTGCTTTGATACCTGTGGAGGATACGCTGGAGGATAGGCTCCGTATGCAGTACTTTGCGGAACTGATGTAGGCAATTGAGAGTTTGCATAGTTGCCCCCATATCCTGCATAAGCCCCATAAGAAGCCTGTATCAAATAAATAAGAATGAATCAGTATAGAAAATACATGACCTGATCAACCTGCTAAAACATGCAGCTAAAAATTACAATAGAGTCTGATAACAAAATAACAAACCAGGTGTACAAATATACAATGACACAGAGCAAGAGCAAAAACATAAGTTGACTCCAGCTAGAGATTTTAATCATTTTAGTACACCAAAACTATGGACAATCATGACAGGATTTTTCATGTAGATAAATAGGAATGAAGTAATCATTGAGTTAAATTGCAACATGATTTAAGGGGCAGATATTCTACTTCAAGGCTTTGCAAGGCTGCAGCTTAATGGAGATCGTTGTTTCACATCTTACATATCCATCTAGCGCCACAGGCAATTAATATTGGACAATTTCTAATTAAAAGGTTGTTTCACATCTTACATATCCATCTAGCGCCACAGGCAATTAATATTGTACAATTTCTAATTAAAAGGTTGTTTCACATCTTACATATCCATCTAGCGCAACAGGCAGTTAATATTGGACAATTCCTGTTTAAAAGGTACAGGATAACAAAATGGACTAGAATTGGTGAGTCGACCTGACAACCCAGTAGGGATGGCAATTAAACCCGTACCCGTGGGGACCGACCCGTACCCGCCTCGAGTTTGACGGGGAAAACCCGAGTTAACCGGGGGCAGGGTCGGGTTCGGGTTTTCCCCGCTTTAAAAGTCGGAGGCGGGACGAGTAATGCAATCCCCGTCCCAACTTTATATTTAAATTTAAATTTTAAAATATTAATATTTTAAAAATATTTCATTTTCTTTTTTTATTACATATAAAGTTATTTTTTATATTTCACCAATTTTTATTTTTCTTCTTCCCACTTTTTAATTTTTTTTACCTTTTTCAATCTTTTATATCATTTAATTTATTATAATATTCTCTCTTATCTTTCAGTTTTTCACATTTCCTTAATCTCTCCCATTAATTTGTTTTTTTTTCATAATATTTTACATAAATATTAGTAGTAACTAATATTAGTTTATTTATAATTTATATTTATTATGTCATATTTTTTTTTATCTTATTATGCTTATTTATCATATATCAAATTTTATCTTAATAAAATAATTGCATTTTAAAGGATTAAAAGAAATTAATAAATAAACTTTTATTACTTCAAACTAATTAAATAAGAATTAACTTATTAAATATTTTTTATAAACTATATATTGACAACTTAAAAATGAATTAACTTATATATATAATTAAATATTTGAATACATTGTTATAATAATAATATTATAAATATTCAAATATTTGAATATACTGTTATAATAATAATAATAATAATGTTATAAATATTAGATATATATATATATATAAAATAATTAAATATTTCTTTTACATATATATTTTAATATAAATATAATAAATTAAAATGTATATTTAATTAATAATAATTATAAATTACAAATATTTATTTATATATAAAAATACATAATAAAATTAATTTATTATAAATGCAATTATCTTTTTAAAAATAATATAGATCGTAGGGCGAGGCTAGGGCGAAGGGCGAGGGAACCCGAAACCCAGTAGGAATGGGGACTTAATTTCTAACCCCTAGCAGGAATGGGGCGGGGACTGGGATGGTTAAAAGTCGGGGCGGGGATCGGGAAGCAAAACCCGCCCCGCCCCCACCTCGTTGCCATGCCTACAACCCACATTAAAATGATGGACGGGGATTGGATTGATAGTTTTAGTTGTCAATCCGTTTTGAGCTGGACTATCCTATCTAATCCAACAACCTAATGCACCAAAGACAGAGAGTGAGAACTAACCCTTTACCTCCTTTCAAAGAAATATTTGTATATTAAAATAAAAATAAAAATATTATAATTAAAAATATTATATTATTAAAATATATAATATGTTACAATATTATAATTTAAATTATGAAAATTAATCAATTAAATTTAAATTATTAATTATAATTAATTATTTTAACACATAAATTTTTTAAATTTATCTAATAAATATATTATTAATAAATAAAAACTTAAAAATTATTTATATAATTAAAGATATACTTTAAAAAATATATATAAAAAAATATTGATGGACTGACTAGGTGAATCGGGCTGAGCCTGTTGGGGCAGGCCAACCCGTCCACCTTTTCTTTTTGAGCAAGTCGGACCATTTCGGGGAGCATCCCTAAAAGGTATACCACCAGAAGTGGTTAACATCCCTAAAAATAACATTATACATACGAACCTGGTCAACACAACTTGCCAGAAATTAAGCAGAAAAAATGTTATACCTGCTGCTGGGTATAGCCAGCAGTCCACTGTTGTCCTTGTGCTTGTGTAACTGGAGGCCATGTTTGAGGTTGTACTCCATAATTGGTCCATTGGTTTTGTGCATTTGAATATGCACCAATCACAGATTGGGCAGGTGACTGAACAGAATAAGTTCTTGAAACTTTTATTTTGTCTGAAGCTAAGAAATCCTCAGCATGACGTTTTTTCAACTCTGACATGCTTCTGTGTGGCAAAAACAACTTTGCATGCCTATCCTCGGCCCTTTTAATTGATTGAACATCTCCAAAGAGATTTAAAAACTGGAAAATGTACAGTACATAAATTTAAAAACACTCATTATGATTTAAAGTATGAAGAGAAGACAGGCCTTTGAAGAAACAGAAACACAAACTTGGTAAAAAAATCAAGATATAACAAATTCTTCAAAAAAAGGGCAGAAGGCCATCAAATAGGTGTACCAACAGTAGAAAATGTACCCAATTAAGATAATTATAAAGAAACCATACAATGAAACAAGTATATATCATACCGCCAATGGTATTTGTGAAGTAACATTAAAAATCAATTAACCTTTAATGGACGGTCAAAATTAAAAACAATCTTGATATGATTAAGATTAGCTCCTCTCAATCTCATTACAGGACAAACAAGCAACACATACACGTACACACCCTAGAAAAAAAGGCAAGCACATATGCCTGCATGCAAACACAACTTATTCAAATTTACCTACCATTAACCACTTTAGTCACCTATACTTAATCATGCCTACAACACCATCAAATGTTAAAAATTATCGAGAGACTGTTAATGAAGTAAACAGTGTTTGTTTCAAAGAGAGTGGCATGCATATGGTAAAACAGCGATATATTTGTCTACTACGTAAACACTGTTTGCATGTTTCAAAGTGGGTGTCATGCGTCATTCTGTTGGAAAAAGCTGGGGTCAGATGGCAGAGTCAGTTACAAGGATCAATTGACCCTATGGATACTTGGACAACCCAATTTTCAAGTAAACCATTTAGAGTAAATGGAATAATTATTAATAATAAACACACTCTTGTTAAAAAAAAAAAAAAAAAAAGTAAAAAGATAACCCAAAATAGTATTTAGTTCCTCAAGAAAACTCATTTAAAACACATTCTAAAACATCCTTCTGACAAGGACTTACCTCCAGAAAAATACTAGATAGTTCCTCACGCTCAGTTGCACTTGCTACACTAGGACTTTCTGAGTTAGGCATTATGAATTTGACAACCCATGACTCCAGTATGTCAATATCAACGCGCTTTGGCAAGGGTTGAATAGCCTCAAAATGCAATAAAGCCTAAAAAGATATTGAATTATGAATCTAATTAGATAAGGGGAACACTTGTAAAAATATAGTAAAAGTGAATTTAGAAGACTATAAGGTAAAAGTAAGGACATACCTCAAGTAGTGGTTTTGACAGCAAAACATTCTCCAGACCCTCAACTAGAATCTGTCTTGCCTTCTCTGCGTTCCCTGAAGCCTAATGACAACATGAGATGAATTAAAGAATTGTTGTCTTAAATTTTTATTTGTGATCTCTCATCCTAAAATAATTTGAATGTTTTATCTATTGCCATATATGAAAAGTATACCAAGCAAAAACATGAGTACAATTTAATGGAATGAAGACATGTTAAAATAAATAAGCTAATTAAAAAAAAACACTCAACCCTCATAAAATTTACCTTTTACAAATGTTCTTTATATCACATTAGAGTTAAGTTTTTTATCCTAATTATAGATTATTCATTAGGGCATTGTGGTACCAAAAGATGCAAAGTTTAAGGAGTTTGATTGCAAAGAAACTAATGTTTAAGGTGGTCTATTACCAAAACAGATCAAATTTACCCGAGCTAAATATTTCTCTTGTGGTAAAAAAAAATGCATGTCCAACCAAAACCAGCTTTAAATAAGAACAAAAAGCCACAAGAGAATTTGCATGGAAACAATGTTAGGGACATACCAAATATACAAACCGAGAATACTGTGCAAACAACATAGGCAATGTTTGCGAATGTTCTTTTCCTTTCTCAATAGCAATGGCCTGCTCATACAAGGAGAAGGCATCCTCCATTTTTCCCTGTAATATCAATGAATGGAAAAGCTGTAAACAAATCAACATAAAATTAAGTCACAATCTTAAAACACTTTCACAATTTAACATACCAATCGGTATTCCATATTGGCATGCCTAATTATTGCTTCAAGAAGGCCAGGAGAAGTTTCACTATGCACAAGTTGATACGCAGCTCTAGCACCATCGATATCTCCATTCTGCTCCTTGAACCGGGCACAAAAAAGATGTATTTCCGGTTGTCTCTGCATTATGACAAAGGAAATGACTAAATTGCAGAAAATTAAAGTTAATCCTTCTCTGATACAATAAGTGATTTGAGACAGAAACAAAATGACTAAATTGCAAAAAATTAAGGTTAATCATTCTCTGTACAATTTGACAACTTACTAATAATGCTTATAATGAGATAGCATTACTGAACATTACATTGTCTAAATCAAGAAAAAAAACTATAAATGGAATGCACATGTATGACTCACTGGCCAAAAATATATGTCGGATATATTAAAACAATGTTGGCCATCCACACATGACCTAGCAAGTTCAATATTTATGAAACCTGATTTTCAAAATAGTATCAAAGTCTCTCTATAAGAGAAAATGTAAGGAACTAAAGTATTACCACCCCCATTCTTCACGCATGGACCTTTACATTTTAAAATCAATGCTTCAAACCAAAGAATCTAAGTACCCAATAAACAGAGAACAATCGTTACTAAGCTTTCATTCAACCGCATAATTGAGTTTTGACAAAACTACATACAAAAGATTCATTTTTCTCACCTTAGGCATGCTTTATGTCAAGGGGAAAGAAAAGAGAAGTAAACTTTTAAATATCTACAAATTGACCACTATGTATCTTCAGAGAAAACAGTGTCAAGTAGACAAAACAATAAAAAATAGATAGAAAAAAGGGCAGTGTACAGCATTCAAATACCACTTTTCAATTTCCAGTCCAAATATATTGAGGGAAATATCATCATTTTTTGACAAAATGATTAGGAGTAGCAACTGGTCCCAAAAGTAACAAAATTATCATTTCTATAGGACAAAAAGCCTAAATAGAAAAATACTGAGATAACTAAAAGCCCTTATTCTGAAGCATTAACTATGTATAGCATTACTGAACACCTACTTTTCTGTGAATGGAACAAAAGTTTAACTTTGAGTTTATCACAAAAGTTTATCCAACATCTATAATAGCAATAACAGTAAACCATTTAATTCATGTAAAAGTTAACATCAAGAAGTGGCCATATACTGGAGTCCAGTACATATATTGTTTGTTCATTTCATCCAAAACTTTGGAAACTTGAGAGATAAATACAAGGATAAATGCATCTCTAAGAATGATATTTAGAAGAAAGTACCTTAACAAAGACTTGGGTGGCTCGGGCAAGAACATTATTTGCAAGATCCATTCTTCCACTGGCTTCCATACACAAAACATAGCGAATCCAATATTCGGGATAATTGGCACATGCAATGACACATCTCTCATACAACTTGACAATCTAAATCACACAAAAAATAAGGTGTTGTAAATATTGTCATCAATTATAAAGACACAAGAAAAATCAAAATCATAAAACACAAAAGGAAAATACAAAGCATCAAGAAATACTCCTTAGCGGGACAGAGAGGCCCCTCAAATATGAAAGGAGGGACCCTCCTTGCCTGCGACAGATGATTAGGAAGATAAGAAGACACCTGCATGCATAACATTCGCACTTTAAAAAAAATAAACTATTACAAACACATGACGAACCTAGAATGTCCACTGACAAATCAGGGTTTGAAGTACTTAGCCTCAAGAAACCAAATTGAAGGCCCATGCTTTAGTCTCAGTTCAATTTCCCGATTAAAAAGTTGCTTCATCCAACGGATTAGCCAATAAAACATATGATGCAACAGATATTACTTACTGTAAGTCAATCTATAACAGGAAAAGTTAAGAACATAATGCAATCTTAAAGGAAAATTTTGTTACCTTGCTCAAGTCACCTTCCCGTTCTATAAAATCTAGATAATTGTGCCAATTTTCAAGCTCTCCAACATTGAGAGGTCGTACATGAAAGTAGGGCCTCCTGATAGCTGTTTCAAAACCAATGATCTTAGAATCGAACTCTTTAGCTTTTTTATACATCTCTTCTCTAATGGCGATATACTTCTCCAACTCTTCTTCTTCTGTTAAGCCAGCACTTACAGATTTAGGAGACTGCTCTGCACCATCAGGATGAACCTCTCCCTCAATAACTTGGCCAGAAGCCTCTGAAGTAACACTTGCCACTGCAGCAGCTTCTTCAGCAGTTCGTAACTCTGACAAAGGTCTGTTTCCAGCTAACTCTTTGAAGCTGCAACACAATTAACACCAAGGGAGTAAAATCAACCCAAAATAATGGACAGTACATGCAAATTAAAAACAATAACACTTTTTTCTTCAAGAATACTAGAGACGAATAATAAATTTAAAACAAGTAATCACCTGCCGAAATACCGATCTAATTGTTGATTTGGATTCTCTAAAATTCTGGTATAAATTATGGCAAGGCGAGCCCAGTCTTGCTGCATGTACTCATATTCAATGTATTTATCCCACAGAGGAAAAGAAAGATAATCTGTTCCAACATAAGCTAATCCCCGTTCAAAAAGCCTGAAACATGTGAACACACAAGTCTGGTTAATACGTGACTTGAAACATCTATTTACTGATGCACATCCATGTATGGGAGACAGCAGCACTAATGTTCAAGGAGAACAAACAAAGCACTCGTAACATCATGTAAGACATCCAAACGCTGCATTTACCTTCCTGCAATAAATCATACTATGTCTGAGAAATGGAGCAGTCATAGAGGCCATCTTAGCCCTTAACCAGACGAGATCTTCACAGCAGCAATTTGCAAATTGATGCACCTCAGAGTGTCAAAGATAAAGAGAGCTACCATTCGAACAAGGAAAAAAACTAGAGAACTATGGATTTTGAAATCAAAGGGGAAAAAAGTATATTGGAGAAAATGACCCTAAAATTTTCAAACTACCACAAATAGGATTTAAACATCAGAATGGAAAACATTCTGGCATGTAATCCCATCAAAGCTTTTCCGCCATACAAGGGAGATATCACTGTTGCACGCATTCTGAAATTAGGTTAGGCAAGAAACAGCTGAGCCTAGCGAATGGAAAATCAAATGAGAATCTCCCAATGCAAAAAAAAAAAAAAAAGGATGACAAACAACTAAACTTCCATTACCTACGAACAGTGTCTGGATCCCCATATGTGCTTATAGCAAATATGCAATAATGCAACCACATGTCCACTGAATACGTAACCCCTTGAACAGCACGCTCATACACTTCAAAAACTTTATCTACAGATCCAACACGTGCCTCATGGTCGGCATATTTCTTCCAATAACCATAGCACAAAGGAAATTCTGCTAGAAAGGCATCATAGACTCTTCGAATCTTAAGAATATTGTCCTTCAATAAAGAAATCATTAATGAGTTTCACAAGCATCAGAAAGCAAGACAGACAGTAAGGCTAAAATACATTACATTATCTCATCAGCTGAACAAACAATTTCAAGCATAATAAACTTCCACAAAATAAGGTGTTAACAAAAGCGGGGAAAATGATGTTACTTGGTAGAACTTAAAGAAAATTTACTAGTGAAACGAATAAATTGCAAAACATGGTTGCTTCATTGTCCATTGCAAAAATCAACTAGAAGAGCATTAGCCCACAAAAAAAGTGTATATAGAGACAATTTTAATTTAGGAACAAAAGAAACAAAAATACAAATTTAAAATTATAACAAAAGTGCATGCATATCATATCATATCATACATTTAACAAATCTGAAAGCACGGTGAATCAGTCATGTATTCACGCCAACCTTACTATAATACTGTCTTGTACTACATGTTATCAAGTAATGAGTAACAAAACTATCTCAAGAACATCAAAACAGATATTTCACAAGTATTTGGCTGAAGCCAACATCAAGTATGCGTAACAGTTGAAATATGTAAGTAAAGGTGCATCCGAACAATGGAATTCAAGTCAACAACATAACATACCTCGGCTACCTTCTCTGTCTCTTCAATCAAGGAAGTCCAGGCAGTGAATTCTAATGAATTAGCTCTTACAATATTCCATAGTCGATCTTCCTCAGCAGACAAAGCAGCTGCTAATAGTAAGGAAAAAATGATTGGGGATAGTGATAATTCAGTTGAATAGCAGCATGTTCATGGACAATAGCAGAAACATTACAAAAACAGAATCATTGAAAGAGTCTTATACAATAACCATTGGATTGGTAATAAAAAATATATCCTTCAACAGAAAACTTTTATCTGTTTTATTCAATAAAATAGTTGATAGAAAGAATAAATGCAGAGATCACCCAAAACATGGTCTCCAATTACGAAATCAACGTCATAATTCTTGCATTAGTCAAATTCAAATGAAATCAGGGTTTAAATACAGTCTTATTAATAAAAAAAATAAGGTGTATTCATCCCATCAAAGATTTTGAACCACGTCAAATTATAAGTTTAAGCTAGGCTAAATATCAAGCCTCTGTGAATTAAAGTGAACATAAATACCAAAACAGCATCATACCAGTGTATTTGGTTTTCTTTCATGTCATATCTCGAGCACATCTACCAGAAGCATAATTAATGCTTCTGCATATTTTGATTCATTGACGTGATTTCTAACTACATGTGCATTAGGACATGTGCCAAGAAATCCATTACATCGACTCCGTTACTACTTGCATGAAACCAACAAACTATCCTGTTGTAAATTAGAGACCACTTGTTTATAGCCTTCACTTCCCCTTCCCAACATGAGTAGTGAAGCTTACAGCTATGGATGTTTAAAACTCTTATTTTTCTTTTATATGAACTGTTACGAAAAATCACTATCAACTTTGATATGCTACTAGACATGCGCAATGCCAACAAGAAATTGCAGCAAGATCTGTTAGATATTGCCCCTAAACTTCACATTTACTGCTGAATTTTGTGCATAAAATAAATGTAAAGAGAGAACAACAATATTCATAAAATATATTGATAACAGAAAAAAAAAATGCACACCATAACCATCTGCAAGCTGTTTTTCATCAGCCGACCCATCAACGTTTTCCAATGCATTCCCGTTGACATGTCCAGCAGAATTTGCCAGTGCACTGACACCACCACCATTTACAGACGAACTGTAGTCGGAAACCATAGCAGGCTCATCAGCTGTGCTTCCAAGCCCGGCAGAGGCCTCGTTAGCATCAGGCACTCCACCAGGTGCTTTGGATTCACCAGTTGCATTGAACTGGGCTTGTTGTAGAACAGAATTCGGATCCCCAGTATAAGCATTCGCATCACCAGAATTAGAATAACCAAATCCATAGGCTGAAGTGGACTGAGCACCTTCTCCAGCAGGTTGATCAACAGCAACACTTGCCTCGGGAGCAAGATTTGACCCAGACTCGGCATAGCCAGCCGAAGCATATGTCTCAGCAGCAGAATGTGCAGATGCTTCGGTAACAACAGATTCACTATCTGCCATAACTTGAATGAAATGTCTTTACCTTTATCACAAAAATCATAAAGAAAACAGTTAGCGAGGAACGCCCTTAATTCGAAATCGTAGTAATAATAATTCGAAGTGTAAGATCACCAACAGCCGATAATCCAATGCAGGCGTCAGCAGAACAAAACACTTGGAGAAATAAAAAATAAAAACAGATAATCATAACAAAATAGTAACAGATATTTTGAACGACCTAAAATCCCTAGGGTTTCAGACACTAAACCCTAACAGAGAGTGGAGGCCACGTTTGAAGTACCTCAAAGGAAAGAAACAGCTTCTTCGAGGAGAAGAGATTGCCCCTTTCTTTGTTCCGAAGACGAAATTGAAAACTCTGGTGGCTCTTTTTGGTGAATAATGAAAAATCAAAACACGGATTTGCGAAGTAGGGCAATATAAATGTGAGGTGCTGCTATTATATAGCGGAGAAGTGGGAGCTGGCGGCTCCATGGCGCGTGATGGTCCTCTTAGATCTGATGCCGTACCTGATGGATAATGCTGCGATCTGAGCCGTCCGTGGTAAACATGCTGATGCTGTAATGGGCCTAGTTTTCTGAAGCCTAGTGGCTCTTGGATTCGTGGTGTCATTTCTCAGTAACAACACATATACATTGCAAATGCTTAGCATTTGTTGGGCTCTGTAGCATTTTGTTTGCTCAGCCCACACTTAACAAAACCTCCTCTTATATATTTACTAATTTAGTTTTTTTTTTTTTTCATTTTGAATTAACGTATTAGTTTTGGTACATAGAGAAGTTCAGAAGTTATTTCTTTGTAACAGGTAAATAATATAGTTGTGTAAAAATATTTTTTCAAATTATTTTATATATTTACTACATTCTGAAATTTTGTATTCATATTCACACTGACGCACACATATATAGATGCTTCAGTTTAACTCTATTTTATTGTTTTCCAAATTTTTTTTTTTGTTATTTAGTTTAGATGTACAAAACATTTAATGGTATAAAATGATTTTAAATTATTTGTTATTTATTTTGTATAGATACTTTATATGTTTCAATTTGTATAGGAAACACTTACATTGTTTGGTTTACTTTTTTTTGGGGGCTCAATATGGAATCTACACAAGAAAATAAAAATTAATTAAAAAATCAGCAGACCAACCTAGGTTTATTTTTTTAATCTATTTTTCTTAAATTATAAAACTTATTCGTATTTTAGATTGAATATAAAAAATTGAAACCATATATTATATTAAACATAATATTAATAATTAGAGTTAATTACTAACTAAATAAAATATATAAAAATGAATTTGTTTTATTTTTTAGTTTTTAAGAATAGATTAATCTTGAAAACATATTTTTTTTAAAAGAAGTTTGAAAATATAACATGTTTTGATAATTCTAAATTTAAACAAGACGAAAAAGTACTTATAAGAGTTAATTACTAACTAAATAAAATATATAAAAATGAATTTGTTTTATTTTTTTGTTTTTAAGAATAGATTAATCTTGAAAACAGATTTTTTTTAAAAGAAGTTTGAAAATATAACATGTTTTGATAATTCTAAATTTAAACAAGACGAAAAAGTACTTATAAAACAATTTTGATAGTGTTAATATAAATACTATTAATAAAAAATATAATCCAAAAATATAAAGTATATTTTATCAACTTTTGTTTTTTTATTTTTAAAAACTAAAATGTTTTTTTAAATTATTTTAACTCTACTGAACAAGTGTTTTAGTTTTAAAATTTTTTTTTTTAATTATATCTTACAATTATTTTAAATTATTTTTATTATAAATGGTTTAAAAAAAATAAGAACAAAAAATATTATAATATATTATAAAAATACTATATCTTTTAGTTTATATTCTATATTAAATTGAAATGAACCAAATTAAATTACATTCAAATAAAATGTTTGATTTGAATAATATTTAATAAAAAATTAAATCAAACTAATTTACTAATAGTCTAATACCTTTAATTTTGATGTCCATGCTATCTATTTAGTAAAATTATAATTGCAAAATTATAGATCACAAATTAGAGAAGAAAAAGGAAGAAACTCATATTTCACAATTATATTTGCATGTAGAACTTAAATCAAAATTTGCACCATTTTTGGACGCGACAATTGATAGTTTATCATTCTATAAATGCCTTAAAAAAAAAACAACTAAAAAAATATGAACCGAATAATAATAGAAAAAACAAATAGAATAGATAATTTTGTAACTGAAATTTGGCTCAAAATCAAAATATTCAGGAAAAAAAAATAATGTTATATGTTACTAACTACGGCTAAAGTATTTTATACTAAGAATTAATTAGGCCCCACCTGATTCTCACCACTAATATTTAGTTACAATTGAGACAAAAATCTAGAAATAAATTAAATGGATCTTAAAAAAAATTTACCTTATGTTTGAATAATTTGTAAAGGTTATTTATTTTAAATATTTTGTATCAAATTAATTGTTTAAATAGATAATTTAAAAATAATAAAAGTTTTAAAATTCAACGAGGATATTTTAATTATTTAAAATAAGAAAATTTTAAAATTTCTTTTACAAAATAATAATTTAAAAATTAAAATTTTTATATTTTAAAAAATTTTATTATCTAGTTGACTCAATATCGATTAAGATATTTTTTACTTATTTTGTCCTATTTTAACATGGGTCCATTTTAGAGGTGATTTTGTCTTTATTTGATTTAAATCAATTCAATATATTTGAATCATCATTAAACCATCATGATCTTTGATTTGATTTAGTTATATTAGTTTGACCCAACCTATATTAATTTACTCTTACTCGATCGACTTAATATGTTTGAATATATATATATATATATATATATATATATATATATATATCAACTCTTTATGGTCAAAATAAACTCAACTATCTAAAGTAGATTTAACTCAATCTTTATCTTCACTAATCTTGATCTCTTGATTTGATACATATTGTCTTGGTTAAATCTAAATATGAATGTAAAACCCACATTGATTAAAAATAAGAAAGTTGAGTAACATACAAAAAAGAAAAAACCATAATTTAATGCCTTAAGTTTTTCTGTTCAAAAGTGTTATCAATCTTTTATGTGGATTAAATTCATGTCTTATTAATATTGTCTTTTCTCGATGAATCCTCCTTGAAAAATTTACTAGTGGCATCAGAGTCAATGATTTGTGTGATGATCAACAGTTTAAAAATAGTTTTTGTATTGAAAGTTTTTATGATAATGAATAAAGTATATCCTATTATGATAAACGGTGGGTATAATAAGAGTCTTTAATGAGTTCGAAGGAATGCACCAATATGAAAATACTCACACTTCAGGAAGGAATTGAAAAATTTAAGTATAAATCTAAATTCCACACTAAATAAAAAAAAAATTAAGCAACATATAAAGAAAAAAAACTCACAACCTCTTAATATAATACCTAATATTAATGTATTACGTGAATTATATTCGGAACATTTTATTGATATTGTCTCTCCTCGATAATACACACAACACTTAAAAGTGTAATCACTTAAAAGTGTAATCCCAATCTACTGGCTTAATTTCATCCAACTTAATATAATTATAATTTTAAAGACCATTATTTCTGATGAAAAAAAGGTTAAAGGAGTCCAACTATTAGAAACACAACATATAAGGGGCGTTTCAGAAAATATATATTCGTCTATTCTTTCAAATTTCATATAATATTGGGATACATAGATTTTCTTTTAGATGGACATCGTTGGAACGCTTAACCGAAGATTTTTAAGAGGTAAGAGTTAGTAATTTGATTAGCTGTTTTTCTAACTTATGCCATTCTTCATCGCTACGTTCTATATTAAGCCACTTTTGCATTTCCAATGCTAACGATATTTATTTTTCTGGTGGCTGCTAAGACATTTTCCTCTAACCTTCTTCCATTTTAAAACCCTGTCATCTGTCTGCTTGTTGTGGTAGGAAATTTGCATAAATATACTGCTCATTTCTAGTGGACACATAGTCTTTAATAATGCTGATTCGGATTTTTTTTTTTTTCATCTTTCTACTTTTTTCCCCCTTTTGTGCCTAATGTTTCTTATCACTTTTCTTTATTATTATTATCAAGTGCACAAGAAAGCAAAATGGTCTAATGGTCCATATATTTAGTCTGGTCACACCTTTTAAGAGCACTTGTTTGTTTCTTAATAACTAAGAATTGTGCTTCGTTAACATTCTACATACATCTACTACGGTGTGTACAGCTTCTAGTGAATGACGCGAAGAGTCAACCAATGACAAATTGTGGTGTACAAGTTTTTTTGTCTTTAAGCTTTATAGTACAACTTCGTATTTATTTTAAGTTTTACTATTAATCATTCCTTACATTCCTTTTGAGACATTTGTGTTTTCCCGATATACTCATTTTCTGGCACATGAAGCACCGACATTATTTAAGGTGGACATTAACTGTGTTAACACAGTTTTTTTGTAGGGTTTGATCGCCGCTCATTTTTTTTCCATTTTGATAGTTTTTTTATTCTGGCTTCGTTTGAATTATTCATTTTGAGAAGGAATCATCAAGTACATGCAGAAATAAGTTTACTTTTCGTAATATTTTTTTGTATTTAAAAGTCTATATATAAATACCAGTAAAATATTTTCTTATTTTTAAGGGAGACCAATAATTGATAACATAATATATCGTATATATAAACACATTATGAGTTTTCACTTTTTACTTTCGCGTTTCTTCTTTTTGGCTCCATGAGATGCAGATGAGGTGGAATTAGAGAGAGGAGAGGATATGCATGGCAATAGGCAAGAAAAGCAAGCAAGAACTCAAATGCGTGTTGAGATGAAAAAAAGGTGTTATCTCATTTCATTGCTAATAATAAAGTCATAAGGTGGGGACAGAGATGAGATCTATTGCATACTTTGTCCCAGTTCATACCACAAATCCCATTCACTACTCATCACGAGAATATCCCTTGGATCACAACTATACAAAGGCAAAAGTATATTCAATTCAAATTCACTAAGATTTGTTAAAAAAACTGATCTACAATTCCAAGGTATATGTACACATGGTCCCATTCATCAAAATAACAGCCATATAATTTTATGAACACTCTCTTGTTAAAATTAAAACAGCTTCTTAAGAATAAAATAGTGTGAATGAGAAAAAGTATCAAACCAAATAATGCTAAGAGACTGTGATTCTAACGCTTCCCACCTCTTCTCTTGAACACCGACTTCAGAAATAGCATGCAGACAATCAAGAATCCCAGAGCCGCCACCCCACCCACCGCAAGCGCCACCGTTCTCTCCGCGTGCGGATGCCCTCCTCCCTCTGATCCAACCAAACACACAAAAAATCAGACTTTTATTCGATTCTCACTAACACAACCAACCACAACATAAACCCCACCTACCCAGATCCTGCAAATCCCTTTCACAACCCCACTCATTAAATCCATTCATTTCATTTTCCCAATATTTAATTAATTAAATTCAATCAATCAAATAACCAACACACATCATAACATAAGATTTCCAGAAAAGTTATATACATATATACTTTTTTCCATTTTTGAAGAAATGGACACAAAATTGGAAAAGATGAATAGTAGAGCACTAACCCGAGGAAGAAGAGGAAGTGGGAACTCCATTGGGGTAAAAGCTGTAACTGATATAACAATTCTGAAGATAAACCTGCGCTGAAATAGAGTAGCCACACTGATCCTTGGTCTGTTCCGCAGCACTCCTAATACAAGCCCCACAATCTGCATTTCCCAAATTACCCTCACACTGCCCCAACACATAAAGGCTCTGGTAACTCCCAGTGTAGAACAAGTTCCCGCTGCTTTGCACGCCGTTCTCCGCCATCCCAAACGCCGCGTCCCTCCTCGCCTCGAACCCCCCGCCGTCGACCACCCTGCGGGACCCACAAACCTTGTAAAGCAGCTGCGTCGCGGGAACCTGCTTAAACCCGACCACCTCGTACCGGAGGTAGCACCCGCTGAGCTGGACGCGCGCCGCTGCCGCGGGCTCTCCGCCGCCGCACAGGCGCCCCAGCATGTCCAAAATCTTGGACACGCAGCTGTGGCAGTCGGAGCTGGTAAGGTCCCCTCGGCATTGGAACGCGCCGGTGAGCGCGTTCTGCGTAGTCGCGGCGAAACCCTTTTGCACTGACTCTGCCACCAAGGAAGATAACAGCGGTTTGAGATTCTGCGAGTAGGGGTCTGGCATTTTCTGGTCGGCGCAACCCTTATAGATCAAATTTGTATTGTCTGCAGGTGAGGTAGGTATGGAAACGAAAAAGAACAGTGAAGTGAGAAAGAGGAGCGTGTGAGAGTGAGTGTGGTGTTTTGTTTTGTGTGTACCCATTTGGGAGGTTGATGTATGTGTTTGTTTTCAGTCTCTGTTCTTTTTTATATGCAAGCAATAAAGTATGAATGAATGCATCAGTGGGTGAATTAATTGTGCTTGGTCAGTGTGAAACGACGAAGAGAAGAAACAACGTTGAATGGGTGTGTATGTTTTGAGGTTAAATTATTGGAACTTAATTAGAGGAGAATGCGATTTGATTGTGGTTCTGTAGTGACAAATGTACGACATTGTTTTTTTGACCAAAACCAAATGGGACCAATTTAAAGGTAACTTTTGAATGCACCCTACTAAATAAATAAAAGGGAATTGAGTTTAATTATTTTTAAAAGTTTACATGTTCTCTATTTTTAAAAGTTTAATTTTTAAATCATTTATGAAGAAAAATCAATTTATTTATACGAATAAATTATTAATCATTTTAAAAATAGATAAACCAATATTATTTTCATTATCAAAACACAGATAATCAAATATTAAAACATATGTCAAACATTGAAAATGGGTTGGGATAGCCATGGGGCGAAACATAAGAGCGAAGCCCAGGCCCATAGCAGTTAAACCCTACTCAGATTGTCATCGAACATGTATTTGTGGAAAAGAAAGAACAGAAGTTAGAGATTCTGTAGTTCAACCCTTACAACAATGTCAAAGAGAGGTTTATTCTCGCCACTTAATGTGTCGATTAATTCCCTGTGAAGAAGTCAACTAGTCTATCGTAGTGATAATTAATGAATTTATGACGTTTCAGGTCGCGGAGGATCGGCGGGGAACAAGTTCAGGATGTCACTGGGTTTGCCAGTGGCGGCGACGGTGAACTGCGCCGACAACACCGGCGCCAAGAACCTCTACATCATATCAGTGAAGGGAATCAAGGGGAGGTTGAACCGGTTGCCGTCGGCGTGCGTCGGGGACATGGTTATGGCCACCGTCAAGAAGGGAAAGCCCGATCTCCGCAAGAAGGTGTTGCCCGCGGTCATCGTTCGTCAGCGCAAGCCATGGCGCCGAAAGGACGGTGTTTACATGTACTTTGAAGGTATTACACTTTCTCTTTTCATTTCCTATTGGATGCCGCTATGTTATTATGTTTTTGTTTTAGAATATTTTTATATTTGCTTGCTTTTTGTTTCTGCAGATAATGCTGGCGTTATAGTTAATCCTAAGGGTGAAATGAAAGGTATGGATTGTGAAATTAGCTTCTCTAACTCCTTGTGTTATGTTTGATTGCAATTTGAATTTGGTGGTTTTTTAATGAGTTTGGATTTGTGGTCGAGGTTTTTTAATTTTTGGTCTTGTTGTGCCTTGTTACTTTTTGGTGTATTTGATTTGGTGAGTCACTTGTAATTGTAGGCTCGGCTATTACTGGACCAATTGGAAAGGAGTGTGCTGATCTTTGGCCCAGGATTGCAAGTGCTGCCAATGCTATTGTTTAAGCTGGGTTTCTAGTGGCTTCTGTAACGTTTCTTTTAATATTTGTTTTGGTTGAATTGCAGAGAATGCGGCACGCACAGTTTGTCATTGTTTGACTTCTATTTATAATAGTTTTTTTGGTTGTTCATCATATCTTAATTTCCTTTTTAACTTGCTTTACTTATTCTGTTTGGGTTCTAGTGAGTTCATGTTGCTATTTTGATCGATGTTTAGATGAGAGGGTGGATAACATGTCCTTTGGTGAGTGCATATTGGTATTTTGAATGATGTTTTACATTATCTGAAGTCCTAGAAAAAGTTAACTCGGATCCTCTCTAGTGATGAAAAACTGGAGTGTGCAGTTTACCAATCCCTCAGTCATTTTATTCTGCAGTTTAGGTCGTTTATTCTGCAGTCATTATAGAGTGTTTTTGTTTGAGCAGTTATTGAGATTATTTTAACAGCTTATTATTTATGAAGCTCTTGAAATTTGATCATTATTAACTGTCACTTTATATAAAGAACCACCAAACATCAATATCTTGTTTTTTCATTGATTATAGTAGATAATACCAGCAGCATTTTATATTGAAATTTGAATCCTTAATTAAGATGAGGATCTTCCATTGGAAAATATCTTGTTCAACATGTAATGACAATTGTGTAGTGTGGTCTAAACCATGTCCTTGTACAAATAAATTCGGGGGTGAATTGGCTCTTACTGCACAAAGCCTACTAAAGGAAGTGTTATTGGACAAGTGTATTTCAATCAGCCACAATCCTCAAAATTATTTCTATAGCAAAACCTTTTCACATGTGGTTGATTCTGTACAAGTATGCAAACAGGAACTAATAAAAACACATTCAATAGTTTTCGGTCATATTTTTCCTTTCTTTTATTAACCTTTGCAAGACCACCTCACATTTTAACATATTTCAAATACAATTATCTTTTAATTATAGGGAGTTTTACCTAAATCTTTATAAAGAATTCGAGGTTATTTTTAAACACATGTATTATCCATGCATTCCAATAAAATTACTCATTTTTCAATACATGTATTATTCACGTCTTTATGAACTTAGTGTCTTATTTTTTACTTTTTTTCTAATTGACTATCTATATTTCACTAGTAAATTTTTAATTTATTAAATATTTTTTATAATTAATTAAATACACAACAAAATTATTTAGAAATATTTAGAATAATTTACCTTTGTGAATACTTTTAAAAATCATTTTGGAGTTTTTAAGTTAAAAAAAAAAAAACTAATTAAATGCACTTTGATTTTGTTATTAGAGGTATGTACATATTCATTTACATTTATTACATTATATTACTTTAATTTTACTATTATTAAATTGTCAGAGTTTTTTTTAACATGTCATTTTCTTTTATCTAAAATATTTTTCAAATTAAATTATCAAACTTTTTCCCACTCATTCTTAAAAACATTTTCCAAAATTAACTTCTCAAATGTTTTTAAAAACTAATAGTGGTAGTATTTCATCTTCATTTCTCCAATTTTTTCAATAGCAACACAATTTATAACATTTATTGTTGATGAAGTAAAATAATTAAGGATAGTTGGTTAAAAAGTAATTAACAATGCGGAGAATAAAAAAACTTATAAATAAGGATAAAGGTGTAATTATGATGTGTAAATGGTACAGACTAAAATATATTTCTGCACATAAAAAAAATTCACTTAAGAATTTTTTTTACTTGATGTTTTCTTTTAGAATGTATTTAGGTTCTTAAGTAGGTAGATGTTTACCATTAACTTAATTCCTAACTACTTTTCACTTGTTTTGATTTGGTAACGAGATAAATATGATATCAATAATAGAAATAATTCACATATTTTTATTTTAAAAAATTTAAATATAAATTTATGATGTCATATTATTTTTTACCATTTCATTATTTATTTTATTTTATTTTAACTTTTCTTAATCAAATTTTTAAAAATTTATATTTTTCTTAAATTTTTTTTTAAGGATATCTCTAATAAAAGTAGTTTTTATATTAAAAATGTAAAATAGGAATTATGTTACTTCATTTTTTTTAGGATATTTTCATTAGAAGTTTTTTTAATAGATTTTTAAAAACTAATTCTCTTTTCTTATTTATTTTATTTAGTTTATTTTTGTAAGTTATTTGATCAACTAACTAACAAAAAGAATTAAAAAACTCAACATGTCACATAAGATTTCTCGTATGAAAAGTTTTCAAATAACTAATATGGTAACTTCAGTGAAAGTTTTTTGGCGAAATGTTTAAATGAAATATTACTTGTTTCAAACAATTTTACATTAAAGGTATCTTATGTGACGTTACTTAAATTTGTTATATTTGTTTTATTAAACAATTTACAAAAATAAATAAAACAAAGTAAACAGGAAGAAAGAATTTGTGTTTTTAAAATTCATTAAGAAAATTCTGCTCTAAGTAAAATCAAAGATAAATTGTTTAAGAATAATGTGAGACAATAAATTTATATTTTATATTTATAAGATAAGAAACAACTTATATTAGTTGTTCCCATTGGATATGTCTTTAAGCATCTTAAGGGAGATGTTCTAAGTTAACAATTATAAGAAATTTAAGTACCTTATTATGTCACATGGAATTTTTTCAATAAAATTTTGTTTGAAACAAATAGTACTTTACTTAGACATCTCATTATAAACAACTGGAGATGCTTTAAGTTATTTAATGAAATAACTATAAAAAAAAATAACAATTTAAGGTATCTTTAATGGGAGCAACTCATATGAATGAATTGTTTCTTATATTGAAAATTGCAAAATATGGATTTATTGTGTCAAATCATTCTTAATCTTCATTTTAATAAATTTTTATGATAAATTTTAAAGAACTCATTCTCTCTAATATTCTTTCTCTTTATTTACTTTGTTTTGTTTATTTTTGTAAGTTGCTTAATAAAAAAACTATAAAAAAAAAAGTAAGCAACTTAAACCATTTCCAACTGAGAATATTTCAAAAAACAATTCAAGGTATTTGAAGCAACTCTCCCACTATGACATTACAAAAAGAGTTATTTTAGATTGAGAGAAAATTCATTCATCATCAATTCAAAATTCATTCTCAAAAAATAATCTAAATTCATACATCCTCAATAAAAAATTTACAAAATTATTAGGCACCAATCAACAATAATAAATTTCAAAATAAAGATGAAAATATATAAAATGTTAACAAAAATTAAATCATTGAGCAGCGAATGACTTTTAATGTAACGATAGTGACAAGTGGACACAATAACAATGATCGTGGAGGCAGTCACAAAAGCAAAAACAACAACAATAAAGACGAATTAGGATACAAACATGGAAATAGCGAGGACGAGAACACAGACACAACAATATTGACAATGGAGACAACAACAACATAAGCAATAACAACAGAAGCAACAACAACGAATGCAATGTAAGAGAAGATGAGAGGAAGGGAATAAGGGAAAGAAAACAAGAAGAGAGAGGAAGAGGAAGATGGAAGGGAGAAAAAGAGGAAGGATAAGTGGTATGGAGAAATGAAATCTACAGAGTGAAATGAAGGATGGAGATCTCAAGAGTGAAATAGAAAAAGCAAAGTGGGAGAGGACGCGTGAGTGAATGGAAGAATAGAACAACTAAAAAATTGAACTGTTAGATTATGAAAAAAAAAATTGAACTATTGGATTGTTTTCGTTATTAGTCATTGATAAGTGTTTTTAAATTTTACCGTTAAGTGTATTAGTCGTTGAGTAATAGTTTATTATAATGTAAAACCTCCATTAAGGGTAAACAATTTTCACATATCCTTCATTTCACCATTTTTCTTCTTCTCTAATTATGGATTACAATCAATTTATTACCAGTATTATTATAATTTATTGCAAAATCATTTATCTCTTAGGTGAAATTTTTTTAAAAATTATATTTATTCACCACCATTTTTTATGTTTCCACTACATCCAATGACATCAATATAAGTAACATTCCTCCTTTATTCAACATAGAGCCTTTTTCCCCAATCAGACTCGAAAATATCCAACTTGATGGAAGTGGTGAAAATATGTATGTCTCAGTGTAAACCTTGTGTAATATTCTCAATATCAAGGGATATAATTTCAATTCGATCATGGTTGAATGTGTCGAATGATCAAATTGTTGGAACTGATAAGTTATTAACCCAATATTGGAAGTAGATAAAAGAAACATACACAATGACGACAAACATAGTGCTTTCACAAAGAATTTAGTAAATCAATTAAAATCTCGATGGAGTAAAGTTCACGTTGCAATTTAAAAGTTTAATGCATGCTTTAAACAAGTTGTCAATCAAAAGAAAAAGTGGTCGGGCCAAGAAAGATGTTATGTTTTTTATTAAGTGACGAAATTTATTTATACTATGAGTTTTCGAGGAACATTAAACAACAATTTAACTTTAATTTTTGTTTAGAATTTTGCCAATTTAGAATAAATTGCTTATATCCTTTTTGTGCAGGATTAGGTACAAAAATTGAAAAGAAGAAGAAGAAGAACAAGAAGAAAAAAGAAGAAAGAAACCAATCAACTACTGGAAAAGAAATTAGAATAATAGAAAAAGTTAACTGGTTAACAAAACAAGGCAACATGTAACTTATTAACTTCTTTTGTACTTTTCTTGACTTACATATATATGAAATCTTATTATTCAGTGTTAATGATTTGATTTTATGTTTAAAGTTAAGGTGACTTGATCAACCATCTTTTGATTTCTGATTTGGATTTATGTTGGAAAACTGAACTTGGATATGTTTAAATCAAATCGTCTAATAATGTTGTATGCTAGGAATAAATGTGATATTATTAGTTGATATAATCCTAGGCTTAATATAAAAAGCTTATTTTAATGATTAAAGGGATTGATTGTTATAATAAGATTTTTAGAAACTCAAAAGCAAGAGATTGCATTGAGAGAATTTTAGGACTCAATAGTACTATGCTGAAAAGTTAAATATGTGAGTAAGAAGAACACAAAAAAGGAGATAAACAAAATTCAATCTCAATACATCTATTTGATATTGTAGTTTCACTAAGCAATTTTCTGCTTTAACTAAAACTGCATAGTTAATTTATTAAACATGTTTAAATTTCTTATTTAATTGCAAGTTAAACTTCTATAAATGTTATTGAATACTTCACAAGTCCTTGAGAATATAATACTTGTTTATACTACAATCACCTAGTATGCTTGCTAGTAAAAGAAAAATTCTTAACATTATTCCCACATAAGATTTTCATAAAAGATTTAAGAGGGAACAAATCTTGAGTATGAACATGCTTGTTTGTTATTAAAAGATAAATCAAAATGGCAATCAACATTTGTGGATGATTTTTTTAAAAAAGATACAAGATTTATACTTCAAGTACATACTCATCATCTTTTAACCCAAAGACACTCATTGAAATTGAAGAATGTGACGCAACATCGCCAACATCTCACCCTATAGGACAAAATGCAATTAAGGGAAAAAGCAAAAAAGAAAGTAAGTGCAAGTGCTACTCTCCATATTGATTTATCTAACATAGAAAGTGCAATAAAGAAAAAAAAAAGTTTGATGAATTGATTGAGTTAAAGAAGTCATTGCAAAAACTAGTAGTTGTGAATCTATACATAGTTATGAATGTTATGCAATATCTCATATTTTCTAATATTAAAATATTAGTCTTTGTTTTCAAACACTTTAATTATTCATACAATAGATTTTAAAAACATTAATTTAAACATATTGTTGGATCAAGTAATGGAATGAGAACACGAGGAGAACTCAAAGATAACAATGATGAAAAAATCATGGGGTTACTAGTTAAGTATCAACAATAAGTTGACAACAATGGTGCTGACAGACAAAGGAGAAAGGTAGTTCATTGAAGAAGGTTCCGTATACGAAGGAAGATATTTTTGTAAGAATTGTGGAAATCCTGGGCAATTACGATGATTACTTTATAATGAGAATGCAACACGAAGAAAAGATTTATCACCTTTGCAAAATTGCATTATTATTGTTCGTATATTGACTCATGACTCACTTATCGACAGTGTGGACGAATATATTCAAATTGGTATAAGCACTACAGTAGAATGCTTACAATGATTTGTATTAGGCATTTGTGTAATCTTTGAAAATGAGAATTTAAGGAGACCTAACAATGAAAACATTAATCTATTGTTATAAATGAGAGTGACATGTGAATTTCTAAGTATGTTAAGATCAATTGATTGCATGCATTAGAAATGAAAAAAAATGTACAGTTATATGGAAAAGTCAATTTTGTCGAGGTGACCATGTTAACCTGACAATTATTATCGAAACTATGACATCACAACTTTTGTGGACTTGACATGCATTTTTTGGTATTATAGGGTCAAATAATAATATTATTGTGTTAAATGCATATAATGTGTTTAATGAATTTATATTAGGTTTTGTACTTACGGTGTCTTATACTGTGCATGAAACACAATATGATATGAAATATTACTTAGTATATGGTATTTATCCAGATTTTGCCACATTTGTGAAAACTATTTTAATGTCACAAGAAAAAAGAGAAATTATTCGCTCAACAACAAGAGTCAATTAGAAAGGATGTTGAACATGCATTTGAGGTCCTCCAATCTCGATTTGCAATTATACGTGATATGAAACATTTTTTGGATGCTCATACACAGGGGCAAGCCATAAATTTTAAATGACAGGGGCCCAACATATAAAAAACCATCTTCCATATTTTTTCGAAACCTTGTTTTAATAATCTTCATAGCTGAAAATGCGTGTGTTTTGTTGTTGTAGGAACAAGAATAGTCAAAATACGTCGAATCAGTCTATCAATCAAAGGATATACATTGGATTTTTTAGTTTTCATTAATCTCTAACATAACTCTGCAATAGTAAAAAAATTATGAAAATTTGGAACTTTAGACATATCAATTTCATAATGTTGTAATTCATATGTCAATTGAATTTTCTCTTACTTAGAAAAATTTGATGAATATAAACTCAACTAGCTTACAAATGTTAAAAACATTAATTTTTTTGTAATCATTTTTAGGATCTAAATTGGTGCTCAATATAAGAAACTCGGTTGTGTGCTCATTGAATCTATTATTCAACTAAATTTATTAGTGGTGAATACTCTGACCAAGGAAAACTTTTGAAACAATTAGCTAAAATCGATGAGGAGTATTATCTAAACCTGAAAGTGGATACTCATCCATAAAAAAAACTAATAAGACCCATACTACATATATGCTTTACGGATTTCATCTTGATAATTAATATGATAATTTCAAATTTTATGGACACTTTCCAAGATCACGTATCGAAATATCAATATTTATTTTTTATATACAATCCTCATAATTTTGAAAGAAGTTTGTTGAATAGATTGATCAATTGTAGGTTGCTCCACACTATTTTCAACATTCCTTGTTGATTTACATTTAGTAAATTAAAGTTTATTTCATTATTTATCTTTTTTTTTTCTCTTGAAAAATGAATCCATAGTTTTCTTCGTAAACATCTCTAAAGTTCAACCTAATTTATTTTTTGACATTTTAACATCATAAGACATTAAAACAACTAACTAATTTGCAACAAATAAATAAATTTACTTATTGTTCTATACTTTAAGAAGAATATTGCAAAATATCTTATTTATTATTTAATTTCTTGTATTTATCCAACTTGAACAAAAGAGAAAAAAATTGAAAAACTAAAAGTGACAATGTTTATTATACTAGAAAGGTAAAACTATAAAAAGATCGAAAAACTTACACTTTTATGTTATGTGGAGAAATAAAAAAAGAGAAGAATATGACGATGAAGTAAGAAAAAAAAAGAAGGTAAAAATATGAAAGTAAAAATAAAAATAAAGCCTGTGATATAAAAAAAATTGAAATAGGAAAGTAAAAAAAAAGATAAAGTTTGAATATAGAAAGAGGAAGGAAAAAAAAGGTAAAATTTGAAAATTGTGCACAAGAATAAAGATATTATTTATTACAAGTGAAAGGTGAAATATGAAATGATAAAAAAATTAAATTTTATTAATACTTAAAAAATACTTTTTATTTAATGTATATAATAATAATAATAATAATAGTAAAGTTTGATTTACGTGCTTCTAGTAAACCAAATATATATATATTTTTTTGTAAACGTCAAAACTTAAAAGTTGTTTTTGTTTTTTATATGTTTTATTAAACTGCCCTTGTATCGTGTGAGATGAAATGCGCTTCTATCAAATAAAATTCCTTAATATATTGAAAACGGCCTCGGATATTAATGGGCCAAATTTAACAGCCCAGGCCCATATAAATTAAACCCTAGTCAGAGTCGTCATCGTGCATGTATATATAGAACAGAAAGAACCAAGTTAGGGTTTGTGTTGTTCAACCTAGTCGCAACAATGTCGAAGAGAGGTTCGTTTTGACTGCTGAATGAATGGATTAATTCCTTGTATCGTGTGTTAATTAACCAATTCGTGGCGTTTCAGGTCGCGGAGGATCGGCGGGGAACAAGTTTAGGATGTCACTGGGTCTGCCAGTGGCGGCGACGGTGAACTGTGCCGACAACACCGGCGCCAAGAACCTCTACATCATATCAGTGAAGGGAATCAAGGGGAGGCTAAACCGGTTGCCGTCAGCGTGCGTTGGAGACATGGTCATGGCCACTGTCAAAAAGGGAAAACCCGATCTCCGTAAGAAGGTGTTGCCAGCGGTCATCGTCCGTCAGCGCAAGCCATGGCGCCGAAAGGACGGTGTTTACATGTATTTCGAAGGTATTACACTTTCTCTTTCCTTTTTCCTATTAATGGCTGCTATTTTATGATGCTTTTGCTTTTAAACGAATTTTGATTTGGTTGCTTTTGTGTACGCAGATAATGCTGGTGTAATCGTTAATCCAAAGGGTGAAATGAAAGGTATGGATTGTGAAATTTACTTCTTTAACTCGCTTGGTAGTGTTTAGTTACAATTTAAAGTTAGTAATTTTTTTGATGTATTTAGTGTTTGTGGTTGATGTACTTTTATTAGTTGTTTTGTTGCGTGTTACTTGTTTTGTTTGATTGGGTTGTGTCAATTGTGATCGTAGGATCTGCTATTACTGGACCAATTGGAAAGGAGTGTGCCGATCTCTGGCCCAGGATTGCAAGTGCTGCTAACGCGATTGTTTAAGTTGGATTTCAGGGTTTTTGTAATGTTTCTGTTTCGTTAAATTTCTGATATTTATTTAGGATGAATCGCAGACAATGTGGCACATATAGTTTGTCTTCGTTTGACTTCTCAGTGAGAAATGTTTTGAAGGAAATTATTGATAGTTATAAGAGATGTATTTTTTTTTGGGTATTCTTGTTATCTTAATATGTTTAATTTTGCTTTACTTCAGTTTGTGCATTTCGTGAGTGCTTGATTTTATTGGTATTTTGAATGATGTTTAGATTACAGGGATGACATGCCCTGTTTTTCCAAGGATTGACTGGTTACGTTGTTTAGTCATACGACATAGATTTTAGGTTTTAGTTTTCTTATCATGTGTTAAGTGTAGGAAAGATCATTGGGACTAGTGTGATAAAATGCAAAATGCTGCTGCTGAGGACTTTGGCATTTTTTTTTATGTATGAAATTATCTAATAGAAAAGATAACAGTGGTCCTCTCTAACAATGAAAATAAATGGAGTGTTCAGTTTACAAGCTTACTACTCATAATTTTTTTTTAATCATTAAAACAAAAATTCTGAGAGTATCTACCGGTCGTTTTTTCTGCAACCGTGTTGAGCCTTGGGGCGTGTAATCCTGCTCCAATTTATCAAGGGAGAAAATTTTCGTTCCTTACATTACTAAATGTTTTCGTTTGAGCAAATTATTGAAAAAGTAAAAGTCGAGGAGGTTGTTATAATAACAACGTGTTACGAGTGAAGCTCTTCAATTCTTCAAATTGGGTGATTATCAGTTGGCAATTTATTGTACAGTACTGGGGTATTTTTTTAATGAAATAGTATTTCAGAATCAATGTGAGGAATTTAACTGGGAATAATAATGCTAATAAATTTGTGATATAGTAATTTCTTTATATTTGTCGGATGAGGGGCGTTACATTTTTCTATGAGTAGGCATAGGAACTTTCTTTCCAATAGGTTTATTGTCTTTTGTGTTTTTAATTCTAATGATTTTACCAAATAATTCACTGTTTAAAAGATGGGAGTAAAAATAATAGTGACGACTGAAGTAGCGGGTAACGTTTCACTAATACTGCCAGTTTCTTGGAGAGCATTCTTTATTGGAAATAACATGAATTTCGTGGTTCTCCCTATATAGTCTGCCTTAATATTCCACGGAAGTTATAAAAGAGTTCCAGCAATGTTGAAAGTAGCCTTTAATTTGTGTAGAGTTTTGGCTTTGGGATTCAATTTTCTTTGTAGGTGAAAATATGCATATTTTAATTGTACCTTTACCTGTACGTAAGCATGAAATGATCTGTCCCTCAAATTAAACTGAGTTCTTTCGGGCTTAATTTATTTTTGGACCGAAATTGTTATGATGAGGGTTCGCTCGCATGACATGTATGCAACAAATTTAAAACTTGAAGTGATACATATTCATTAATGTAAGTGGCTTACTAGCAGAGATTGAACCCAAATGGAAAAGACCTTTGTTTGAGGTAGTTCAACCCTGCCCTTAATGGTGGACTCGTTTCAATTACATCACTGCATGAATCAACGGAAAAGCTAGCGATTCTGATATTTTTGTCTCATACCTTGGAGCACAAGAGGAATTTACCAAACCTTCGAGCAAAACACGGTAAATTATAAATGATGCACATAACAAGTCCTAGTAGGTAGCTATACTAGTATAGAAGTGGTTGAGCTCTTCATTGATGTTACACCTCCAGAGGGCATATTTTCAGTCCACTCCATGCTGTGACCATTATTAGTCTTTGGAAAGGCATGGAACTAATGTTTGATCGCTTGATGCAGTGTTCATGATGACCATGCTCTTCGTTTCCAACAAATAGAAAATTGACACCCTATATTTGGTTCCCTCCTTGTGTGGTCCACACTTGATAACCTACCTTACATAATGCATTCATCCAGTCCGATTCCTCATGATGCATTTCTCATAGCAGCACATGCTCTCACTTGATCTTAAGTGTGAAGCTAGCTAGCATAGCCAACAGTCGCAGTTTTATATCCCTCAAAGAACTCAGTTCTGTAAGCTTCAATTCATAGCAAAAATGAGAGTTAGCCCTTTAGTGACGACACTTGGTAATGTCCCAAGAAAGAGGTTACTTGGTTGTGGCGCTTCATCAAGAGTTCTCAGACAGCTAGTTTGCAAGTTGAAGCATAGTTGGAAGAAAACTATGGGATGGCACAAGAGAGGTCCACAGTACAGCTATGATTTTCGCAGTTATTGCCTTAACTTCAGCGATGGCCCTTCAAACGCCCATATCCACATCCCTCCTTCTCTTGGCTGAGGATACATAATCTTCCCCTTTGGTCTTCTTCATGATCAAAAGTTTACACACAAATGGGTCCAGGAGTGCATCAGCTGTATGGTTTCACCATTCAAAGAATGTTTTCAAAAGTACTTATATATTTCTCATTAAGGTTATTACACTATCAACTGTGAAATTTTAATTCACATATTTTAAGATCACTCTTATTCTTACCAATTGGCTTTCACTGAATTATGAATAATAGGTTTTTCTACAGTTTATTGTCATTCAATGTTTTGTTTTCATAAGCATAGCTCAGAAGTTAAATTTTGGAACAAGGCAAATGTCATGTGAGTTTTGGTGTTGTTGAGTTTGTGCAATTGTGATTATAGAAGTGTTTTCAGTGTCTTAATGGATAATTAATTTACCCTCTTCTCTTCTCTCTGGGATGAGTTCAAATTTCCACAGCAATTGGACCACTTGGATGAGCTGTCCTCTTAATTATCGTCTTTCATGGCTTTCTTTTGTGATGCAGCTCAATTTTGGTTTTTCATATCTACTTTTTAGGCAGGGATGTGGAGACATAATGTTAAGAAAATAAAGATTCACTACCCCATATCATATCAGTACCTCATTCATTTTTCAACAAAAATAAAGGTAAAAAAGTTGGCAAAGTGGCTCCCCATGGCTGGAACATGTTGTATATTATTAGTTTACTTTGTTTCCCTTCTGGATCCTTATTAATCCTTTTGTGAAATAACATAATTAGCGATTTAATACATTGCTAAAATACCTGTATGACCATGTCTCTGGCCATTTGGGAATCCAAAGATTAAATCACCTCTAAACATCTTTTCAAACAGAATCAGGATTCGGAATTAGAATAGTGTCCATGCCATAATAAGAAGAGTGATTAGTATTATTGTCCTAAAATTATGTTCAAATTATAAGAATCTACTTTTTTTTTCTCCTTTTTAGTAGGATTGGGTAGTTTTTTCTTATCAATCCATCTAAAATAATAAATAGATATAAAATAATTAATTCTCTTTTAATATAATTTATGTTAGGTATTTTGAAAGCATATGAAAGATATTTATAAATATATTTTTGAGTTAATTATGATACCATGTTGAATTCAACATAAACTATTTTTTTATTTATTTTATTTAACATGCAATTTCCACTCATTCTTAATTTCTGTCGATTTATTTTATGGTTAGACAACAATAATAAAACATTAACAAAATCCAAACATCATTCTTATCCAGTGTATTCATAAATATGAAGAGAGGTGATAAAGAAAAAAAAAGAGAAGGAGAAATTAAATTATAATATTATAATTTTATTACTTTATTTATTATTAATTGTAACAAAATTTGATAAATAATAATAATATTAATAATAATGAGAATATACATTTTAATAAAATATAAATTAATAATCACACCTTTTTCTACTAATAAAATATAAATATGTAATTTCTTAAAATTCTTAATAATATATATTATAATATAATATTATTTGAATCATTATTTAATTAAATTATTATTTCTTCATAATAAATAAAACCATCATTTATAAAAACTAATATTAATATATATATATATATATATATATATTAATAATTATAAAAATTGATTTGTTATTTTTAAATAATCAAATTTTAATTTAATTGGTATAAACTAATAAAACTGAACAAATTGATTAAATTAAGAAAAATAATTTTATCAACAAAATTAAAATATTAATTTTTTACAATTTTTTAAGAGATAATTTTATAGAAAATTTAATATTTTTATTTTGGAGTTATATCAATTTTAAATAATATTTATTTTATCATGTTTTTATTTTTCTTTTACAATTATTAATCTTTCAATTTTCATTATATTTTTTATTTTTTAGTTTTAATTATTATTTAGAATAGTGACAACATTTTTTATATATAATTATTATTTTTTCTTTTATAAAAATTATTATTTTATTAAATTCAATTATATATTGATTAGGTCTGATTAAAACTTTAAATCCTGAACTCACGTTAATCTCATTTATCAATTTTAAAATATGATTTAAAATGACTTAACTGGAATAAAAAATGTCATATTTTAAAAATAGGTTAATAATAAACACACCAATCAGACATGAGTCTAACCCATATAAGGATTGATATCATTCTAAACCTAGAATCTTAAGACATGCTTACTTGACTCACTGTAGGATCTGTCATGAAAACCACTTTGTGTTTACTGTCGATTAATCTTCTACTTTGATACCACTTTTTAGATCTTTTGAGGAGATTCATATGAAAGAAAACATCAATGAAACATGAGTCCAACTCACGTAAGAATTGACACTACTCAATTTTCTTATTTTTACGAATGTGAGACTTAGAATCACATTTATATTTTATACGGAAGTGAATATTAATGATAAGATTCCATTGTCTTTCCTTCGATAAGGAGGCCATGATACGTGGCAATGATGATGACTGACTTGAAAAGAAGTATTTCTTCCAACCTCGAATATGGATGAACACACATCAAACAATTTAAATCCGTACTCAGTAAATGAGGTGCAACAAGGTTGTATGATTAAAGCTTCTGGTTGAAATTCTCAATAGGGGCATTATATATAAATTTATATATAACACTACTTTATAATACCAAATTAGTAGAAGATGTTAGTTTAAACTCGATAATTAAATATGATCTTCTTCCTAATGATCAAACATATATATATATATATATATATATATATATATATATATATATATATAATCCCATATTGTAAACATGTTATAAACTAAATGCGAAAGCGTACTCGAATTAGCCATAATAATGATATTCTTTGTAGAGCACCTTTGATTTGATCTTATGGTCTTCCACCTGAAGAGCACCTGTATTTCCCTATGGATTTTCTCTCTTGATGGGGATAGAAAGAAAAGAACGGGACTGTAACTGTATTCTGTCTGTGTGCTCTCAGAAGGGGACCATGACCCTTTATATAACCAAAATTAGGTTAATTACTTAAGTTTTAGTATTTTTCAATTTGGCCCCTCATCAAATTAGAAATTACTCTATGGTCTCTACACAACATATTTTCATGACATATGCCTTTAGCCAAAACTTTAATTTATTCAGATCACTTTAATTATTTGGCTTAATAAATAATGACCCTAACACATTTAAATATGTATCATATATATACATGACCCAAAATTTGCCAACAATCTCCCACTGGTCACAAATATATATGTCTTTACAACCTTACAAATGTGTTAGACTTTATAAGCTCAAAATTATCATTATATTCCTTTAGCATATTCCAAAAGTCCTGTCCATTAATCATATCAAGATATAGAACCAAATCAGTTTTTCATTGCATCATCGCAACTAAAACTAACAAGATTACTCATCCTGACATAACCAAATGACATGGATTCATCATGAAATGTGTAGCATGAAAAATTACGTGAAGGTGATCTGTACACGTCTATTTTCAACTGGTCCAAACTTTAACTTATCGAGATCGATACAATAACCTTAATGTACAAAGTGTAATGAATGAACAAGAAAACCGCATATCTATAGATAACCAAATATGTCCAAAAAACAATGTATACATATATAAAATTAAACATAGAACATAAAATATATGAAAATGACTAACTCCCACTAAACCACAAATTCCTCAAACTGTAAAACACCCATGTGAGCAACATGCTCATGAAAGACCTTGGGCGGGAGTCCTTTAGTTAGAGGATATGCTATCATGGAGTTTGTCCTTAAGTGTTCTATGGAAATCTGTCCACTTTGTACTCTTTCCTTAACAATACAGCTGATTTATTGTCACAATATAACTAAAGTGGTCTTTCAATGCCTTTCACAATTTGCAGCCCTGTGACAAAATTTCTCAACCATATTCCATGATTTGATGTCTCATAGCATGCTACAAATTATTGACATCCTGCAAAATCTGAGTCAGAAAACCCAGCGATCTCCAACTGGTCTGACCTCCTGTATGTGAGCATATAATCTTTTGTTCTTTTTAAATATCTTATGACCCCTTTTGCTGCTTTCCAATGGTCTATTCCTGAATTGCTTAAATATCTGCCTAGAACCCCAACTATGTATGTTATGTCTGGACGCGTACATATTTGGGAATACATCAAACTCCCGATAGCTAATGCATGGGGAATCTGTTGCATTTTCTCAATTTCCAAATTCCTCTTTGGGCACTAATTTAGACTAAACTTGTCTCCCTTAGTAACTGGAGTATCCCCAACTCATGACGCACAGGTTCTTGAGGATCTTGAGTTTGGTCTTGACGAACAATCAAATCATCTTGAATATGGGGTTTATCATCAATGCCTTGTGGAGGTTCCGAACTTACTTTATCAAAAGTAACTGTTTGAATCGGTTCTGGATTTATTGTCGATTCTTCCTCCAATACAAAATTCTTAATTTTATTCTTCCCCCCAAACTCAATATCCTCAAAGAACATAACAGTTCCCATATAAAAAATTGTCTTTAATGTGGGATCATAAAATTTATATCCCCTGACTCTTTCAGAATAATCAAAGAAGTAACTACTTACTGTTCGGGAGTCCAATTTTAGTTTAATACCACGAGATTCTGTATTAAGAGTTGCATTATAGGTTACCACAGTATCAAGTAAATATAGATTATCATTAGCCAAAAAATGAACCAGTTATAACAATATCTGAATTAAAAGACAAACTGAACTTATTGTTTCCAAATGAACACAAATAATCTATTTGTCCAAATAAGAAACTGAAACCAAATTCCGTCTAAAAGACGGCACGACAAAAAAATGTCTTTTAAATCTAAAAAAAAACCCAGTACATAATAATAATCTAAAATGTTCAATAGTCTCCATCTCCACCAATTTGCCATTTTCTACGTATATTCATCTTTCAGAATTAGTTGACTTCCGGTAGTTTAGGCAACCCTTTCTTTTCACGCCAAACATGATATTTATCACATTGCTTCTTTACATGTCCAGTCTTATTGCAAAAGAAACATTTATTTTCTTGAGTTTGTTTCTTTTGTTCTAGACCTTTAGCAGCTTCCTTCTTGGGATCCTCCGATCTCTTTCTTTTGCCTTTAGCCTTAAAGGTACTTGCAAAATGAACACTTTCTATCTTATCTTGCTTTAGCCTTTCTTCTTCTTGTACACAATGTGAAATGAGTTCATTAAGGGACCATTTATCCTTCTGACAGTTGTAAGATACCTTAAACTGATTAAACGTTACGGGAAGAGAAATCAATACCAAATGAATGAGCAAGTCTTCTGAGAGTTCAAGCTTTAGTGCCTTGAGTTTAAAAACAATATTAGACATGCTCATAATGTACTCCCTGATATTTCCTTTGCCCTGATATTTCATGGAGATCAAGTTCTGAAGAAGAGTGCTTGCCTCGACCTTATCACTTTTTGCAAAGCGCTGCTCAATTTCAGCAAGGAACTCTTTGACACTTGTGATGTTTTCAGAAACAGTGCCCCTAAACACCTCCGGGATGCCGCGCTTAATGATCATTAGACTCATGCGATTTGAGCGATCCCACTTTTCATAATCTCTTTTCTGTTCAGAGGTACTTGAATCCATAGGAACAGGGGGTTGCTCAGTCCTTAACGCAAGATCCATATCCATGCAGCCAAGAATAATATCAATGTTCTCTTTCCAGTCCTTAAAATTTGTTCCATTGAGGACCGTAACAGAATTTAAATTAGCAGATACAGAAGCAATTGTAGTTGGATTAGAACAAAAGAAATAAACTAATTATGCTCACATTATAAAAATAAATAATTATAAATAAAATATATATTCAAATAATGGTTTAACCCATCTCAAGACACCCAATGCACCATCAATATCAAGTCTTTGGACGAGTAATATTAACTGCTAGAGGTATCTTGTTGTAATAATCAAACATTGATAATAAAGCACGTCCAACAACAAACCAGTCTTTGGATTGATTTATCATCGACAAAGCAAATCCTTATAATTATCACATGTTTATCATTACAGGTGTGTATGTAATTCGGCCAAATATTAATCTTCCTTTGGACCAACTAATATTCGCATGAATATACACAAACACTAACATTCAATATTTTTTACGAACTACCCAATTCAAGAAATGTTACTTTGATAACTTCTTGACTCAATTTGTTCACAAAAATATTAAACTACCAAAAAAGTAATATTTTATTTATATAACAAAAACCAAATTTATGATTATAAAGAAGAAAAAAATATATAATTTTTGTATATGCACTTTAAGTTGGATTGTTTTGAAATTTTTAATTTATATATATAACGACATTCACAGGCGTGAACCATCGCCATCTGCAGAATGCTTCATGGGCAGAAGACGATCTCATGGGTTAAGTGCCCGATTGTTAGTAATTAACTGCCATCTAGGGTTTTAAACTAAACCCTTTAATTGATATTCCTTAAGCTAACTCTCTCTAAGGACCTGTGCGGCATAATTTCCTTCCCTTCCATGAAGACATTCTTACCTCCAAAATGTAGTCTGTTTCTGGGACTGTTGAGCCAATCGGATCAACCTCATATGGTGGTGCATCAAACCTGTTTTTGAATGCAGCTGAAATTATAATTGCAAATATACCACCTGCCAAAATGCCAAAACCCCGTATGGCAAACACTGCAGCAACGAAGGCACCACGAGTCTTCTTGTTAGAATACTCAGACATTATGGTAGCAGAAAGTGGATAGTCTCCACCAACTCATAAGTCTTTGCCAGGAAAGGGGGCAGGGAACATGAGCTACCCAGTGCCTCATCCATCACTTAAATCAAACCTCAATCACCCCAACTCACAAATCTCAGCCAAAACCCAATAACATAAAACTCCCACTTTCAGCAAAATTAATAATAGCCAATTATTGCCAAACCCATTTGCCTAAGGAGAATAACCCATGATATCAACAAAACCACGAGGCAGAAAAAGTTTTCAGCTTTCTCTCCTTTGTAACCCCAGAAACCCAAAAAAAAAAAAAACAATGCTTATTCTCAGACAAATCTTACAGAAGAATCGTGAATGAATTTCCCCAAAAATGTTAACGTAGTATTCTTCTTTCCTTGGATGGGAAAAATTGGTGAAGCTTGCACGTAAAGCAACAATAATTAAATTACATAAAATAGAATTGGCAGTTACGTTATTGGAGCTCTGCACTTGAAAAGGAAGAGGGAGAGAAAGCACAAAAATCGCAGAGAAGAAAAAGAAGGACTCGTTCTGTTTATCGGTGTTTACAATTTTCCAACTGTTCGATCCTTTCTTTAACACGTAGTTGATTTTTCAATTAGGGTTCTTAATGAGAAACTGAATCCCTTCCCCAGCCACACCGGAGGCGTGTCGTGCAACCTTCGCTAATTCTTCGTGTTGAGCCAACAGTTGTGCCGTCTCCGGATAATGCCACACGTGGAACAAAGAATTGGGTTTTAAGAAACCCGATTCTCAATTTTGGGGTTTTTAATTAGGGATTTAGGGTTACGAAAATTAATTTAAATTCTTAAATATTTCTTAAGACAAACATGAATCAAGTATGGGAGACTCTGATACCAATTGTTAGTTTAAACTGATAATTAAATATGATCTTCTTCCTAATGATCAAACATATATATATATATATATATATATATATATATATATATATATAATCCCATATTATAAACATGTTATAAACTAAATGCGAAAGCGTACTCGAATTAGCCATAATGATGATATTCTTTGTAGAGCACCTTTGATTTGATCTTATGGTCTTCCACCTGAAGAAGCACCTGTATTTCCCTATGGATTTTCTCTCTTGATGGGGATAGAAAGAAAAGAACGGGATCAGTAATCGTATTACTGTCTGTGTGCTCTCAGAAGGGGACCATGACCCTTTATATAACCAAAATTAGGTTAATTACTTAAGTTTTAGTATTTTTCAATTTGGCCCCTCATCAAATTAGAAATTACTCTATGGTCTCTACACAACATATTTTCATGACATATGCCTTTAGCCAAAACTTTAATTTATTCAGATCACTTTAATTATTTGGTTTAATAAATAATGACCCTAACACATTTAAATATGTATCATATATATACATCAAAATTTGCCAACAAGAAGGTAGACATTGATCTATTTATCTTTTTATCTTTTCATATTCAGTTTATGTATTTTACAAAGTTCCTTCTCTATCTACACATTAACACAACCAATAAAGTGAAAGGAAATAATAATGCTCACATGCATGCCATTTGATACAGTGTTATTGAAGTTAATGCTTTGTAATTATAACTCATTAAAACTATCTAATAATTTCTCATCCACTAGTGGGGGACAATCTGAGTTGTCAGTTATCCAACTTTACAAAGTACTAGTATGCTACTTTTGAGTTTTCACCCCAAACGTTGGATTACTAAACCATCCAAAATACTGCTTCCACATTTGTTTTTTGAGCTGTATATTACATTTGACAGCAAAATTATATGCTCTGACTTTTCACCACATTTTCACATATTCTTAAAAGGGCATTCAACATTTCACACTTATTTTATGAAAATTTTACACCATTTTAATCATTGGTCGAATTTCTACACACAAAATCAACAGGGGTGTTGTATTATGTCTTGGACAAGAATATCAGCTATATATATCACTGCATGTCCCACATTTCTTCACTCAGTTTCCTTTTCGCAATTGTGCAAATGGCCAAGTGTCTGGCACTCTCACTGATCATATCAGGCCTTTTCATTGGCTTGGTAAGTCCAGAATGGAACTTACTGAATCCAAGATGGGGAAAAAGGGTTGAGGAAGTGAGTCCAGAATGGAACATATTGAACCAAAGATTGGAGGAGAATGTGGTTGGAGACAACTTGAAGAGCTACTGTGAAAGTTGGAGGATAAATGTTGAACTAAACAACATTAGGGGGTTCAGTGTTGTGCCTCAAGAATGTGTGGAGCACGTGAAGAAGTACATGACTTCTTCTCAGTACAAAGCTGACTCTGTGAGGGCGGTGGAGGAGATTAGGCTCTACCTCAGTGGGTGCTGCACTTTGAAAGGTGATGGCAAATATTCCTGGATTTTTGATATTGATGAGACCCTTTTGTCCACAATTCCTTATTATAAGAAGCATGGTTTTGGGTAAGTGCCTAATACTACTAAGCTTTTTGTCTTTATTATATATATAGTGCACACACATGTAATTAGTTTTTAGTGTTACTCTATAGTAGTATGATCGTGAGAATCGTTCAGATTTCAGACATTAACCTGACTATGACTAGGTGTCCACAATGCACTTAGTATATTGAATTAACCTCATAAAAAAACTGATATTGTTGTTTAATGTTTGGACTACTATTTTTTATCAGATTTGTTACTTAAGATGTTGGCATGCTGATTCTTGAGCAGATTTAGTTGCTGCTATTTTTGTCCAAGTGGTACAAAACTAGTTCATGTCATCAATGGTTAAGATGAAGTGTAATCAATTCAGTTTTGTTGGTTCAATTTGTTTATTTTGTGCTGTGTCTTTTAGCAAGGAAGTGGAATCTGTGATGCGTCATTTACTGACGTGTATAACTCACTCCACATTCTTTTAGTTCCACTGACGAAAGTTCTCAAAGTTGTCTCAAGAATTTAGCCAAAATTCCGTCTTTGTGAAGATTTATCAGAGAAAGAAAGGTGAATTCGGTGACTAACTAATCTGATGTAGCCAAGACAACATATCAACTTTCATTTGACTCGTGAAGAACCATTTCTCAATCACAACATTGTAAATTTGCAACTGGGTCATATTTCATTTGTCTGGTTTTGTCTGAAAGAAGAATACATTTATATGGTCCTGAGAGTGTCAATTAATCGATTATAGTTATCCATGTGTCAACATCATCATATTGTTTACTTTTGGATCAAATTAATATGAGATAAAATTCTTGTCCGTAGAATAATAGTTTTTTAGGATACTTGAATATCAAATTCATTGTCTTACTTATTGATTATTAATATTAAAAAACTGTACTGGAATACAAACACAAGGGGAGAAAAGTTGAATGCAACATCTTTAGAAGCATGGATGAAGGAAAGCAAGGCACCAGCTCTTGATCACACACTGGAGCTCTTCCATGAAATAAAGAACAAAGGGTTCAAAATCTTCCTGGTTTCTTCAAGAAAGGAAATACTTAGATCTGCCACAGTAGACAACCTAGTCAATGTTGGGTACCATGGTTGGACCAGTCTTAAATTGAGGTAATTTAGCACATTGATGGGGTGAGTTAATCCTTATTTACATCATGTTTAAGATGTAACTGATATCTTTACATGGGCAGGGGTTTTGATGATGAATTGGTTGAAGTAAAAAAATACCATTCAAAGGTGAGACAAGAATTGGTTGATGAAGGTCATCGCATTTGGGGCATCGTGGGAGATCAATGGAGCACTTTTGATGGACTTCCAATGCCAAACAGAACTTTCAAACTACCCAATTCCATTTACTACAAACCATAAATTTCTCTCTCTTTACCAATTATGTTAAAATACTTTTACCTTAATCACCATTACCATAAGCTATATACATATATTGTCCCTTCATCTATGTCAAGAGATTATCAAAATGGAACTTTTCTTATTCTATTTCTTACTCCATTGTGAAAACTCATCCTGAGCTTTTATGAGGGAAAAGAAAAAGGTTATTAATTAAAAGGGCCATGCCACCTTTATCAAAGAACCATAACTCTGTTTATTTTATGCTTTTCTTCTTCACTGGGTATAAAAGCAACTTTCAAGTATCACCTTGTTTGACATGTTTTCTAATACAACTTTTTTTATTAACTATTATTCATAGATGATATTTGTTGATTTCATTTATGATTCATAGTTGAAAAAACAAACTTGATTGGATTATGTAAGAGAATAGCAAAAAAAATAATTGGACTGTAAAATGATTAACAATTAAGGATACTACTAAAATGTGGAAATAATGAGGCCTCGTTGTCAAGTTGCTAGTTGTCATTGTCTTGTTTTCTAGAGTAGGAAAATAAAAAAGAAAACATTATTTAGAAGAAAACAAAAAAAGAAAACACAGTGCAAGGTGGGGGAGGGTCTTAATGATGACAACACAGAACCCAATTATTATTATATTCATTCATTTTACTTTTTTTTTTCATCTCACTTTTATCCTTTGCTTTGCAAATTAAATTATTTATTTAGTTTTTTCTTATTTAAGTTTTAGCTTTTTTATACAAAATCTATAGATTTATTTTTTACCCATGCGTAAAAATTATGTTTTTGATCTGTATCATTGAAAGGTTTTCTCATGATGTAATTTAGTCATAAACACTAATAGAATAATTTATTTTTTTATATCTTTATTTTTATTTCTCATAGAATTATTTATTAAATTTTTCCTATTTTTTTTCTTATTTTATACTAAAAAATATAAGAATTTAAAAATGTGATATATATTTTTAATAATTAATGTAATGTGGTTATGACTGTATAAATATAAACTAACATTAATTGGATGTGGTTATAATTAAATCAAAACTAATATCAAAATATTATAAAAAATAACTTAATTATCATAATGAAATTTTATTTTAATATTATTAAGCACAAAAAATAATTTTTTTATTTAAATAAAAATATAATTTGCGTGTTTGATTATGGTTTTGAATTTTCTTAAAACCCCACACTTAGACAGTAATTTTCCCTCTTAAATTGATGTTATCTATATTGAACTTTTTTTTTAAGATTCAAAGTTTTATTTTATTTAAGACTTCAACTTTTCAACAATTGTTAAGTATCTGTATTTGAGATGCTAAAAAACAACTTAATTTTTTACAAAAAATATTACCTTTAAGTATGTTAAGGTTCAAATATAAAATCAATTGTCAATATGTGGAGTAGCTCTAACATGTATTTAAATAATACTAAATGACATGAGTTAGGCGGTGTGGAACTTTCAACACACCCCTCCAACGAAGCTCGAGTAGCCTAACATGTATTTAAATCATACCAAATGACATGAGGTAGACGATGTGAGACTTTCAACAAAGTATACAACTTTTAAAACTAGAAAATAATTTAAAATATAATATTTATGTTAGTTAAAAAATTTAAACTAAAATTTAATATTAAAATTTTGTTTTGTATATTTATTATAATTTATTATCAAATTTTAATTAATTATTATAATTAATTTAAAAAACATCTTTAATTATTTTTAAAACCTTAAATTTGCTTTTAGTTTACTCTTTTTAATTTTAATTTCAATAAAATTATTTTATACTAATATCTATAAAATTAAAATTATTAACTTTAGTATTTATAAATAAATTTTAGTTTTTATATTTATTAAATATTTTTATGTGGTTTTAAAATTCCTATAAAATTTGATATCATTATTGTCATTCTTAATTTTTATTTTAAGATTTAAAAAGAATATTTTAGAACCTAAATATATTTAAAGATATCAGATATTGTATCTCGAATAATAATGGATATTACTTGAAACGGATTGATCATTCCTAAAATATATATTATATATGATAAGAGTTTTTTTTTTAAATAAAACTATTTTCTTTATCTAAACTAAAACCAAAATTTGCTTTTTTTTTTAATTTCAATCTTCCAAAAAAGAAAATGTTCTTACAAAACGTTCAAAATGAAAAAAAGTAAGTATGTGTTATTATATTATAATAAAAGAATATATATTTTTTAATTATATTTAAAATTTAAAATTTGTTTATAAATATAAATATATTTGAGATAAAATTTTAAAATATATTAGTATTTTTATCAATTATATATTTATATATTTAATTATATCTATAAAAATATAATAAATTATTAAGAATAATTTCAGATAAAAATGTAAAATATAATAAATCTATTAAAAATAATAAAAAATATTTATCTTAATTTGTATAATATTAAACTATAACTATTAACAAAATTCAAATTTTAATTAAGAATTAAAAAAAAACAGATTTTTTGACACAGTTGTGCAAATAATAAGAAATTAACTAACTATACTACGAATTTGGTGGCTTGTTTTATCTAACTGGTTTAAGTTTTTTTTTTAATTGATTGAAACAAATAAATTTTTTAAAAATTACTAAATTTTAATTATTTTAATAAGAAGATGCCGTATTTCATGAGTTTTTAAATTTATTTTTTTTAGAAAAGAAGAATATACGACTTATAATTTTATATAATAATAATAATAAAAATTTTATAATTAATAATAATATATTTTATGAATAAAATAAATAATTAAAATTATATTATTCTTAAAGTTATTATTTATTTTATTATTTTTATTAATAGTAATTATTACTATATAAAATACAAATAATATTAATAATAAGATAATTATAATAATAAATATAATTCCATTAATAGAATAATTATTAATATAAGTATTAGTTTTGTTAATAATTATTTAAAATAATAATAATAAATAAATAATAGAATTATAATTACTAATATAATTATTTTATTATCAATATTATTTTTATTAATACAATTAATAATAGTATAATTATTAATATAATAATTATTCATATAATTATTAATGTAAATTTAATTATTGTTATTATATAGTGAATGATTATTAATAAAATTATATAATTATTAAATATAATAATTAATAATAATAATAATAATTAAATTTTCATTATTAATTTAAATTTAACAATATAAATTTATATTATTAAATTTACATTATCAATATAGATTTAAATAATAATAATAATAATAAATATTAATGATATAAATTTAATTTTTATTATTACATATAATAATAATAATAATAATAATAATAATAATAATTACATATATTAATAATAATAATTATTATTATTATTATTTATATTATTTTATTATATTAATATTAAAATAATAATAATAATAATAGTATTAATATTAATAAATGAATAATAGAATTATGGTTATTAATATAATTATCTTGTTATTAATATCATTTTTATTTTATATAATTATAATTATATTACAAATAATATTATTTTATTATTTAGAATAAAATAAAGTAATATTAATAATATAATTATATTATTAATTATAATTATATTATTTTTTAATAATATTACTATTTTAGTGTTAATATAATATTAATAACAATATAATTTTAATAATAATATAAATTTAATTATTGTTATTATTTATTTTATGATTAATAATATAAAATATATTATTATTAATTATAATGATATAATAATAATAATAATTATAATATACAATTAGGAATACCACTTTATATATATATATATAAATTGTATTTTTTTTAAATTTAAAAATTAAAATCGTATCACTGTTAAATATATAATTTTTATAAAATTTATTTATGATAAATTTAAAAAAAAATACCAATTAAATAAAAAAACCTAATTTGGTTTTGGCTTTTGAGGAAAATGAAAGAACATGTTCGTAATCATGCAGTTGAAACCAAATGAACCTCAAGTGAATAGCTTTAGATATTTTCTGTGAGCATTCCCAACATCATTATCAACATCGTCTCAAACAAAGTCTTACTATAGAAAGAAACATTATTACATTGTGAAATGTACATTACATAGTACTGCTACCACACCACCAATTCAATCACCTAATGTGATCTTCACGCGCCACGCTGGCGCGTATGATTGGTACCGGCTATTCCTCCAAAAGGGACCAAAGCCAAAGCGCATTAGTTCGTCACTGTTAACTCTGGCCAGCACCCAACCTTCCCCTCGCCGGTGACGGAATTTGAAAGTTTTCTGGTAAGAGTTTGATGCAATCGATTTGGTGAATTTTTCTTCTTCTTCTTCTTCTTCTGTCTTTTCTGTTATTTGCCTAAATACCCTTTCCTTCAATTCCTCTTTTTTCCTTAATTGTTGGGTCCAATTCGCATTGGGTTGCTTCTATTCTCTTTCTTTGCTATATTGGTTCCACCTGTTAGCTTTGGTACGAAGTCTGTTCCTAATTTACCCATTTTTTTTATGTTAATTGAATAGGTTGTGAGTTTGCATGCGTATTTCTCATCACATCTTGTGAATTGCGTTCTAAATTTTTCGTTTTTGCTGGGTTATTATTTGCTAAGGACATGTTTAATCAGTAGTTTGTACATTTTTTTTAATTATTTTTCATAAAGTGTGCTCCTTTTGCGATGTGCCTATTGTTGGGAACCTCACAGTGGTGGCTTGCATATTGGGTTGATTATTTATTTGTTGTTTCCGCACACGATTAACCCTTTGAAGTTTGAACTGTGTGAAAACAGTAGGGAAGAACTAAAAATTGGTAGAGCGTGGGATACGGATGTCGTTTGTCCACTATGAATAATACATAATGCAACAGTGAAACTTGATGTTTGCAGTTTACGTGGTACAGAACAAGTATTTTCTCATTATCCTTCTGCAACTTTTGTATTTCTGCTTAAGCTCGCTATTCTTGATGTGTTTAGTTAGTAAGCTAAACTTCTACTGAGCAATATCGATGGTGAAATTGATAGTTGACAGATATTCTTACTTGACATACATTTCAATGGGAAATTCGCAGACTTTGGTTCCTATTGCATGATGATAGTATTCTTTAGGATAGTGTATTACCATACTTGAAGGATCGAGCATGAGCAAGAGCAGGTCTTTATTTTTCCCTCTTGCTTCATTTTCTATTCTTTAGGATAGTGTATTATCATACTTGAAGGATCGAGCTCCTAAAATTTTCATTTTCATACTGTGCTACTTAGTTGCCGGATTTCTATTGCACCATGTATCAATGTTTTGCAGCTTGTTGTGCCAAATAAAAGTGTACCAAAGCATATTTTGTAGTTATAATTTAGACAGTTGTATCTCTAATAGAAGTGTACCTCCTTTACTTTATATATTATTCTCATGCATTGACAATCATTGTTTTAAGATAGTTTAGATGTACGTCCCTATTTTTAGTTCTTAACCATACACACAATACCCTTCAAAATACCAAAGAAAGGGAGTTGCAAAGGAGATAGGTGTTATTTTCCAATCATGAATGATGTAACTGTAATTAACACTAACTTCCAGAAAGTTATTTTTCAAATTGCGAAGGATATTTACCTTATCCTTAACTCTAAGGTTTGTGATTAACAGTTATGATATATAAGGTTTTTAAATTGTTCATATTTTCCTTCTATCATGTTTATATTTGTGTTTAAGATTACATAATATTTTTATTTTAGTCTTACATTCATTACGATGTTTTATAATCTGAAGAAACAATGTTCTCACAAGTGAGTTGTTTTCCTTTTGGTTAACTTTTGATGCTAAAGTATCTTCTTTTTTTCTTTTTTTCTTTTTTTTTCCTTTTATGCTGTGAAGATTGATGACAACTTGTCTGGTTTGGGCATCAAGAACAAAAAACAACCTTTGTAGACTTTTGCTGGTGAGCATTACTATCCTAGGGAAAATGTAAAGTGTAGAAGCTTTTACCAGTTTGACTAGATAACTGACACTTTTATCCTTTCAATTAACAATTTAGGAAAATTATGGAAGCACGTCCTACTTTCTCTATTGAAAGATCAAATGCTAAGCAGCACAATAACATGGGGATCACTGAAGCATTTCCTTCATCGCTGCCGGTCCTTCCAACCCCTCTAGAAGGGACATACCCCAAACTATCTAATTCTCAGCCACCTTTTGTGGAAAAAGAGCCTAAACCAAAATCTTTTACTCATTCAAATCATTTAGCTTCCAGTGGAGCAGTTGGGCATATGTTTTCATCTTCTCCTGGATATTCAACCGATCTTCATCACTCATCCTTTTCATCTCAGGAGAAGCACCCTAGAAATACTCATTTTATTTCACAGTCATTGAGTAACATGACTTCATTACCATTATCGTATTCTTCAAATAGTGAACCAATACCTTCTACAACGTCAACCCCTTATTCCAATGGAAACAGTGTTTCCTGGCATACAGATTCTCTGCCTAGCTTTCTTGATTTCCCTGCCAATACCTCAATTGATAATAGCCAAGTAGAAAGTAGTGCCTGCAATATTATGGCAACTGAAGAGTATTCTAAGCGAAATGATTGGCAGGAGTGGGCTGACCAGTTAATCAGTGATGATGATCCTTTGACTTCTAATTGGAATGATCTTCTTTCTGACAACATTCAAGATCTTGAACCAAAGGTTAAGCTTGTAATTTCTCAAATCAATAAGAGCTTGCATAGTATACTTATTAACAATTTATTCAAGGAATGTGTTAGAAACTCATTTTGTTTCATAAGGCATTGTACCAGGTCTCAAATTCATCTTCACAACTTCCAATAGGACATCAATCCCAAAGCCATCAGCAACTTATTGTTTCACCTGGAGAAAATCGTGCTGGTGTTGGCCAATCTTCATCACCAAATTCAGTACCTTCCAAGCCTCGGATGCGCTGGACACCCGAGCTTCATGAGGCATTTGTGGAAGCTGTCAACCAACTTGGTGGGAGTGAAAGTAAGTGAATCTTCTTTCTCTCTCTTCAAAACAATTCCTTAGTTTATTAAACTTCTGCCTCTTTATTTTTTCCCATTTTCTTTTTACAGGAGCTACCCCTAAAGGTGTGCTGAAGCTCATGAAAGTTGAAGGATTAACTATATACCATGTTAAAAGCCACTTACAGGTGTATACCATTTGCTTTGTCTTCCTAGTTTGATTCCTTGCATGTTTTTGATGAAACATATTGCTTTATGAAATGCAGAAATACAGGACAGCTAGATATAGACCTGAGTCATCTGAAGGTACACAAGATATGCATTAGATATATACCTTTGTATAATTCATAGCTAATCTTTTGCATGTTCGGATGAGGAGATCATTGGCTACTGAATAACACTTTGATATATGAACCTTTTTGCAAAAGCTTTTACCAAGTTGATGATTTTCTTCGAATTTCATATTAATAGGAAGCTTGTTGTATATATAAAAAATTGAAATTTTACATAAATTATGTTTTTCAAACAAAAAACACCTTATATAAGAAGTTATTGAATGGTGCAAGTAAGTCAAGTCTTACATTCTTGCTAGTGGATCTTAAGCCCTTTGTGTATAGTATTTTGGTTATATGTTTTTGGCTTCTCCTTTTGTTTATGGTATCAAAACTTTTTGTTCTTTTCTTTTTCCTTTTCCTCCTGATTGTGCTATTTTATTATGATGAAACCATTTCATATGCAAGTTCCCATGGATTCTTTTCCTATATTCAGCTTAACTTGGTTGTTAAAATACTAAAATGTAACATGTTTTAGAAGTGAATGTTGCACACATATGGCTTGTACAGATACAAGTATTATTGTTTTGTGTCCAATAAGGGAAGACGGTGGAATTTTGAAATTTGGTGAAAAATAGGTTACAGCTTCCGTATGTGTGGACTCACATTCAAGTATCCTGGTATGCACCAGCACATGTGCAAACGAACTTGTTTATTTTTGGCTTAATCATGTGTTTAGTCCTTGAAATTTGGGGTGAATCTGGTTATGGTCCCTAAATTAAAAAAAATCAGTCAAGTTCCATAAATATTAAAAAAAAATACAGATTTAATCTCTTAAATGTACTCTTTAAGGACTAAAATGGTTTTGAAAAAAAAAAAAAATCATTTTAGTATTTCAAATTTAGTTCTTAGAGACTAAAAATGCATTCGTTTAAAATTGAGACACTATTTTTTTTTTTTTCAAAATTTGGAACAAAAATGGTTTCAACCAAATTTCAGTGATTTAAATACAATTAAGCCTATTTATGAAAACCAAAGAGAATAGAAAAGTTTTTGAACTTTCACATTACTCCAACCAAGTACACATTAACTGTAATATCTCTTATTTAGTTTAGGTTGAGATTTATATATTGGAGATACTATGAGACCGAACTCTGTTTGAAGTCTGTTATAGCCTGGTGCTCTGGATTTGTTATCTTAAGCTTGTGCTTTAAGTCTCTTGAGATCTAGAGCAATGCTTCTTCTCTTTGTAGTCGTATAATGCACAATTTGTTGATTACTATTTTGCAGGAACTGCAGAGAAAAAACTGAGTCCAATTGAAGAGATGTCATCTCTAGATTTGAAAACGTAAGTAAACTATGTATTTCTTTTTAATTAACTTCTCTTATGTAGTTATATTTCAATGAAAATTGATACATCAAACTGTTCAGCAACACTTTGTTCTCTGATGAGACTTTGCTAAATACAAATATTCTCCACTGATGTTAAATATATTGTATATTTCTCTTTAAATTTTAATGAAATGTTCAAATCAAACTAAAAGCATAAGAAAACATGGCTTTGGAAACTTGAAATGTTTGCTTAAGCCTTAAGTTTTCCATTTATCATTGGTGTAAGTTATTTGTTCTGTTTGGGTGGAAAATTTTCATTCCAATTTTGTTAGCTAGCTAGTAATTATATCCTAAACATTGACGCTAACGCTTACATCACTGGCTTGCAATTTTGCATGGGGTTTTATCCCGGTAAACTTATTTCTTCTATTGGCAGTAATTATTCAAATCTTATTGCTTAAATGAAGAGAACAGGTAGATAAACAAATAATTGGATAAAGGTTCAACAATGTATATATGGAATAAATAAGAAAAGAGGAAGCTTTTTAGATAGACCATCGATACAGTCTGCAGCGGTGTTCTTTAAGTCAGTTATAATGTAAGAATCAGGAATAAACTTTTCAAGAGTTTTCAAGGACCCGTCTAGGATTAGGGTTAGAGAGGATCAATATTTAATGGCACTATGTAAAGTTTTTGCTCATATTTGACACATGCACAGACATAAATACTAATTGATATGATGACTTTACTACTTAATTGTTTGCAGTGGTATTGAGATCACTGAAGCTCTGCGACTGCAGATGGAGGTTCAGAAGCGGTTGCATGAACAGCTTGAAGTATGTACTCTGATCTTCTAGGAATTCCCTTGCAATGTGTTCTTTAAATTGTTAAATAACTGGAAATGTGATCCAAAGACTAGTTTGCTAGTGCGACTTAGAATCACACCTAAAAAAACCTTAAGAGAAACCTTCTAAGAGGCTAGGAAAGTATGTCCCATAAAAGTTGTGGAGGAAGATAAGTATTGCTAATATTTGTGGAATTAAGCTCTTAAATGTACTAGTTCTTTTGAAAAAAAGACACTTGCAGATCAGGCAGACTTCCAGTAATTTCTGAATGGCCCAACTGACAAGCATCAGTTAGCTGTTAAGGGGGAGAATCAAACACTTAAATACCCCGCCAAGCTTGTCATACTATTTGATGTTGAACTTAGACATCTCATAACACCTAAGTTCTTGTATAACACCACTCCTGAACTTTCATTATGCAAAACTTTACCCCGTAATACTTCATTTAACTTTTTCGTTGGTTAGAACCCTCCACCAGTCAAAACCTTTTATGGGTAGTTTTTAAGGAGACACTGACCACCAGTTAATAGGAGTTGTATCAGAATAGGGAAGAGATTCCCAATTTACAGAAATTTGCAATGCCCAAAGGCCCCAATTCGTCTCATTGACAAGATGAAATCCCTCTCTATCCCTCATCCTATATATATACAGCTATTGGTTTACGAACATATACTCACTGTCAATGGCCCTAATCAAGTTGCACACTGGTCAACATGAACCCCTTGTAATGTTTAGACTAACATAACTAACTAACGGTTACCTACCTAACACCAACTGGCTTACAGCCTCACACCAAAGTTGCCATGCTACCTCAAAAAACGAAAACCGGTCATATTAATTCTCTTTATAAACTGAGCATGCTCATTGAACTGACAAGTCTTGCAAACATTCTTTAGAACCTTGTGTTTTTTCTTTTATCTTTTGATTTTGAGAAGGCATAAAAGAATATGTTTACTGTATTTAGCCACATGGAGCACAGATATCCCTAGCTACAACGGTGCAAATTTTTTGTATTTTCTTGGAAGCATGAAAGTAATTTCTATTAATACTATTTGGCTCATAGGTTATGCCTAATAGACTTTTGGGGTATGGTATTGTTGTTATTTTTCCTTTTTCCATTGTATATGATCTGATACATTTATCCCTTATTTTGTATGTTAGATTCAAAGAAATCTACAGTTGCGAATAGAAGAACAAGGAAGGTACCTTCAGATGATGTTTGAGAAGCAGTGCAAATCTGGTGTTGAAACGTTTAAGGCATCATCGTCTGTCATTGGGAGCCCATCTGGAGTGTCCTCTGATGCCCAGAACGATTCTACAGCCAAAACTGAATCAGAAACCGTCAAAGTGGACCATTGCAAGTCAGGACCTGATCAAGCTAATGGCAGTACCACAGTTGAAGAAAGTTCATCGAAAGTGTGTGAAGAGCAGGATGCTCCTGAATGTAAAGCTTCTGAGAATCCTAAGCAACATGCTAGTGAAGATAGTGGTGCTCAAGCCCCAAAGCGTGCAAGGACAGAGGAATAAGCAATATGATCTACTGAATCAGCATTGAACTGACAAGACGATACTGATTCATTCAAGATTTTTATTTAGTAACGAAGACTTGTTAGATTGATGTTTAGAGCTCCATAACTTGAGTCCCCCCTGTCCTGTTGTGTTCAATGAGGGCTTGCATGTGTATGTGTCATTTTGTCACAAATGATGAGTCAAATTTTTGATCATGACATCCTTCAAATTTCTTATTAGGAGATTCTAGTGTACAGTACAGATAATGGCTTCATCTTAAATCATAAGAGGAATGAATTAGGATAGTATCTCATCAAATACTACCATCCAAACTTATATGTTAAGAACTGTTTATTTTAACCTATCCGAATAATAAAAAAAGGGTACTGTAGTTCTTTAAAAAGGTGGGTGTCTTATAAAACCTTAAGCAACGGGAATTACTTTTTCCACTTCATTTTCAAATTAATTTGTCTTTATCCTTTTAGTTCACAAGAGATACAAGCAAAATGATCATTATTTAAACACTACGGTGGTCACGGCTTGATTTTAAAACTGCAAAACTTAAAGGTTTTGATGATTTTATGAAGGAAATTCTTCTTCAAAACCAAGTACCCAAGACTAGATAAGGGTGGGAGCAAATTTGTCAAGCCTAAATAAAAGTGTTTATGCACATTTTGATTCTTGGAGATTTCGTGCACATTTTCTTTCCGCTCTTTCGTTCTACTCCTTAAATATTCCCACTAACATGCTCTCCTTATACCACCAAGCAGTCTAGTAATTTTGAATATGGTGGGAATTGTGCCTGGAATCTCTGATGCCATTAACCATGGCTACGGTTCATGGCTGGAATCTTTTTCTGGGTCATTGTCCTTTCCTCAAAGGCAAAGTGTTAGGGCCGTGCACACAAGTGTAGGGATATTTCCTGGGCATTCTATTTATACCCGTTTTTCTCCATGGACCTTGTCTGTTATTTTGTTTCTTTTTCCTACATTATGAAGAATAGTATATAAATTCATGTGGAACAATTAATAGCTATATAAAGTTAATTTATTTTCTATAAAACTTGTTTCCTGAAACGTAAGCCATCTTGATGCATTCTACACTACGAGAAAATGAAAGTGTGCTCAATCTAAAATGCTATTTTTATATTTAAAGCAATAATATCAATAATATCACACACATAAGCAGATTTTCTTCATATGCTCCAATCATAAAGCCTATCCTTTATTCTAATTCAAAATTTCAACTTTAAATATAACTCTACTACTGATTATACATATTTGTGTGCGGAAAATATAAACAAAACAGGGACACCCCCACAGTGATAGTCCAACATGACACTATTTCTGGAACCCTGTAAGCTTGGTCATGGTTATCATGCCAAATGGCTCCGGGAGACAAGCCTGTGTAGTAGCCGATAGTTCTTGAGCCACAGCACGCATCATGGGTCTGGACTCTGGAGCTGCACGTGTGCATGCCAAAGCTATGGTCATTGTGAACACTACTGCTTCTGCTAATTGGCCTGTTGGAGGTGGAAGCCTTTGGTCAAGCACGTCCTTCAGTAGCACCTGTGGTTCCTCCGTTGATGGCAAATACTTGTTTGAAGATAGTGTAGTCAAGAGTTCTCCCGGATGCTTTCCCATCATTATCTCCAACACCACCACTCCAAAACTATACACGTCACACTTGTCAGTCACTCTCATAGTTTGTGCTAGTTCTGCAAATTTCAACTTTTATCAGTGACTCATCTCACTCTTTAATTTATATGCAGTCTATTATAACAAGAGCATATGCTGAATGCTACTCTAAAGCACTGTACCAGACAAAAAGGGTATATATTAAGACATTGGTTTAAGAAATGCAATAAAAAATTGTATTAAAAAAGAGATTGTTCATTGTTTCTAAAAAATAAATCATTTAATACATATGTTTTTAAATTGATAGAAACATCTAATAGAACATATTTAAGACTGGCTTAGCATGATGTACACTATAGTATATATACTGCTAGAATTCAAATTGGTTGGAAGGTGTACCTGGAGCCATATAGCCATAGGATCCTGCAACTGAGGTCCATGTTGAAGTGTTTGATCTCAGCAGCTTTGCTGTGCCAAAATCTGCAAGACGAGGTTCTAAGTCTGAGTCTAGTAGTATGTTATTCAGTGTTACATCCCGGTGCACAATTGGTGGGGAGCAATCAGTGTGCAGGTATGAAATTGCATGCGCTATTCCTTGCACGATTTTCAGCCTTGTGGCCCATCTTAGCTCCCATTTTCCTTCCTCTCCATACAACACTTTTGACAAACTTCCTCTGTCTACATGTTCATAAACCAAGAACATTTGTTCCCTCCTAGAACAGAACCCATAAAGCTTTATTATGTTGCGGTGTCTTACTCCTGTAAGTGATCTTATCTCATTCTCAAAGCTCTGGCGGTTCACTGCTGGAATGTCACCAGAGTCTAACATGTTTAGCCTTTTAACAGCAACTACTTGACCTGTGAGTAATTGTGCTCTGAAAACACTTCCAAATCCTCCCTTTCCGATGCAGTACTTGTCATTGAAGTCGTCGGTGGCCTTAACAAGATCCGAAAATGTGAATTTTCCGTCTCTTCCCCACACCATGCTATTATGCTGATCACTTTTTTCAATGCTTTTGGACTCTTCATCACGGTGTTTTTTGGCATGCCGCCGGCAAAGTATTACTCCAATACCAATTATCCCAATAAATAAGGCACAAACTGGTATGATAACACCAAGAAGAACCTTTTTCTTAACTCCTCCAGATCTGTCTGAGGGAAATGATTTGGGGCAAGTTAATCCTTTTATCTCACCACACAAACCTGAGTTCCCAGCATAGGCTTCTGCAGTTGCTGACTGGAAAATACCACCTGTGGGTATGGAACCACTCAAGTGGTTGTGAGAAAAATCAATAGATTGAAGGCTGATCATGTTTGAAAATGATTGTGGGATTGTGCCTGATAGGTGGTTGTGTGATACATTGAGAATCTCTAATGTTGCTAACTTTCCAAGGTTTTGGGGCAGAGACCCAGAAAGAGAGTTGCTGCTGATGTCCAACATGATTTGGAGTGAGAACAGATTGCCAAGTTCATTTGGTATCTCCCCAGATAGACTGTTATGGCTCAAGTTCAGGCTCAGCAAGCGATCACAATTACCAAGCTCCTTAGGAATGCTTCCACTGAAGTTGTTATTTGATAAATCAAGAAGATTTAGCTGAGCCAATCTGCCATAACTCTTTGGGATTTCTCCCGTCAAATGATTACTGCTCAAGTTGAAACTATAAAGCAGGCCTAGATTTCCGATTTCAGGTGGGATGCTACCCGTGAAATCATTAGACTGAAGGCTTAGAGACCTTAACTTACTCAACTTACTTAGCTCAGACAGAATTTTTCCAGAAAGTTTGTTGCTTCCCATATCCATCAGGGTTAAGTTGGTACATTCACCCCACTCCGGGGAGAGCTCACCGACAAGCTGATTTCTACTAAGTGTTAAAAAACTAAGATTTGGGAGTACCCCAAATGCGTCCGTGATGTTTCCAGTGAACTTGTTATCATCAAGCCGAACTCTAACGAGTGAGAAACAATCTCTCAAGGACTTTGGCAATGGCCCTGAGAAGCTGTTATTATTGACTGCCAAAATAGTTAGCTTGCCACCACTGCATAAGTCAGGAGGCAGTTCTCCTGAGAAACTGTTGTTTGAAAGGTAGACATGATCCAAAGAAGGATTACTCTTTCCAAATTCTCTGGGAATGCTTCCATTGAAGTTATTGGTAAACACAGAAAATGTGCTTAAAGCAGTTAGTTGAACAATGGCCTCTGGCAACTCCCCATACAAGTTATTGGAGTTGACATCAAAGATTTGCAGTGAGGTCAAGTTTCCGATATCCATTGGAATGATTCCAGAGAGCTCATTGAAGAAAAGATTCATGACTTGAATGTTTGTTAGATTCCAAAGTGTAGATGGAATGGGACCAGAGAAGTTGTTTTGTGAAAGGTCTAACTGGGTCATTGCCTTCAGGTTTCCAATCTCTACAGGAATGGGACCAGAGAAGTGATTATTGTACAGATAGAGGAGGTTAATTTTTTTCAATAGGCCAATATGTGGAGGAACCTCCCCTGTAAAATTATTGTTTTGGACTTGCAAGGAGGTCAACTGAGTCCAATTAGAGATGAGTGAAGCAGAAAGTTGACCAGAAAAGTAATTATCTGATATTCCCAATTCTGATATTCTAGACAGACTAGATAATGACATAGGTAAAGGACCAGACAATTTATTCAGTGCTAAACTCAAGAAGGATAGATTTGTGCATAGGCCAAGCTCAGAAGGGACCGTAGAATTGAAATAATTTACACTGAGATCAAGATGCTTTAGCTCCCTGAGTTGGCCTAAGGAAGAAGGAATTTTCCCATGGGCAGAAATGTTAGACAATTCAAGAAATTGAAGCCCAGATATCAATCCTATCTCAGTGGGAACAGAACCATTAAACATGTTATTACCTATACGAAGTTCTTTGAGATTTGGAAGCATGGACAAGTTGGGTGACAGTTTTCCTTCAAACCCACAGTTGGTGAGGTTGAGGTATTCTAGCTTGCCTAAATTGCTATACAAGGATTCTGGTATACTGCCATTCCATCTATTCTGAGAGATGTCAAGGTACGTCAAGTTATGGCACTCTAATATGAAACTTGGGAATACACCAGTCAATGATGGATTGAGATGTAAAGCAAGGCGGGTCAAGGAAGGTGTGCATGAATATTTGGACCAGTCAGGAGGAGTTACAAAATAGTTTGATCCAAGGTCCATGTACCATACCTTAGGAAGATTCACGAGCTGATAAGGAATGGTGCCATTGAGATTGTTGTTGTAAAGGCTGAGATATTGAAGCTCCCTCAGCTGGCTTAGCTCATAGGGCAGTGCGCCTTCAAAAAGGTTGTTCCCCAAGTCCAATAGAGCGAGCTTTGAGAGGTTGCCAATTGTTGATGGTATTGACCCCTCAAACATGTTGGCATCAAGGTTGAGTTGGGTGAGGTTAGGGAGGGAAGCAAAATCCAAGGCAGAGAGAGTCCCCGTGAGATTGGCACCATATAAGTTTATCTCTGAGACTGTTGTGTTGGTGCTGTCACAAACAACGGCATCCCAAATGCAAAGGTTGGGAAGGTTGGTGAGGGACCATGAGTTCAAAGAAGGAGGAAGAGGAGGGGTTAGACTGTTTCTCCATTTGACAAGGGCTTCTGCTTCTGTTGTTGGAGATGAAGTGATATTCAATGGAAGCAAATATAAGAAGAGTATAGGAAAGACTAGAGCATGAACCTTTTGGAAAGTTGTCATGTCTAGCATTTGGAATGGTCTCTATGTTAATGTTTTAACTCACTTATATAGCAGAATCGATTTCTGCGAAGGTTTCGGAATTGTAAAACATATTCTGTCACAAGAATCCATCTAGGAGTGAATTAGTTTCTGTTCATAAAAGCCACACCCAAGTGCAAATACCAGGAAAACATAAAAAACTACATGGTGGTGTGGTCCACAATAATTGACTGATTATATAAATGTTGCTGCTTTCTTAAAGGAAGAAATGCATTGCAATTTGCAAGCTGGGATGGCCTATCTTGGGTTGATTTGTTTGGTTGACTTCATCACTCATATTATTATATCATTATACGAAGCAAAAATGGATTTACGTTTGGAATTTACAGTGTATTCACATTTCACATTTTTCATCCTACAAGGAATCACTGTTTGCCGCAATTGCAACTAAGCTTCCATGTAGAGAGTTTCGATCGAATTAAAAAAAAAAAAAGCATCAAATTATGGAAAATCACCGAAACTTTGGTTGTAGTCCAAGTCGTTGCCATGGGTCGTTTCTTATTTTCCTCTCAAACATGATAACTTTCGACGTGGAAACAAAACTTTAACTAAAGTATTAATTCTTTTATTTTTTTAATAATCATTTCATAATATAATTTATAAAATTAAACAAATTAAATAATTCAGAAGAGATAACGATTCTTTTAAAATTTATTAAAAAAATTAATGAAGTAAAATTACTTGAGTTATTCATAAATTTATATATATATATATATATATATATATATATATATATATATAATTTTGTTTAAATAACTTATGCGAGTTACTTTTATTAGAACTGTCCTTACTTTATATAAAGTAAGGAAAACATATTTTGTGACAATATATATGTTAAGTTACATCACAACAGGATATATATACAAATTAAGATAAAATGGTTGAGAGAAAAGTATAAAATAGAAAATGATTAATATAAAAGACAAATAAAAATAATTTTTTAATTAATATAAAATATGAAATAACAGTTTTAGAAAGATTTTAAATATTTTTTAATTTTATTTTATTATTATTTTTAGTGAGCATTTTATTTTATTTTTAAATTAGTCAATGATTAACATGTTATTAATAAAACATTAAGTTAACATAAATATATAATACAGGTCATAGTAATATGAGTAAGATTATATTTAAGTTACATTATATTATTTTTATTAAATAACTTAAATACGTTGATATTAATTTAACGTGTATTTAGACTCTTTTTTTACTGTATCCGCTTTAATATATTCTTCTTTTAGGTTTCTAACTTAAAAAGCATTTAGTTAATATATCTTTAGCAAAAGATACTCTTAAAAAATTTCTAAATTAATTTTTTATACTGTATCAATTATTCTTAATTATGTGAGAGTCAATAAAAAGAATATTTTAAAACAAAAATTAAATTTTGGAAATTGGGATTTTTTATTTACAATGTTTTCATATTTCCAATAAGGTGCGTTTGGAAGCAATTCAACAAATGCAGAAATGTAGAAAGAAGTGAAGATTTAAATTGGCGTTATTAAACTTGAGAAATACACAGACAAACACATTCTAGTAATTTCATTTAGTTTTGGAAAATGAAATTTGTGTTTACAATGCTTTAGAATTTTTCGATTATGCAGTGTGAAGTTTCATGCATAATTAGAGATGCTAGTCATTTAGTTGGATCCCACTACTTTAAAGATTAATCTTTATGTTCATTTGGTCTACATACAAAAAAAAAAATTAATACATTTGATTTAAAAGTAGATATTATGAATTTATTGTAAGAATAATATATTTTTTAAAAGTAATTACTTAAATAAAATTTATATGATTTTATTTATTTAAATAAATTTATTTATTGTTTATATATATATTTTTTATATATTTTTATTATTACTGTTTATTTTTTATCTTTTTTAATATGAAGTCTCTTATTTTTTTATTATATTAAAATTTAATAAAAATATGTTAAATAAATATTTTAAAATAATATTAAAACTAAAAAAATATTAACTAATTATTTAAAATTATGATGATAATAAATAATTTTATTTACATGACAATATTTATCTTGTAATATTTTTTTAAATATAATATATTAAATTATAATATTTTTGAATCACAAAATTTTTATTTTTCAGTAATAATAAAATATTCATATTATCAATTTTCAATTATTATTTTTAACTATTTAACTAAAGAATAAGATGGAGTGAAAGAAGAATATTTTTTTTTCTTTTTGAAATTTGTATACGAATAATAAATAGATCTAACCGGTTAAAAATATTTTTTAAATATATTATTTATAATATTGATTCGGGTATTTCATTTCACTTTATATAATAATGTTTTAGAAAAAAAAATTCTAAATTATAGTTATCATTTTCATAAATTTGAGAATACGAAGATTTTAGAAAAAAATAAATAAAAAATAAAAACTTAAATACCTAAAAAAATTGAAACAGAATAATTATGAAAATAAATAAATTTAAATACCTTTTTAGCCTAAATAGTGAATAAAATTAAAAATTACCCTTTTATAAATCTAATATTATATATGTGTTAGAAAATGTTAAATGTCTATTTTAAGTGAATAATACTAGTGTTTTACATAAATAAACCAAATTAATCTTTGTTATAAATAATTTTTAAAATTATTTTCTCATTCAAATTTATACTCATATCATAATATTTAATAAGAATAAACAAAGACAATAAATTTAAAATTGTATAGAAACTGTAGAATTTCTTATAAGAATGACGAAAAATCATGATTGTTGTTTAATAATGAAATATTTAATGGTTATAATAAATTATCCTTAACTCTTTTATTGTTTTTAAATTATTTTCCCCAATTCCAATTCCCTATTGCCCTTCGTTAAGAAATTACAGTGAAGATATAAAGAAAATTGAAAGCTACGACATAATACACCTGTTTAGGTTAAAATGCAATGAATACACGATTCAAATAATTGAGTGTCAAATTTTCAAATTCAAAAGCCTTTAAAAAATAACACTTCAAAATGTATTTGTCTACACCAAAATTCTTTGCATTCTCAACCACCACAATAAAACACAAATTTAATCGAAGTTTCAATACTTGAAAATTTAAAGCATCATATGGATTTATAGAACTAGGGTTATCTTACAAATGACATTTTAGGTTGCTTATTACCACCTTTTTATTAAAAAAAAAAAACTAAACATAAGTCAACTTCAAGTAGTGTTGTTTTTATAATATTTTAGTACAAGATAAAGAGTAGAACAAATAATATGTAAAATAAAATATTTTTATTAATAAGATTAAAATTAGTAAAATATTCTGATTTCCTATATTTTTTAATTTCAATAATCAATTAAAATAGTTAGTTAAATGAAAATTAAAAAATAAGGGAGTTTGACAAAATCTATTATCCTATAAATAATATTCTCAAGTAAATTTCAAATATTTTTAGAAGGAGCATACGTAAGGACATTTATGTTAAGATAAAAATGACTTTTTTATTTAATAGTCAAAAAGCCAAAATTTCAATACCATAGGAATACTTTATTCATTGAAAACTATACCTCTTTCTCTCTTGAGGATACATTGTGGCACTTGAAAGAAAATATCAGTTTACTTTCCAAAAACATTACTTAAATATTTTTTAGGGTTTTTATTTTTTAAATTAGTTATTATAAATTTCTCAAGCTTATGTTTAATTAAAAGGTCTTTCTCAAAATAAAAACAAACAGATCTCATATACTTTGATTATAATTATGTTTAGAGAAAAAAATAGTAAGTAGAATTAATTTTAAGATTAAAATCTTTGAGCTTTACAAAAATATAGCGATATTTATATTTTAAAATTAATTATTTTGTTATTTGAAGAATATATTATTTCCTTAGTTTATTTAAAGATTTATTTTTAAAGAGATATATTTTACTTTTTATTAATATAAAAGGTCAATTTCTAAATTTATTTCTAAAACATTATTTTCAAACATAAATGAGATTCAAAGTCAAAGAAAAGGTTGATAAATATTATTTATTTCTTTTGTTTGACTACAAACATGGTTAAAGGACTACTCAGGAACCATTCATTTATCGTGCTTCGTGAAACATTTAAGTTAGTTGACCGTTGATACGCTTCCAACGTTATTTTCTTCGAACCATAAAAATTCATATGAAAAATCAAATGGTCGTGGTCAATCCAAACTAAAACCCAATTCACATTCTTTTCAAATAACTTCCGCTGCCAATTTTTTGTTTGTTTTGGTTAAATTTATGAATCTGATAATTATAACTTTTATAAATAACAATAGAATATTTCGTTGGTCATAAATATTTTTAACAATATTTATATTTTTTTCTGGAAATATAAAAAATAACGTTATTTTAATCAGAAACTTTAATATTTATCACATTATCTGATAAAAGTAACATAATAATTGCATTCAGTGACAGAGCTTAGTTTTGTCGACGAGTATAAAGTTAGGCAATTGCGACAGAAGGACGTACGCAGGATTGGTTCGTTTAGGTATAAATAATAAATAATAAATACTTTTCTATAAATTATTTAACAGATAAAACTAAATTTGACCAAGTCCTATAAATCAAACAATTTATATATATATATATATATATATATATATATATATATATATATATATTACAGTTATTTTTTACGTATACAAGTAAAAAATAAACAAAAAAATATATTTTATCATACTATTACTTTCACAGCAAAAATATTAGTTTCTCTTAAATATAATTTAAAGTTAAAAAAATTTATGAAGACTTAAATAATTTATCAAAAAGTTAAGGAGAAGAAATTGTAATTTTACCTCTCTTTTTTAAAAAAAAAAAATTCAATCATTTTATATTTTCAGTGAGATTAAGCAAAACACAATCCTCCGAAGTTGTTATATAACACTAGGGTCATGCATGTTTGTGTATTTGTAATTTATAAACCGAGAAATTATTTCTGATCCAAAATGTATACGTGTTGCAAGTTTGGCAAAACAACAATGACATTTATTATAGACTGAAACATGGGAAATTCAGTATCAACTATGAATAGTATAACTCACGTCTAACAGATTTTGGCATTCCAGGTACATCATCCAACCTATTTATAAATCATACTTTAACTATATAATATGCATCATGCTAAAGTTGTCTTCAATTTAAAAACATATGTATTAAATGATTTATATTTCAGATACAATATATAGTTTCCTTCTTCATTCAGTATATGTATATATATTGTTGTTATATACTGTCATATAAATTAAAGGGTGTGATCAGAAACTGAGAGAAGTTAAAACTTGCAGAAACTATGATGATTTGAAGTGGTGTATAGTTTTGGAGTGGTGATGTTGGAGATACTGATGAACATACTTAGATGTGTATATTTGAAATTATAGTAAGGTTAGGCCTGATGATAGGAACTTTTGTATGACTTAGCCAAGCTTTGTTATTTGCTTATGTGTGTATATATTTTAGCCTTATAAATAAGAGTATTTTAGATTAATTGAGTTTCTAACTTTGTTTTTATCTTCTATAAAAAGAACATTATAAAAACCATATTCGAACTCTTTATGTACATGTAAGAAAATAAGACAATAAATATATCAATGAGGAGAGAGTTTACAGAATTAAAACTAATAGAAATGTTTACAAAAATATAAGTTTTATTAAGACTATATATAAACTTAAAACAAATTCAATATTTTAAACTAAATTAACTACCTATTTAGAAGAAAAAAATGAATTAATTAGTTTTCTTAATTCTAATTAATTAATTAATTGAGTGTTATATAACAGTGAAAAATTATATTTTGCTTATACCAATTCAAACTTTATGTGTCTTAGATTGTCAACAACCTCCCTAAGAATTGATACATACATATACTGTACTACATACAATATCACATCCAATTCATTCTAAATTTTCTCAAATTACTTCATATAATAATCGTTTGTAATCTCTTTGGTTGTTCCTGGTTCAACGCCTGTGGAATTGTTTAGCTCTAAACCAAAACATGATCTGCGCACCTTAAATAATTTAAAATACCTAACGTGACATAAGATTTGCAGATAATGCTGGGATTATGTTGTTCTCCAAAAATATATATATCTTATATGATGTTTAACCCAGAAATTAAATACCATATTAAGAAAAGAAACATCAACTACAACTTAACAAGTACAAGCTTCAATAAAAATATTGTATTGTTACCACTTTCTCCAAATTCTGATATGAACCAGTTTTCTGTTCGTTGACTAGCAAATTTGACAGCATGAAGACATCTTTTCAGCTCTCAATTTTCTCTCTGGTTTTGTCTTGTATACTTGGAGAGATTTCTGCACAGAAAGAAGCAGAGTCTCTTAGAACCTGGATGAACAGTTTGAACTCTCCCTTGCCACCTTCATGGAACAACAGCAACAATCCATGCAACTGGACTGGCATTACTTGCAACAATGCAGGAAGTGTTGTTGAGATAAAGCTCCCTAATTCAGGCCTAGATGGAACCCTGAACAGGTTTGACTTCTCAGCCCTTTCAAATCTCAGTAACTTCAATGTCAGTTTGAATAACTTTGTTGGAGAGATACCGGCTGGAATTGGAAATGCAACACAGCTGAAAGTACTTGATTTGAGTAGCAACAATTTCACCCTTTCAATCCCCCCAGAGATGGGAAACCTCCTACAACTTCAACTTCTTTCTCTCAATAATAATTCACTCCTAAATCAGATACCAGTTCAACTTAGCAATTTGCAGAATATATGGTTTCTTGATCTAGGGGCAAACTATTTGGAGGATCCTGACCCAATTCAGTTTAAGGGCATGGCATCAGTAAATGAACTCAATCTCAGCTATAACTATCTCACACAAGTTCCCCATTTATTTCTAAATGTCCAAAGCTTGTGTCTCTTGATCTATCACTCAACACAATCACTGGACAGATTCCAATACACTTACTGGCCAGTCCTAGGAATTTGACAATTCTAGACATGACACAAAACCACTTAGAAGGGCTAATTCCAGAAGAAATTACGAACCTTTCAAACCTCAAACACCTAAGCTCGGACAAAACAAGCTTAATGGTACTATACCAAAGGAGATTGGTCTCTTGCCATACCTTGAGGTGCTTGAATTGAATCAAAATTCCTTCCAAGGGCCAATACCATCATCAATTGGAAATCTCCGTAACCTTCGGAGATTGGATGTTCACAACTCAGGAATAAATTCCAGCATTCCAGCTGAGATAGGCTTCTGCACCAACCTTACTTATCTTGATATGTCAGGAAATAGCCTTACAGGTTCCTTGCCACTTTCCCTGGCTTCATTAACCAGGGTAAGAGAGTTGGCAATCTCTTTTAACCATTTATCTGGAGAACTACATCCATCTCTTCTTTCCAGTTGGCCAGAACTCATTTCTTTGCAACTCCAATTGAATGACCTATCAGGAAGACTTCCACCTGAGATTGACTCACTTCACAACATCACCTTGCTCCTTTTTTCCAACCGGTTTTCTGGCCCGATACCTCCAGAAATAGGAAAGTTATCAAGCTTACAACATCTTGATCTGTCGTATAGTTCTTATAACGGTTCAATTCCACCAACCATTGGAAATTTACACAATCTTATCAAATTAAATCTGGCCTCAAACCAAATAAATGGAGCCCTTCCTCCTGAAATAGTTGATTTGGAAAGGTTACAGGTACTGGATTTGAGTCAAAACCAGCTTGCAGGACCTTTGCCTTCCTCCATAACCCGCTTGAAAAATATCAATCTACTTTATCTTCATTACAACAATTTCTCAGGAACTATTCCTGAAGATTTTGCACCTGCCTTTTTAAGCAATGTGAGTTTTGACAACAACAGCTTTTCTGGAAAGCTCCCATCCGGAATATGCAGAGGAGGGAATCTTATCTACTTGACAGCCAGTATGAATAATCTTACAGGTCCAATCCCAGAGAGTCTGAGAAACTGTTCTAGACTAATCAGGGTGATGCTTGGAAACAATCTTCTCAGTGGAGACATTACCAATGCATTTGGTATATACCCATATTTGAACTTCATTGATTTAGCACATAACCAAATCTATGGTTTGTTATCAAGTAACTGGGGAGAGTGCAAAACTCTCTCGAGTCTCAGCATAGCTGCCAATAAGCTACACGGAAATATTCCTCCAGAGCTTGGAAAATTGCCAAGTTTACAAAATCTTGACCTGTCTGAAAACAATCTCACAGGAAATATCCCAGTAGAGCTTTTTAGATCATCATCTAAACTACTCAAACTAAATTTGAGCAACAATTATCTCTCAGGTCAGATACCAAAAGGGATAGGAGAACTCTCACTGCTGCAGTTTCTGGACTTATCAGCCAACGATCTGAGTGGGCCAATTCCAAAAGAACTAGGAAACTGCCAGAAACTAATATTCTTGAAACTGAGCACGAATAACTTAGATGGACATATCCCATTTGATCTTGGGAATTTGGTGAAGTTGTAGCCACTGTTAGATCTCAGTCATAACTCACTAACCGGGCAGATAATCACACAGCTCGAAAATTTGATATCACTGGAGGTTTTGAATCTTTCTCATAATCAGCTTTCTGGGACAATACCATCTGTTCTCAAAGGACTAATCAGCCTTCAGTTAATTGATATATCCCACAACAAACTTGAAGGTCCCCTCCCAGACCAAGAAGCTTTTCTTAATGCTACAGCAGAAGCACTGGCTGGCAATGCAGGTCTATGTACTGGTTCTGCTGGCAATGCAAATCTGAATCCGTGTGGTGGAGGGAAAACCAAAGCAAGTAAGAAACATAAGCTGGTAATTGCTGTAGTCATTCCAGTCGTTGCCTTAATCATTATTCTATTAATTCCCCTTGGAGTTTTCGTCTTCCGGCGTTATCATACAATTGATCAAGATGAAAAGTACAAGAGTTCAGATGGAAATAACTCATTCTTCATATGGAATTATAGGAATATGATAGAGTTCAAGGATATATGTGCTGCAACTGAGAATTTCAGTGATAAGTATTGCATTGGGGTAGGAGGACAGGGCAATGTCTACAAGGCAGTGCTTCCAACAGGTGAGACTTTTGCAGTGAAATGTCTACACCAGCATGAGGAAATGGACTTCTCTAGATACCAAATAAAGAATCTTACCTCTGAAATCCATGCAATAACTAACATTCGTCATCGAAATATTGTAAAAATGTGTGGCTTTAGTTACTTTTATGGCTCCATGTTTTTTATATACGAGTATGTAGAGAGAGACTCTTTGGCAAAGGTGTTGCAGAAGGAACAGGAGGCAAAGATCTTGACCTGGGACATTAGGCTAAACATGATAAAAGGGTTAGCAAATGCCCTATCATACCTGCACCATGACTGCGTACCCAGCATTATTCACCGAGACATTTCAGGAAACAATATTCTGTTGAACTCAGAATATGAGCCTAAGATCTCTGACTTTGGCACAGCAAGGTTGGTTAAAAATGGAGAATCAAATTGGACTGCACCGGCTGGTTCATATGGCTACATGGCACCAGGTTTATACAAAACTTATAACTTCTTGAATTTAATTTCTATGCATTTTCTGTACAAAAAAATTACGATAAGCAAACCAGAAATTATGATATGTATCTTAATATATATATATATATATATTGTTGAGCATTGGACAAGTGGTACCTACCAGAGCTACTATAACCACAAGCAATGCTAAAAAGGAGTTTTTTGAGTTATATACTAATATGACGGTTAGAAATTGAGTTTTTTTTTTAAATACTATGTAACTTCTGATTACTTTTTGGTTGGATGAAAATCTTTATTTTATGGAAGAGTGGTTGTATGGTCAAATATTAGGTAGAAAGGAATGGTAGTCCTTATTTTATAGAAATTTACATATCTCTTTTTGTATACAAAAAGAAAACCTTTATGATATCAATGAACAACTGAGTTTTCTCCCTTTTGTTCACTATTGAACTTTGTATCACTCTTTGCTCTTTTTTGTTTCTGATTTTATACTACTTTGCTATTTTTTCTGATTTTACAACATGGTATCAAGAGCCTATTGATTTTAAGAGTCTGTGAGGGAGTGGAAATCAGATAGAAAGTTATATACAAATCAGAAAAAAATACCAATAACAGAGAATGGCACCCAGTAGCAGTTCTTTACCTCCACCTCCAGTTTTTGTGGGAGAAAATTATGATTTGTGGGCTGCGAAAATGAGAACTTATTTAAGAACACAAACTTTGTGGGATGTAGTGAAAAATGGAAGTAATCCAGCTCTTTTATCCAATGACTCAACTGTGGCTCAAATATGACTCCATAATGAAGAAGTGACAAAGGATGGCAGGGCACTTGCCATCATGCATGCAACAGTTCACGATGATGTTTTTATCTTGAATCTTGAGACAACAAAAGAGGCTTGGGAAAAGTTAAATGAGGAGTTCCAAGGTAGCGAAATAACAAGGAGGATGAAAGTACTGAGAAAAGAATTTGAAGTAATCAAAATGAAGGAGTCTGAAACAATGAAGAAGTTTTCTGACAGACTTTCTAAAGTTGTTACTCAGATTAGATTGCTAGGTGAAGAACTTAAAGATCAAAGAGTTGTGGAAAAAATATTGGTGTGTCTTCCAAAGAGGTTTAAGTAAAAAATCTCCTCTCTTGAAGAGAATAAAGATTTTTCTCATATTTCAGTTGCAGAACTGGTTAATGCTTTACTAGCTACTGAGCAGAGAAGATTTCTAAGAATGGAAGAAAATGTGGAAGGTGCTTTTGTGGTTAACACCAAAGGCAAACCTCAAGGTAGAAGTAGCTATGAAAAAAAACCTTTTGGTGGGAAGAAAGACAAAGAAAAAAAAGAAGATGACGACTATAAAAGAGGAGGTAGAAAAGAGAAGTTTTCACCTTGCTGTCACTGTAAAAAGACAAATCATACAGAAAACTACTGTTAGTTTAGGCCTGGAGTCAAGTGTAGGGCTTGTAACCAGCTTGGTCATGTAGAAAAAGTTTGCAAAAACAAGGCAAAGCAGCAAGGACAACAAGCTCAAGTTGCTGAGTACTAAGAACAGAGTGAGGAACAGTTGTTTATTGCTTCTTATTATTCTGCAAGTAGCAGCAAAGAAGTTTGACTCATAGACAGCGGGTGTACTAATCATATGACTCATGATGCTAGTTTTTTTAAGGAACTTAATCAGTCCTACTTGTCAAAAGTCACTATTGGCAATGGAGAAAATGTTAATGTCAAAGGAAAAGAAGTGGTTGTTGTTGAAACTCCTACAGGTACCAAATATATTTCAGATGTTTTATTTGTGCTTGAGTTGAGTCAAAATCTTTTGAGTGTGGGGCAAATACTTGAAAAGAATTATGCTTTGCATTTTGAAAATATGAGATGTACCATATTTGATCCTTATGGATGTAAGCTAATGTCTGTCAAAATGAGAGAGAAAGGTTTTTCTTTAGAATGGATACAAACTGTTGAGCAAGCTTTTCCTAGCATGGAAGATGAATCTTCCTTGTGGCATAAGAGGTTTGGTCAATTTAGTTACTCAACCTTAAGGCTAATGAAATCTAATAATTTAGTTCAGAATATGCCTTTTATTCAAGAACATGATGATGTGTGTGATGTATGTCAATATGGAAAGTAAAGCAAATTACCATTTTCTAATGAAGCAAGTTGGAGAGCTATTGAAAAACTGCAACTTATACACATTGATGTATGTGGCCTAATGAGCTCAACATCCTTAAATGGCAGTAGATATTTTCTCTTGTTTGTAGATGACTTTAGAAGGATGAGTTAGGTGTTTTTTCTAAAACAAAAATCATAAGTGCTTGCTGTTTTTCAAAAGTTCAAGCTGGTAGTTGAAAATGAGGCTGGAAGCAAAATAAAAAAATTCAGATCTGATAATGGAACTGAGTATACAGCAGGGGAGTTTCAAAAATTCTGTGCACAAGCAGGAATTCAACAGCAATTAATTGTTCATTACACCCCTCAACAAAATGGGCTGAGTGAAAGAAAAAATAGGACCATTATGGAGATGATAAGGTGTTTGCTCTTTGAAAAAGATCTTCCCCAAGAATTGGGAGAAATGTAAGGTAGAAGCCTTAAGTAAAAAACAACTTGGAGTAGACACTCTCCAAGAACAATATTCAGAGATTGAAGAAGAAGATTTAGATGATGATGATGATTTTCCAGTTAGAGGCACTAAAACTCTTGCTGAAATTTATGAAAGGTGTAACATTGTTGCACTAGAACCTAAAGAATATGATGAAACAGTTGAAATGGATGGGTGGAGATGTGTTATGCAGGAGGAGATGAATATGATTGAAAAAAACAAAACTTGGCAACTTGTAGACAAGCCTACTAAACACAAAGTTATTGGTCTTATGTGGGTTTATAGAACCAAATTAAATCCTGATGGTTCTATAAACAAACTAAAGGCTAGACTAGTTGTTAAAGACTATCATCAACAACATGGTGTTGATTTCTCAGATACATTTGCTCCGGTGGCAAGACATGATACAATCAGGTTGCTAGTTGCATTGACAGCAAAAGTGGGTTGGAAAATTTATCACTTTGATGTGAAATCAGTCTTTTTAAATGGTTTACTTGAAGAAGATATCTCTGTTGAACAACTTAAAGGCTTTGTTGTTCTAGGGAGTGAAAACAAAGTCTACAAACTTCAAAAAGCTCTTTATGGATTAAAGTAGGCTCCTAAGGCCTGGTATAACAGAATTGATAGTTATCTTCTGCAAAAGGGGTTTAAACAGAGTGAAAATGAAGTTATTTTGTATGTGAAAAGGTCAAGTAATGAAGTGAAGCTCATTGTTTCCTTATATGTTGATGATTTGCTAGTTATTGGCAATAATTCAGATTCTTTGAGCAGCTTTAAGCATGACATGGCAAGTGAATTTGAAATGACTGACTTGGGAGAAATGAATTACTTTCTTGGAATGGAGATTCACCAATGTGATGTTGGAATCTTCATTACACAAAGAAAATATGCTTTGGAAATATTGAAGAAGTTTTCTATGCAGAATTGTAAACCTGTAAACACACCCCTTGTTGTAAATGAAAAGTTGTCACTTGATGATGTTGGCAGCAAAGTAGATACTACTACTTATAGAAGCTTAATGTTTGCTCCAAGTTTGTTGTCCATATTTATGCATTCTCCTAGTCAAGTTCATTACTGTACAACAAAACGAGTATTGAGATATATAAGAGGGACAACTGATTATAGTCTATGTTTTTCAAAGGATGAAAGTGGTGATCTTCAAGGATATGCAGATAGTGGCTGGGCAGGAAGTTTAGATGATGCTAAAAGTACATCAGGTTATGTTTTCTCATTTGGTAGTGGAGTTTTCTCTTGGAATTCAAAGAAACAAGATGTGGTGGCTCAATCCACAGCTGAAGCTAAATATATTTCAGCTACAGTGACTGCAAATCAAGCCATTTGGCTTAGAAAAATTTTGCATGATTTGAGGGAACTAAATGATGAAGCTACTGTCATATGGGTTGATAACAAGTTAGCCATTGCAATTGCAAAGAATTCTATCCAGCATAGTAGAACAAAACACATCAAGGTGAAATATCATATCATTAGAGAATCAAAGAAATCAAAAGGAAATCAGCGTAGAGCATTGTAATTCAGAGAATCAGATTGCTGATATTATGACCAAAGCACTTTCCAAGAACAAGTTTGAATTTCTAAGATCAAAGCTTGGAGTATTCAAAAAAAATCTCAAGGAGGAGTGTTAGAAATTGAGTTTTTTCTAAAATATTTTATGTAACTTCTGATTGCTTTTTTGTTTGGTGAAAATCCTTATTTTATGAAAGAGTAGGTTATATAGTCAAATATTAGGTAAAAAAGAGTGATAGTCCTTATTTTGTGGAGATTTACATATCTTTTTTTATATACAAAAAGAAAATCTTTATGATATTAATGAACAACTGAGTTTTCTCCCTTTTATTCACCGTTGAACTTTGTATCAGTCTCTTTCTGGTTTTATACTACTTTATTATTTTCTCTGATTTTACAACAATGACCTCTGTAATACCATCATCAACACATTCATGTCAATTTGACATTAAATGACCGTGTAAAATCTTTTACACTATCAATGCATTAGACTATTTTCTTTAACATGGTAACTTCCTTTTTTCTATTGACTTACCTGCTACTTAACCTGCAACAAGGCCTTACGAGAAAATCATAAGATGTTAATTTGTCTAAATTTTATATTATGGTACTGCTGTGAATACTTCTTATGTACAATGTTTTGCAGAACTTGCATTTTCAATGAAGGTGACAGAAAAATGTGACGTTTACAGTTTTGGGATTGTTGCCCTAGAAATTCTGGCAGGGAAATACCCTGATGAGTTCCTTCTGAGTTTAGAATCTGGGGAATTTAATCAACAAAATTTAGATTTCCTAGACAAGAGGCCTCCTCCTCCTGAAGGTACTGATGCTCAAATGCTAATGTTGGTAGCAAGACTTATTCTAAAATGCATCGACAAAGATCCTTTGTGTCAACCCACCATGACGCATGTGTCCCAAGTGTTGCTCCCACTCTCTGTCCCTAGCTTTCAACATGTTCACACTTCACAATCTACTCCTTAACAAGATTGAGATAACTTCTATTTAACTTTCATTGTTTGTAGATATAATAGCCCTCTTCTAGTCATGTAAAAGTTTCCAATTTTAGATCTTTGAGACACTTTACTATGTGTATTTTCGACCCTACATATTATGACAGAGGGTGAGGAAAAAATTATGATCTCAAAGAGGGAAACGCTGTTAAAAGTCCCATCACAAAATAAATAGTCTTCTTGCCAACGTCATGAACTGGATGTGATTTCTAGTAACGGGAGAAATTGCTACACGATGTGGGGGCGTCACTCGTTTAAATTTTTATATTTCAAAAACTACTAGCGGAATATGTTTATTATTTTTAATTTTTAATATATTAAAATACAAAATAGGATTGAGCCAATACATAGCCAATACATAGTATCAATACAATTATTCTGAAGATATAAAGATTCGACATTCATATTCAAAATTATATAAAATAATTACATAACAAATATATAATTATAATTTTGCAAATCTAAATTAAAAAACTCTTGAGAAAATTTAAAAAATAATAAATTATTATCATCATAATTTTTTATTATTATTTACATATAAAATTTAGTATTTATTATTGTTCTAGCCAAAAATTGTACGAGACTTTAACTTATTCTAATTGAGTAAAAAACTTGTCTTGGATCCCAACTTTTGTTCCCTTTATGAAGAAGTTTGGGATTAGGATAAACCCTAGTGGACCAGGATTCTAAGAATTTATTTTTAATTGTATTAAACGACTTGATGTTTATGTCCCATAGTTTACAGTGACAATTTTAACTTATCAGCTAAAATCGTGTCTGATATAATTATATTGAATTCTGATAAAATGTTTTAAAGGTTTACTGACTTTATTGATAGATAAATTTGTAAGAGTGTTGTAAAATAAATTGAAGCATTGATAGTTCATTAATACAAAAAAGACTCCATTTGGGGATATACATGACATACTTTGGATTGAGTTTATTGTAACTTGCTGGTGTGAGAAAAAAAGAAAAAGAAATAATCTTTAGGTTGAGCGCGACTGTGCTTTATGACTTTATGACTTTTAAAAACTCAACCTCCGCTGGTTGAGGCAACATTTGTTGATTTGTTTGGAGGAGTGTTATATTATGAATTTTACAATTACATGCTAATTTAGAGAAGCAAATTTTTAAATAGGCTAGATGAACCATTTTAAAATACATGAAGTTATCATAATACATAGTTTTTATGCCTTAACCCGAGTTATTAACTGAGTCGAAGGCCCTAGTAAGTTTTTCCTTATTAAAGTTATTTAACCTTTCACTGTGAAATACATTCATTGGCACCCTGATGGAAAAAGATTGTGCTCACTACAAGTCATGTTAAGACATAAAAGTTGTTCTCTCCCTCTACAATTTCATCAGTTATCAGCATGGAAGAAAGTTCAGAGACAATGTACAAATAAAAACTACATGACATAGTATTGATAATCCAACCGCATATTACAGAAATGCAACCACCATACTCTATCACATTCACAAAAGAATAAAAAAATTCACCTAACCCAATCCACTCCCCAAAATCACATCAATGGAAGCTTGTCTAACATACATGAGTAACAACTCTATATAAAACCTTCTCTCATAACCAAATTTCACTTCAATTGTATTGTAACCTTCTTGAACTTACTCGATTTGCTGAGCTAGAATCTGGAGCATTGCCCCCACAGTTCCAGTAGCTACCAACCATGCCCATGATTGGCATCTCATCTCTTGACGATTTTCTTGCTGAACAAGAAGCTGAAAACTGTTTAAGCTCTTCAACTGTCAATGCACCTAAGATAGGCCTATCTTCATAACTCACCACAGAATTTGAGCCTTCTGAGCTACTCCTCTCTGGGGTACCCTCGTACAAACCCTTGCCAACAGGTGTAGTTTCTGATGAAGTCAACCAATTTGAAAGACTAGCATCAACCGCAATTTCTCCGTTCAACTTCTTAGGTGATTCAGCACCAAATGCAGCTCGGGACTCTTGATTCAAAACCAAATTTTCCTTCTGAGACACCAATGGTGGTGGTGCTCTTTTAGCCTTAACTGCTTTCCATTGAGTGAGGTTCTCCACAGGGTTCAGCACAGAATGAACATACATACTCCTATCTCGAACATTGGGGTTTAACCCAATTGACTTCACATCCTTATCATGCATTGGAATTGGACTTTCCACCTCTTCAAAAATCCCTTGATTGACTCCATTTTTAGACCTTGAGTACACTATTCCATCTTCAAAGTCCTCTCCCACTTCATCATACTCTTCTCCCATGTCACTATCACAACCATCACCTTCATCCTCATCAGTAAGATCACTGTCCCAATCTTCCCATGCTCCATCTTCATCATCACTACATGTGCAATAGTGGTACCTATGGTTTGTTGGATAAGACCCTGCTGAAGTCACCAAACTTTCTTCAGAGTAAGACTTTGTTTGGCTTAACTTTTCAACCAAAGGTCTTTTCTCTTCTCTCTTCTCTTGTTGGAAATCAACAACTTCATCTGGCTCGTATGTTTTCACATTGACGTCGAAGGTCACTTTCTTTTTGGGACTCACCTTTAGCTTCTCCAAAGGTTTAGCCCTACATCCAAAACACATTTATCTAAATAATAAATTTCAATTCCAAAATCAAACATGCTTTCTCGTGAACAGAAGTAGCACATCATAAACTCAATTAGTCAATTACTTACTGTACTTCTTGTGATGCAGTGCTAATTACCACCATTTGGGAGTAATCCTGAACAGAACACACCGTTGGTCGTTCAAACCTGTCTCTAGCATTTCGCTGCAACAACATTGAAACTTAATCAGGTTAGAGAACGTTCAACTATAAACCTCTGTCTGACCAAAGAATAAAAGTTTATGCTTTCATCAAATCAAAATTAAAAGTTTATCACATAGTCTTTCCATAGAAAAGTTTGTGGGTGTAATTCTGAGTGACCAAACAAAAGAGTAATAAAAATAGATAAAAGATAGAAACTTGGATAAAAGAAGGAGAAGGTTACATGGTGATGGTGAGCCTTGCGCTTAAGTTTGGTGCTTGTGGAGGAACCAAAGCAATGAAGAAAACAACCCATTGTGACAGATCTGTGTGTTTTGCTTTCTCAGGTTCACAACAACAAGAAGAATGCTAAGGCAAAGGGTTTGGTCTTCATGTCATGGCACCTTCCAGGTCCACAAGACAAATGCAGAGAGGGATCAGAGAGTGTAACCCTCTCTGTAAATATATGTAGTAATAACATTTTGTTTTATTTGTTTATTATTAAAAAGAAAAAGTGGGAAGTGACCGTTGTGACGACAGGCTGTAATGTTGTAAGTACCACATCGATTGCAGTTTTGTTTTGTTGTTTTGTGTGAAACTGAGTCCACAATTGAGAGCTGATCGTTTGGCTCGACAACGCGGGGAAGTAGAATGTAGCGATTGTATTTATTGATTATTAATAGTTTTTTCCCAGATGCATCATATTTTGCATTTTTGCTAGCATGCAAAAACTGCATTGGAGTCAATTTTTTTTTAATTTTTTGGAATTGATATATTCGTTAATGTAATAAATCATTATCTTACCCATCTGTGTAGCACCTTTGTTAAACAAATTATATATTTATATTAATATGATAGTTAAAAATAAATACATGTATATTTTTTAAAATTTTATGTAATTTAGTTTATAAATTAAGTTATTTTTCTATATATTTTTATAAAAATATTTATATTAATTAGATAAAATAATTTCAATTTAGATCAAAGAAAATATCATAGTACCTCATTAATAAAAACTAAAAACAAAAATATTTAACTCTATGCAATATTTTTATTGATTTTAGATACCAATATTATATAAAAATATTATAATTATTATATATATTAATTAAGTAAAGCAATTTCAAATTTTATTTTGATAATTTTTTTAGTTAAAAAATAATAATTAGAGGTTAAGAATAAATTTTTCTATTTGATTTATTGGTCAATCTTATACCTTACATTTGTTATATTGTTCATATTTTCTACATCAAAGAAAATAATTTTTAATTAATTAGTTAAATTAGAAAGAATATTTTTATACAATATATATATATATATATATATATATATATATATACATTAATCAGATAAAAATAATTAAAAGAAATTACTCAAGTCTATATAATTTTTATTTTACAACTTAAAAAAATTATACTGATTGATCTTCCAAGAGATAATTATTTTTACAATCATATAGTTGATATTAATTTATATGAATTTGTGTAGTAAAAAAAATTTGTATAGGTTAGAATAAACAATTTGTTTTTATTTAAAAAAAATCTTTTACCATGCACATATATATTTGATTAATTCAAATATTCATTTAATATAAATCACAAGTTATAAATAAAAAATAATTTATATTAAGAAGTTAAAAAATAAAAAAAAATCATAAGTTAGAAATAAAAAATAATTTATATTCAGAAGTTAAAAAAAAAAATCATAAGTTAAAAGTAGAATAATTTAGTTGGGATGAGAGAGGCTCGAACTCTCGAACTCAGGATCACTCGTATGCTATGAGACCTACGCGCTAGCCAACTGCGCCACCACCACAATTGCTAATTATTATGAAAATTTAATTAATGACATTAAATATATTATTACAAATTCGAGGAGGTCCTGTGAGAGTTTGCTGTTCCTTTTAATTAACTTATTTATTTGTAGTACAGATCTAAACATACAAATGCAATAAATAATAAAAATAATTATCATACAAAGTTATCCCACTTAAATAAAGTTAAAATTTATTTTATGAAAGATATAATTTCTTATTAACAAAAGTAAAAAAAAAAAAAAAATATATATATATATATATATAAAATTAACCATAATCAAGATTCACCGATTAAATCAAGTAATTGTTATAGTTAAACTATAAAAAAATTTCAAAAAACATTATTTTTACACGAAAATCTGTTTTTATTTTTTAAAGCTAGTTAAATAACCAATTATATATATATATATATATATATATATATATATATATATATATATATGTTATAGTTAAACTATAAAAAAATTTCAAATAATATCTCCAAAATTTGGTTATATAAATGTCTATAATTAATATTATTTATATAACTTATTAGTTAAAAATCAATTTTAATTTAACACGATATTGAACATACGGTTGTAATTATATGTAAAGTATTTAATAATTTTTAATTAGATGAATAATTGATTTATTATGATAAAATAATTTTAAATTAATTATTTATTATTATAAATAAAAATATTTATTATTATAATTTTAAATAATTAATTAATTTTTATGTTAAAAAATATATTTTAATATAGTATTTTTAATTAGAAAATTAATAATAAGTGTGATAGAAGAAAGAAGAATAAAAGACAATGAGAAAAAAAAACCATTGAACCAAATGAAGAAAAAAATAAAGAATAAATGAGGACCTAAAATAAATGAGTGATGAAAAAAATTATTTTATATCAAATAATTTAATTATTTATAATCAAATTCTGTGTATAAATAAAAAATATGATAAATAAATTTTAATATAAAATAATTATTATTTTAATATATTATTTATATGATTCTATATTCATAAGTTATTTAAATTATTTAACTTTTCTAAAACTAGTTTATAATTTGATTATAATAATCATTTTATTATGTTGAATCAGTATTCCTAAATACATAATGTAATAACTTTTCCTTAAATAGTTCTTATCGATAAAGTACTTTTTAACAAGATGCAGTTCTAATATAACATCTTTAGTATTTTTTTTTTTTTATGACTGTATGTATATTTTTTGCTTTAATAGGAAAATATGAAAAAAGTACTGTTGGTAACATCTTAATAATGGGCATAATGAACCCTCTAATGATATTTTATTTTATTTAATTAACATTATAACTATATACATGTTTTTAGCCTTTGACACCATGTACATGGATGTATCCACATAGAATAAATGCTTTCGGAAATTTCATTTTTTATTTTATTTTAGTCTCTAACTCCGTATTTGATAGTATAACTTGTTAAATTAAATAATAAAAAGAACTCGTTATTTTATAGAAACTAAGGACCTACCTAAATTAAGAATAAAATTTATGATGGTGAAACATTGTTGGCATATCAGTACAAGTTAGTAACTAATGACGGAAGGTGGACAAAAATAATCAAATGTTTCTTTAGTTAATGTATCAAATCGCAATACTTTGAAAAAAATATAATGATAGTTTTTGTTTGACTTTTTGAATAATTAATTCATGTTAGACAAGCATAATTCATTTTACAATAATCTAAAATTCATACATTTTTATAAATATGTTATTATTTTATCTTAAAACAATTATTTTGACTTTTTTTAACATAATAATTGTGTTTTATGTAATTTTTTTTTAAATTATTTATTTCAATATAAAATTTAGGAATTTAGAATATGTAAACTAACATATAGACTTATGATTTGATTATTATTTACTTTTATCTTACCCACTTTGACTATGACATATAATTTTCAACATATAGATTTAGAATAAGTTTTCACTTTTATTTTAGAATTTAATGGATTTTCTCTTATAATTTTAAAAATATATTTTTATTATTTATTTTCATTTAAATATTTTTAAAATGTTTAATCAGATCAAAATTAGTTTTTTAATTCATTGGTATAACATAGGGTTTGATTAAGTTCAAAATTATAATCTGTTATAAAATATAAGTCAAATTGAACTATCAATTTTTTTTTTTACTTAATTAATAGGGTCAGACTAGGATAGTTAAATGGGTCAATTCATACCGTTTTGACCCGAAAAAAATAAGAGAAAACATGTTGACTCATTATAATTATAATAGGTTACAAATCCTAGCTCATCCCACTAAAATATTGGTTGACAGACCAACTGGTCAATTTATCAATAATTGTTTTTATACAAAAAAAATTATATGTATTTTTATAAAAATATACCTTTGATTATATAGATATTTTTTAATTTTTATTTATTACTTAATATTTTATTAGATAAATTTAAAAAATGATTATACTTATGTATTAAAACAATTAAGTATAATCAATAATTTAAATTATAATATTATAATATATTTATATTTTTTAATAATATTATAAAAATTTATAATATTTTTATTTAAGTTTTAATATATAAATATTTAAAAAAAAATACTAAGAGATTAATTTTATTCATCCTTAGCTTATTGGATTCACGGATTAGATGAAATGATTGAAATGGATGTACGAACTAAGTTGGTACAATAGGCGGACTAATTGAACTGACGGATTTATACCGATTTCACAACTCTAATAAAACTTTCAAATTGATTAATATATATTCAGTAAAACCTACTTTAATCAGTTATGTTTTCTTTGGTTGCTTATAGCCCATGACTTTTGTGACACGTCAATCTCACGTCTATAATTTTAAGGTATCATAATGCAATGTGCAAAAATTTGTAAATTATATGTCACGGACAAGCAGAAACTTTTATCTGAGACATGAAATCAACAAGAGTGACAAAAAAGACCCAACAAAATGTGTCTTTTATATTAGATTTGTTTGTTTGTCTAGCTAATGCAATTGAACAATTAATGTATTGTATGCATGACAGTAGGCAGAGGAAACAAAAATTCTAATAAAATTGAATGATTCCATCTTAACTATATATAAAATGGTGCTCATGAAAAGCTAAAAAGTTGACATCATTGTACAGCATGATGGCAGAGGAAGAAGAAAAAGGGTTTGGAAGTAGTGGAAGAGAGGAGGAGGATTACACCCAAGATGGCACAGTGGACCTCAAAGGTACACCAGTTTTAAGATCAAATACTGGAAGATGGAGAGCTTGTTCCTTCATAGTAGGTAAATAAGATGAGTTGAAAACATTTTTTTGCTTTTTCATTACAATTCATGTATTTTATTTGACTAAGGATAAACTGTTTACTAGAACCAATACATTAAAAATAAATACATAGTGAGGATGAATAGTATAATTTTACTTCATGAGTTTATTTTTTAAAGAAATATTTATAGAAAAGTTTGACCAACATATTTTGAAACTGATAAAGTGAATATGTGACAGCATGACAGTGTGAGGAAAGAAGTGAGTGAGTTTTGACGTGGTTCTTACTTGCATGAGTTGGATAATTAATTGTAGGGTATGAAATGATTGAAAGAATGGCATACTATGGGATTGCATCAAACCTAGTGCTGTATCTAACAAGGAAGCTCCATGAGGGCACTGTCAAATCTTCAAACCACGTTACCAACTGGGCTGGTACAGTCTGGATCATGCCAGCTGCGGGAGCTTACATAGCTGATGCCTATATTGGCCGATATTGGACCTTTGTCATAGCATCAGTCATTTACCTTCTGGTATATATATATGAATGAAACATCATCACATTACCACACCTTAATTTGGATTTTAGTGTACACGTTTCAAATCTTATTTTGAAAAGTAAACATATTTACAATTGAAGTCTCAGAATATGGTTCCATTTATAAGTTCATCAAAATTACTCCTACAATAGATTATACCAAATTTTCCAACTATCAATGAGGATGTACATGACAAGCTTGTGAACAACATAAATCTTAACAAGACATTCATCACCATGATCTCATACTGTTCGTGTTCATATTCTTGTTTAATCTCTTCGTGACGCATTACTGATTTTTCAACTATATGCCACATGGAGAATGTATGGACTATAATGGTTTCGATCCATATGATAATTTTTCATGCTATAACATATCCTGAATTTTAACATTGTAAAGGGAACATGGTCGTGTGTTTTTGGTTGTAGGGAATGTGTTTGTTGACTCTAGCAGTGGCACTACCAGGATTGAGACCACCACCATGTGCTCCAGGCGTAGCAGATCAGGATTGCCCACAAGCATCGTCATTGCAAGTGGGGGTTTTCTTCTTTGCCTTGTACATCATTGCAGCAGGCACAGGGGGAACCAAGCCCAACATTTCTACAATGGGAGCAGACCAATTTGACGAGTTTGAGCCGAAAGAGAGGTCCCAAAAGCTTTCCTTCTACAACTGGTGGGTGTTTAATATTCTAATTGGAACCATTTCCGCCCAAACTCTCTTGGTTTACATACAAGACAGAGTTGGTTTTGGACTTGGTTATGGGATCCCAACCATTGGTCTAGCCCTTTCAATATTGGTGTTTCTGCTAGGAACTCCACTTTATAGGCATAGATTGCCCTCAGGCAGCCCTTTAACCAGAATGATCCAGGTACTTGTGGCTGCAGTGAGGAAGTGGAAGGTACATGTCCCACATGATTTAAATGAGCTACATGAGCTCACCATGGAAGAGTATTGTGCAAGTAAAGGGAGAATAAGAATCTATCACAGCTCTTCTCTAAGGCTAGTAATCAAATATCTCTTTAAATTTGTTGTACTGAAAATTTGTCATTAACATCATAATTCTGTGCGTGTGCATATACAGATTTTAAATTTAGTATCTAACTTTACAAATTTGGCCCTCAAGTTGGTGGGCAAGGCAACCAAATTGACTGGCTCAGAACTAATTACTGTTTTTTAATAATAAGGATGAAATTACCCTAGATATTACTTTCTCGAACTGAATTAAATTTCCAAAGATATGGGTTAAATTTATATTTTGTGATATGAAAAGGCAAAAAAGGAACCAATTTCAAAGTCGTCAAAATAGATAACTGTTGTGAACATACTTTTGGGTGCTTAAGGTATTTTTTGAGAATGGTACTTTTTCTTTTTGTACTTTTTCTTCAAACCTATTTTTTTGCCGTGTCAAACACTTGGTATAGATTATCTGAGTAAATTATATCTTTTTTGTTGGGGTTGACAAATGAATGCAGCTTCCTTGATAAAGCTGCAGTAAAGACAGGCGAAACATCACCATGGATGCTTTGTACTGTGACTCAAATTGAGGAAACCAAGCAAATGATAAAAATGGTTCCTATTTTGATTACTACATGTATTCCAAGCACCATAATAGCTCAAACCGCCACACTCTTCATAAGACAAGGCACCACACTAGACAGGGGAATGGGACCCCATTTTGAAATACCTCCAGCATGTCTTATAGCTTTTGTAAACATCTTCATGCTGATAAGCGTTGTGATCTATGACCGCCTTTTCGTTCCTGCAATCCGGCGCTACACCAAGAACCCCAGAGGGATCTCCTTGCTGCAGAGACTTGGCATTGGCCTTGTGCTACATGTTATCATAATGCTCACTGCATGCTTTGTTGAGAGAAAGAGACTCAGTGTTGCAAGAGAAAACAACCTTTCAGGCCAGCTTGATCAAATTCCTCTCACTATTTTCATCCTCCTCCCTCAGTTTGCTTTGACAGGAATTGCTGATACCTTTGTTGATGTTGCTAAGTTGGAGTTCTTCTATGATCAAGCACCCGAAGCCTTGAAAAGTTTGGGAACGTCATATTTCACAACCACCTTGAGCATTGGAAACTTTCTTAATAGTTTTCTACTTTCAACTGTTGCTGATCTCACCCGCAGACATGGTCACAAGAGTTGGATTTTGGATAATCTAAATGCCTCCCGTTTAGACTACTATTATGCATTCTTGGCCATGCTGAGCGCTATCAACTTCCTTTGCTTCGTGGCTGTTGCCAAATTATATGTCTATAATACTGATGCAACACAAATCAGCATGGACTTGAACATGAACCCTAGGTCACCTAAGGACAATGATGGAATGAGCCAAAGTAACACAACCAGATAACAAGTCCTAGGGACTACAGCTTCTCTGTTCTTGGTATAAAACTTTTGAAAATGTAAAGAAATAAAGGTTCAAATCCATCAGCTATGGTTCATTTGCGTATTTAACATTTCCATTAGAAAACTATATAGCCTTTGCTTATATTGCTATCGCCCACAAATTTATTGGAAATTCAAATTTCAGTTGAAATCTCTGCATTGACGAAAAATAAGAAAATTAATTAACTTATCTATAATCTAATATCTAAAGTTTTTTGTTTATACAATACCTAAAAGTGATATTAGAACATATGATTACCTTTTGTCTCTTTTACTAAACCCAAGAGCGATATTAACTCCTCAGAATATCCCATCAAAATTTTCCTTTTAATCATCGAAAAAAGTTCTTTTACTAACCCTGCTGTCAAACTTGCCTCCGTTTTTTGCATGAATTTGATAACAGCCTAAAAGCAATCACACGGTTTTCCGGTATGGAAAATGTTATGTCTGCAATCTCTACACCGTTATAGAGATATGTTTTATTTTACTTATTTTATTATTACTAGCAAACCTATAAACTGACATCATTGTTTTAAGACCATGTATACATATAAATGGAGTATTTGCAGAAAGAAAGTGCTTTCGGCAACTAAATTTTTCTTACTACAGTTCCAGAGTAGAGTTGATATTAGGAATCACAATCCGGAAATAAGACTGAAGCACGAGATAGAGACACGTGGGGCGTAATAATGCAATTGATTAGTGACTGAAAGGGGGGAAAAGCATATAATACATTCAGTGGGAGCCACTTATAACTAATAGCCCGTGGCTTTTGTGACATGTCAATCTCGCGTTAACTTCAAAGATCTAACTGTAGCTAGATCGATGATTCAAAGGTTAAAAAACATAAAAATACATAAGAAAATAAAGATATGGAAAGTGTGTAAATAAGGGACAAGAAGTGCAAACGAAATACATGTTGATCATTATGTTTGGTCTGAAGATTTCTCTGTTAGTTAGCTCATGCAAATAGACAAGGTATAAAATTCGGTTGAGAAAGCTAAGCTTGCAAAATCAGATTCCCCGCCTTCACTATATAAATAGCTCGCGAGAGAGGCTACAAAAAACTTCCACACGAGAGCCAAAGATATTGCTCAAAGTCATGGAAGTCATGGAAGAAAAAGGCCCTGCAAATGGGAACCAAGATTACACTCAAGATGGCACAGTAGACCTTAAGGGTAGACCCGTTTTGAGAACAAAGACGGGAAAATGGAAAGCTTGTTCCTTCATAGTTGGTAAATGATGCCATTAGTGTCCTTAACATCTCCAATCCTCCCTTTTTTCCTTCTTATTGTTTAATACGGTATAATGAATTGTTGTTATCACTTATGAACACGGAATTTACATGTTTTTATTTATAGCGTATGAAGTGTTTGAGAGGATGGCTTTCTACGGGATTCAATCAAACCTAGTGATGTATCTAACTAAGAAGCTCCATGAGGGCACTGTAAAATCTTCGAACAACGTTAGCAACTGGGTGGGTTCAGTGTGGATGATGCCTCTGGCAGGAGCTTACATAGCGGATGCTTGGCTTGGCAGATATAGAACCTTCATAATTGCGTCATGCATTTATGTTATGGTATGAATCGTGAGATTTATTTTCACCTTTGAGTGTTACTTGGTAGTAAACAAGGGTAGGAATTGATAAACAATCTTGGATAAACATTGTTGTTTTGTTATTGTTCGGGCTTAACTAAATTATGATTATGTTTACATGTCTTTCCATGTTTTCTTCGGCCATAGGGAATGTGTCTGTTGACTCTAGCAGTTTCACTGCCAGCATTGAGGCCACCACCATGTCATGAAGGCCAGAATTGCCCACAGGCATCGTCATTGCAATATGATATTTTCTTCTTGGCCCTTTATATCATTGCGATAGGCACAGGAGGGACCAAGCCCAACATTTCGACCATGGGAGCAGACCAATTTGATGAGTTTGAACCCAAAGAGAGAACCCATAAACTGTCCTTCTTCAATTGGTGGTTTTTCAGTATTTTCTTTGGTACCCTTTTCGCCAACACTTTCTTGGTTTACATACAAGATCATGCGGGTTGGACCATTGGATATGGCCTTCCCACCATTGGCCTTGCTGTTTCAGTATTGGTGTTTGTGGTAGGAACTCCATTTTATAGACACAAACTGCCATCAGGTAGCCCAATAACAAGGATGCTTCAGGTCTATATTGCTGCTATGAGGAAATGGAAGCTACGTGTCCCAGACGATCCAAAAGAGCTACATGAGCTGAGCAATGAAGAGTATGCAAGTAGTTGGAGGAACAGAATTGATCGTAGCTCTTCGTTGAGGTTAAGCCCATCTCTTTATCCTTTCAAAAAAGAGAACTTGGTCTGGCAAACATTTTCAGGAACGAAAATGAAAAGTTTAGACTTGAAAATCAAATTGAAACCGAAAATAAAACCATGAAGCAAAAGTTTATTTTAGCTCTTTCAGAATTCACTATATTTCTCCATGTCACAGAATTTCACAATTCTCCCTCTTCTCTGCATGCAGTTTCCTTGACAAAGCGGCTATAAAGAGTGGCCCAACATCATTATGGATGCTTTGTACTGTGACACAAGTAGAGGAAACCAAGCAAATGACAAAACTAATTCCGATTATGCTTACAACGATTATCCCAAGCACCTTGATAGTTCAAGCGAGCACACTCTTTATCAAACAAGGCACCACTCTAGACAGGAGAATGGGACCCCATTTCCATATCCCCCCTGCATCTCTCAATGCATTTGTAACTATCGCCATGCTGATAACCGTTGTTGTCTATGACCGTGCTTTTGTTCCTGCGATCCGACACTACACAAAGAACCCGAGAGGGATCACAATGCTGCAGAGACTTGGCATTGGACTTGTGCTACATGTCATCATAATGGTCATTGCATGCTTTACTGAAAGAAAGAGACTCAAGGTGGTAAGAGAAAACAACCTCTTTCGCGCACAAGATACAATCCCTCTTACTATTTTCATCCTCCTCCCTCAGTATGCTTTAGGAGGGGTTGCTGATAACTTCGTGGAAGTAGCCAAGATGGAGTTATTCTATGATCAAGCACCATATGGCATGAAAAGTCTCGCAACATCATATTTCACAACCACCTTGGGTATTGGAAGTTTTCTCGGCAGTTTTCTTCTGTCAACTGTTGCTAATATCACCAAGAGAAATGGCCACAAGGGTTGGATTTTGGACAATATAAACGTCTCCCGTTTAGATTATTATTATGCATTCATGGCGGTACTGAGCTTCCTCAATTTGCTCTGCTTTTTTATTGTTGCCAAGTATTTTGTCTATAATGTCGATGTAACACAAACCAAATCGGGCTTGGAGATGAACCCCGCATCGTCACAGCCACAGGACAACACTGGAATAAACCAAAGCACCCCGCAATCAGATGGAAAATCCTAGGGAAAACATCGCCTCTTCTTCTTGTATCAACCTTTAAGGAATATACAGTGTACTTTAGATTTGGTAATTCAGATCTATCTTCCCGTGACTCTTTCTCCGCTTAGCCTTGCCTTTCTCCTTAAAACGAGATTGGTTAAAGTAAAAAGCAGAGTGCTTGGATTGTTCAAGAGCATTAAAAAAATCATGGGCAGTTTCACATCCATTATCACCCGTTCTGCTGAGAAAAATTCCACCCATGTCATTTCTTGCATGCCAATATTGAGAAAATGCAGAGGTTACTTTTAAGTACTTCTAATAAAAACTTCAACTAGTATATTAACCTAAACTTTTCCTTTGTACATAATTCAGTAACTTATTTATGGCAGTCTTTTCTGAAACAAGGTGAAGTTAAGCCAGTACGGCGTGACTTCATCTTCTACCACACCCTCCCTCATCTGCCATCAATCCTAAGCTGGTACAAACAATTGAGGATAAAATTCTAAAGAGCAAGTTTAGTTTTAGGCATGGGATTGCATTTGAAGTAGTAGGTATCACAGCCAATTCAAGCCACATTGACGAAGTCCCACTTTCCGCTCTTACGCATCTCAATTCTCAACCAAATCGTTTATTTGTTCTAAAACGGATGTAGAAAGAACGATCAAAATCATGATGGATATCTGAAGTTAACAATAAAAGTAGATAGTTTATAAAAAAAAACTGTTGTACTAGCGTTATTTGGAGAAAAGGAATTTTACGACAAAGGAGCTGAAGGAATGAAGGAAAATGAAGTTACAACTTGGTTTTTATTGAACAAATAATAAACGGTCGTACAAAGATGAACTTCATCTAGTTTGTTGCAAAGTAGAATACGAGAATTTGCCTTGGCATTTACTGACAGCATTAGGCCTCATAATCCATCTCAACTTTGAGGAACTGGTTAATTGTACAAATAAACAAGCAATACAAAACCAAGTTGGTGAATAAATACTTGATATTACAAGACCAAAACAACCTAACAGCCAGACACCGAGAAAGACAATAAATTCAGGCTAAATCCTATACACGATTGATCAATTTTTTTGCACATTGAACGCCCTATCAAGTGAGAGACAAACTATCAACTACCTAATGCATTTTAGTTAACAAAAAGCTGCAATTTACATGCAGCAATTGATTCAAGAATCCACGTGTGACCCATGACTTGTAAAGTATTAGCAGCTAAATCCTCTGCATCGTTTAGCCTTTGCCAAAGAATTGACACTTCCTCCCCCAACTTACATCCTTGTGGAGGATCAAGGTTGTAAACAACCAGCAACTTAGAAGAATTCACTTTGCATTCTTGTCTTTGCTCTTCTAAATCTTCCTTGCTTCTCAAAACTGTACCTCCACCCACTTCAATTAATTCTTCAAGATCTTCCTTATAAGTTGACACATAATCCCCAGAAAAATAAAATTTTAAGCCACTGAATAGTTTTGGCTCCTGTTATCACAAAAATTAGAATATTAGAACTAAAATAGAGATTAGCAAGTAATTTAACAACGAATTTCAACTGTTTTAGAAGCCTCAAAAAACATAAATGTTTATAGTCAACAAATCGCTACTGAGCTAAACACATCCATATAGTTGCTTCAGCTGTTGACATAAAAAATAATAGGCATTCTACAAGTTATTTGATATTATAGTCTTTGACAGTCCAAGAAAAACAATATGTCTTTACAGTTTACATGAACATAAGATGCAATTAGAATACTTACATTGGCCAATACCCTAAGTCTGCCAGCCCTTGGGCCACCTTGACACCCTTGGTTATCAACATTAATTTCATATGGTTCTTCCTCTACAGGATTTTTCTCTTCCATGCATGCTTTTACCCCTACAGAACAAAATAGGCAGCATCGACATGAATAAAAAAAATACAAATAAACATTTTAAAAAATGCACAGCAAGCATATATGAAAAGTATGTAAGACCAATATATAAGGATTAAATAGAAAAAGTTATTCATGTGCAGGAGCATGGGTAGCAACTTAAGTTTCAGCACGAGCACAAATTTCCCCCGTCAGCAGACCAACTCCAGTAGGTGGGGGCTAGGTGCCAAAGACACAATAGGAGTAGCAAGGATAGATCCTGGCAAATACTCTCCATCCGCACTTTCAACTACAACACACCCCTAGGCCCCTAGTGCCAGGATCCTAACGGTAGTCCTATGATTACCAAAATCATCATACTAATAAAAGCAATAACAGATCTTGATGATCTTGACTAAATAATATATTACCAATAAATAATAAATGAATATAAGAAAATAAAAGAATATAAAAGAATAAAAAATAAAATTTGTAAATATACATACAAATATATTTAATAATAATTAAGTTTGGAAAAACTAAAATCATAAATGCTAATATAAATATAGGAGGGTTATAGTCTCCCTCATCTCCCAAGAAGATCCACCACCAAATAAAGATGACATTATATTAATAACTAACCAGATTTGATGTCCAATTTCTTGTATTTCAAGATTTTCACGAGTAGAAAACTTAATGCCTTGTTACCACTATCACAGGGTCAATTTATAATTTGTAAGGGGAACCAAAACAACAGATTGAACATAATTGACTTTCTCATATCTGCCAAAAAGAAAGCCACTTACAAACTACAACCCTCAAATTGAAGCCATTAAGTACTCACCATTATGTGTCCAAATTTATAATGAAAGATAAGCATTAACCCAAATAAACAGAATAAAAAACATAAACTCACAATCCAATTTTAGAACCCATCGTCCATTTAGAATAGCCATGAGAACTTTCAATGTCCTGGAGCATGCCCCATTTGCATCAGTTGCCGCAATTACATGTGTAACATTTGTGGTCCAGAATTTGGTCACAGTCGCACCAATCTTGCTTGCATAATTGATCAAAAGTACCTGCACCATTAATAAGGAAAAACAAAAAAAGGTCATGTATCAATTAATTAAAACACGATACACAAAGCACATGATGATACAGCATGCTCCTCAACAAGTGAACACAAGATTTATAAATAAGCACTTCGATTAACATCGTATTATTCAACATATCAAAAGATACAGCATACATTTTTCACATTTTGCAATTAAGTAGAGGTCACAAGAAAGAAAAACAGTAAAGATAAGATAGCAAATAAACTTAATCACAGAAAGTATACAACTTCAATACTAACCTTTTCTTCATTTGATAAAGCAGATCCACAGAAAACCATTTTTTTATTATCATTCTGTGAAGCTTCAAGAGTATTTGAGTGGTGAGATGGCCTGTATACAGGAGTTACTCAGTACAAGTACCTCGACAAGAAACTTACACACAGAATTTATAAGAGTATTATGACAAACAAAACAGTGGTACAAATATAACCCTGAAATCTACTAAATAATAAATGGTTGCATATGTGAAATGTCATTTGAGCACTATATTAATTAAGCAAAATTCTCTGGTTTGGGAAACAAAATATAATATTTATTACAGTAGTAGCACATATTGTACTGTAATTTGTGGCTCAAACTATTAAATGTTGAAAGTAAATGACTTGAAACCCTGAAAAATTCATCAAAACATTGGAAGAGGAAGCAGTATAAGAGATAATTAAAATAGCACGCGGCAAGAAAGAAACATACGGATGAGACAAAGTGGGATGCTTCCGAGTTGCCTGTTTCTTAGATCTGGATTTCTCACATGGAAATTTGACATTTGAATGGAGGGGACAGAGCAAGAGAAAATCCTCCTGAACCAGTGAATGCCTCATAGAAGTTTAGATAAATGCAAAGAAGCACAACTATTGTTTAAGTAAATTGTATAATAATAGCTTTAATATGAAAAGGAAGTACATGATCCCAACGACAAGTTGAGATGTCCATTGCACAAGGAACATGATAAGTTCTTCTACAGGATTTGACGTAGCAACCAAGAGCAGCTCCCTTTAGATTACATTTACTGCATTTAAGTTTTGCTCCCCTTGCCAATTCTTCCTTCAAATTCTTTACTACCTCATCGACAAAGTAGACTTGGGGTGCCCTAGATTCCAAAAGTTCACACCACATTTTTAGCAAAATTCGAGTAGAAAGGCAAAAGATACTAAAAATGTGCACTGATTGCAATTTAAAAAGGTTTGAACAGATGATCAATCAAGATTTAATGCTGTTTTCAGGTGGCTCCACAAATTCAAACAATCAAAACATAGACTAGAAGCCTTTAGTAACAAACAATGGATACTCAATATCAAGTAAGCATACCAGTCAATGCAACTCCTATGCACAGGTATAACATTTGGCTTCATTGCTGCATCTCCTGCAACTAAGTTTCCATCAGCATAATGCAGCATGGGCCCAGTAGCCTACAAAAAATCACCATAAAGACCAATAAATAGTTTCAGTCATTTCTCCATAAGCATATACAGCATGAGAATAGTAATTTTCAGGTAAAAGGAAATTGAAAAATAATTTCTAGGAAATGCCAAGTAGTACCTCAGAGGTTTTAGAGGATTGGCAAAATGAACAGACACTTCCAGCTGGACACAAGTCATTAGGAGCATTAGTGGGCAATTGTGCACCAGGGTCCTTTCCAGATTTAAGGTCGAGAATTTTCTGTCTCTTGGGATCCCTTTCAAGACCCTCAGTTTCAGAGGCTGAACTTTCCGACCTTAACTGTTCCCTTTTCTCCTTGAAATTTCCATTTCCTGTACTTGCTCTCTTTAAGGAAGAATTTCCCAATCTATCAGGAAGTAATGGCTGAAATTAAGAGTTTGAGAATGAGAGACCCAGTTCATAAAGGATTGGACATACCACAGATTTAATTGTATATAAACAGGAAACAATAATAAGAGTGTGTTTTCATACATGCTCACTGTCTTGATCGCTGCAGTCATTATCAGAACCTTTGGTATCACAAAAAGGAGGGCTATCTGGGGCTGATTGTGTCACTTGATTCACATCCATTTCCATCTGGGAAGATTGCATTGGATTGGGCTTCCCTCTCCCACGAGACAACTCAAGCTCTTCAGCTCTATCAAGCACTGCAATCTTGGATTTGTGATTCTTGCCAACCCCAACCTTATTCATATTAGGCAAATTCTGAGGAATCTTGCCAGCTTTTATAGTGCTAGAAGTTGAATTAAGAATCACCTGGCCTGGCTCCAAAACCCTCTCATCACCTACATCAACAGTTTAGAATATATACATATACATGTGTGTGTGTGTGTGTGTATATATATATATATATATATATATATATATATATATATATATATGAGCAAATTAAATCAAGTCAGCATCAACAAATGCATAGATATTTACAAATAAACTGGAAAAACTATACAAAAATAAAAAAACTTCACCAGAAGAACGTTGCTGAAACAAACTAGCACAAAAGGTGGCATCCAAGCTTCTATATATTGCTACCACATTTTCCACAAAAGGCACGTACCTTACATCTGCCTCACACGATCATCATATAAGAAATATAAGTATAGATATCAGACCAAAACATATAAAACATAGCTCAGACCATAACATAAAATGTTGAATACAAAAGGGGGGAAAACATCAATTTGATCCTACAATAGTACGCTCTCAACTAAATAGTCCTAAAAATAAATAAATTATATAAGTATTCTTAAAATATTGAATACAACTAAATAGTCCTAAAAATAAATAAATTATATCAGTATTCTTAGAATATTGAATATCTATCAGTTTAGTGCCTATATTAAAATGTTCTACTAACACCCACTGACTAATTTGAAGGATTTTCTTATGCTTGAAAAATATTTCCTATCATTTCTAATGCAACAGGGTTTACTTAAATAATTTGTTCAGTTTGGAAACTATAGGACCTGAACATGCACATACAAAGCTTGACATTAAATTACCTGTTTGTCCGTATTTTGCGTTACAAACAGCACATTCAGAACCAGCCGTTATGCAGTCAGCTAAGCATGAACTGTCAAACACAAAATATCAAAAAATTTAAATAATTCCATTAAAGAAACCCGTGGAGTAAATTGACCAACATATATAATACAATAAAGATAAATAAGTAACGAACTTGCAGAACAAGTGGTTGCATGGAAGTAACACCGGCTTCTTGAACAAACCCAAACTGCAAGATCCAGCGCCGCCACAAATATCAACAACAACAGTAAATCAATTAATCAACTTAGCTACTAAAAATAACAAAAATCCCTCGCCTGTGAAAGCCAAAGTAGCATCACAAGCAGGAAATTAATTTAAATTCAAATAATCAAATTAAATTAAAGTCTGCAGCTGCAAAGGCTCAAAGCAAAGGGCACTGAGTTTTTTACATCACTATTCATCCATATATCTAATCTACATCCTCATAATAATAATAATAATAATATAAATTTAAAAGATTTTATTAATACTATATTATTAAAATGAGTTGTAGAATAGTGTTTTGTGAGGAGAAGGTTGTCAACTTATTATTTTGAAAAAGCAAATTAGAGAGTTTTAATCAAAGAGGGGGAGATATGAAGAGCGAAAATTGACGAACCAGAGAGGGCACTTGAGTTCGAGAGCGAGTTTCTGGAAGTGGAGCATCCATGGATTGAGGAGTTTAGTTTTACCAGCGCTGGATTTTGCGGAATCGTCCATATTTTTTCCTGTTGTTTGGAAAGAAAAGTGGAGGGAGAAGGAGGGTAACGTGGAAGAGGAGAGTAGTGAGATTAGAGATTTATTTGGTTTCTATCGTGAGGCGGTCTTTTCAGAAATGATGTAATTGAGATGGAAACGTGGACGGCTGAGATTTGTTAATTGAGAGCTAGGGCGCGGTCATTGATTTGATTGGCGCCTCGCAAAGATGACGTTTTCTTTTGAAACGCTCGCGCCTTTTTGCTTTTCCCTGTTTTCAAGTTTTCGTTCATGCTTTTCGACCTGGTCCAACTCCCGCTAACCTTTTTTTTATAAGTTGGATGGATATAATTTCCTTCCAAAAAATAAAGTTATCAAATGACACGTCTTACATACTTAGATATAAATAAATCTATTTAATGGCACTTTATTGGTAACAAATACTTGTTTAGTAGACTTAAACAAAGAAGTAATTAATTTTAATTTATTTAATCTTTTTATTCCTAAAATATATTTTATTTAATACTGATTATATTTTAAATAATTTCTTATTTATGATGTCCGATGAGTAATATTTTGAAAAAATAAAATATATAAATTGAGATTAGCGAAATAAATAATATTATATTACTTTATGAACTAATTTTTTTTTTATATTTGTGTCCGAATAAATTACTTTAATAATTACGATTTATTTTAAACTATAAAACAAAATAAAACTCGTTAGATAGGTATGCAATTGACAAAATGCATATTAAAAAAATAATAAAAATGTATTTTTATCTATTATCTTCTTATTTAAAAAAATAAAATCAAGATTAGTACTTATTGACGTAATAAAGTTTAGTTGTTTGTTACAATTTAAATTTTGTACGTGATTTACAATATATTAATATGAATGTTATGTTTATTAGTATATGAGAATTATCTTTCTTATTTTTTTAGGTTAACAATTAGGTGGTGTTATCTTTGTTATTAAGTGAGAGTTATTTTTTTTATTTTTTAGTTCATCAGCTGTAAAGTTAAAACTATATATTTAGTTTCTTTATTTTATTAAGAAATAATATGATCAAGTTTGATGAGATAATAACTAGTATCAGAGCCAATTTCAACTTCACTGAAAAGAAGTTGTAAACTTCTATCATGACCAACACAAACAGTAATTTCGTGCAACCTGTAATTCCAAAGTTGAATGAACATTATTTCTGGAATTATACAACATATAGATTGGTTGTTTTATCAGATAATGAGCAAAAACTATGGAAAAAAGCTTTAGAGGAGTTAAAACTAAAAGATTTGAAGTTGAAAAACTACTTGTATCAAGCTAATGATAAAACCGTGAAACAATCTTAAAAATGGTAATGTCGAAGTAGATTTGGGATTCATTGAAACAAAAATAGCAAGGCACTACAAGGGTGAAGCAAGCTCTACTAGGCGAATGAGAGATTCTGCAGATGAAGAATGGTGAATCAATTAATGATTACTTTGCTCGGACTCTCATAATTGCAAACAAGATGAGAATGCAAGGTGAACAAGTATTTGACCTTACTGTTATTTGAAAAAAAAAAATTCGTTAAATGACTTTGAGGTAGGATGATGTAGTATGTAATCTCATAATTTAGATTTCATGTTTATTAGTGCATGAGCAGAGAATGAAGGTCAATTTTTGGAAAAAGGTTTAAGGATTGAAATGAAAAAAATAAGTGTAAATTGTTTCAAAAAGAGGGTATGATATTTAAAACATTTATGACTACTAACCGCATGTTTGTTATCTCTGTCAAATCTAGAGTTTCTTACAATTGTTTTGAATTAAATTCAACACCTAGCTTAAATCTGACACTCTTGTTATGGTAAGTTGAGTTATAGTGGATTGAAAACCTTGTTAAAGCATGAGATGATGAAAATACTGTCTACCTTAAAGTCTCAAACTCAATTGTGTGAACATTCTATCAAAGGTAAGCATTAAAAAGATCTTTTTTCACGTCAAAGCAATTAGCGTGCATCTTAGTGTTGCAACTAATCCATTCTGATATATGTGACCCCATTAATCCTACATCTAATGGATGGGAATAAAAGGTACATACTCACTTTCACTAATGATTTTAGTAAGAAAATATGAGTATATTTCCTTGGTGAGAAAAGTGAAGCATTTGAGACCTTTAAAAATTTTAAAGCATTAATAGAAAAACAAGTTGGTACCTTTTAAATTTTACGTACTGATGGGACTGGTGATTTTAGTAGGAAAGTATGAGTATAGAAAAGTGAAGCATTTGAGACCTTTAAAAAATTTTAAAGCATTAATAGAAAAACAAGATGGTACCTTTATTCAAAATTTACGTATTTATGGGGGAGAATACACCTACAAGGAGTTTGTTGATTTTTGTAAATAGCAGGGTATTCAAAGACAACTCACTTTCTCATACACACCACAACAAAATGGTGTAGCTAAGAGGAAGAATCAGACCAAGTATGGTTCAAAGTCTTTTGATAGAAAGAAAAGTTTCATTATCCTTTTGGCCCGAAGCTATAAATTGGGTGATTTATATCTTCAATAGAAATTCAACTCTTGCAGTAAAAAATATCACACCCGAATAAGCATGAAGCGAATTTAAGTCATTTGTTTCTTACTTCATAATTGTTGGTTACATTGGATTTGTTCATATACCTGATCAAAAAATGAGCAAATTGGATGAAAAAGTATTAAATGTGTGTTGTTGAGTATGAGTGAGGAGTCTAAAGCCTACAAACTATATGATCCTATTAATACGAAGATTCATATCAGTAGGGATGTCAAATTTCAAAAGGATGTTGCTTGGGATTGGAGTGAAGTAGGAACTAGTAGAATGATTGATGTTGGACCTGTGAAAGAATTTTTTCAAGCAAATGAGAGAGTATTCCAAAGAAACTTGAATGATGATGCAACAATAACCACCAATACAACAGAGGTGGATTCAACCTTTGATTCTCCAGCAAGAGCCCTCCAATTGAAGGGAGAGCTAGAAGACTACAAAGCTGGATGAAAGATTATGTCACTTATTATGATTATTTAATTAATAAATATACTATAAATTTTGCAATGTTTGCAAGTGCAGATCCAATAACATATAACCAAGCATCATAGAGTCATCGGAGAGATGTCATGGATGTTGAATTTCAAGTCATTCAAAGAAATGATACATGAGAGTTAATTGATCTATCACCAAATTGAAAATTATAGGTGTCAAGTGGATTTACAAGACAAAATTGAAGGAGACGAGTGATGAGTCCCTAGTTGCCCTGAAAGCGGGGGATGTCATCCCTATGAGGATTACTATAAGCATGACTATAAGGGAGACCTTTTCTTCACCTTCTATTTTGAATTTACTTAGTATATTCTTTTCCTAAATTTTTCACTTATTGTCGATTTCCTTTTGTAGAGTCAATTTTTGCACCTCCCTTTTGAAGAATGCCACCTCTTTTTGGTGGAAAAGAAGTTTTGGATCTATAGGATATATGCATGGGCAGCCCAAGGTGTAGGACACTCCTTTTTTCATGTCCTACACCTTTTTTGGAGAGGAAGAAACTTAGGATGCGAGATTGGTAGGCTTTAAGACAACCCAAAAGGAAGCACACCTCTTTTTTTGTATGTTCTTCACACCTTTAGAGATATATTTGGTGAGCTAAGACGAATTTAACATATTTGGACCATGTGGGCTCTAACTTGTAGTTTTAGGTTAAGTTTAGGTCTCCTTTTGTAATTTCATCTAGGTCCTTCCCTCAAAAGCCTATAAATAGAAGGTTTATCCTCATGTAATTAAGTTGAACATTTATGAAAAATTTGTGAGGTTTCTTATAGTGTTTTATCTCTTTGAGTGTCTTATCTTAAATCTTCATTCAAGTGGCGATAACCACCACTTATCTAGGATGACTCATTCCCTAGTGGCATGCTAACACTCTACCACCACCATACTTCTCTTCTTTTCATCTTTTCTTCTTTATTTCTTCATTCCATTTATTTATCCAAGAGGCTAGTCCATTTTTTCAGCCCTTATCTTTATTCTTTTCTAATTTCATTCCATCTCCTCCTCCCTCCATAATCATTGGAAATGAACTTTCACATCTAGATAGACTATCTTAATGTCCAGTGGAAATTTGTTTGGGTTTGCTTACTTTATTGCTTAAAATTTTACACCTTATCTTCTTACAAATTTACACCTTACTTTATTTTACATCAACAAAGGAGATGAACAAATTTAAAGCCAGACTAGTAGCAAAAGATACATTAAGAAGAGACATCAATTATAATGAGATTTTTGCACCAATAACTCGTTTTGAAACTATTAGAACTGTTGTTGCACTAACAACTACAAAAAGGTGAAACATTTATCAATTTGATATCAAGTCAACCGAGACAATCAATGAGTATATTTATAACAACCACAGGACTATCCCTTGACGTGAGCATAAGGGGATTAAGAAGATAAAAAGAACATATTTGAGAGCATATTTGGTTATGTTTTCAAAATAGGAGATTGTGTGATATTTTGGTCATAAAAAAATAACTAATGGTTAGCTTATACACAAAAAAATAAAGTTTATAACAACTACATTTTGTGCTTACCAATGTGTATGGTTGAGAAGAATTTTCGAGTATCTAAATCACTGTCAACTGTCAAGAGGGAGTTACTGTCATTTTTTATGATAATGTTTCTACAATAAAATTATCCAAAAATCCAGTCTTACATGGAATAAGTAAATATATTGATGTAAGATTTCATTTTTTGAGAGATTTGTGTAATAATAGTGTTATTGAACTGAGCTATTACAGTGATGGAAAATCATTAGCAGACATAATGACAAAATCACTTAAAATGGATAGTTTCCAGTATTTGTGAAATACTTTGGGCATGGGTGAAAAACAAAAAATAAACTGTTGCAAGAGTATCAATTTAAAGGATGGTTTGAAATAAGGTTTTATTTGTTTGTTGCAGTTTAAATTTTGTATGTAGTTTAATTTTATATGTGTTTCACAAGCTGTGAGTACATGTGTTATCTTTTTTAGTACATGAGAGTTATCTTTGTTTGTAGGTGAGACTCTCATGTAATTTATGATTTTGGCCCCCCAAACTTAATGAACATTTAATATATTTACTTGTATATTTACAATTTTATTCTCTCAGCCCCTCCTCAGTCTTGTAGTAACTCTCATATAATTTATGATTTTGTCTCTCTCTAACTTAATGATCATTTAATATATTTAAGTATATATTTACAATTTTATGTTTTTACCCTTTCATCTTTTTTCTTCCTTTTATATTTATTTATTATTTATTAATAATATATTATTTTGCCTCCCAAGATCAATGGTCAAGATCCGCCACCGAGTGAGAGTTATCTTTGTTAGTGAGAGCAACTCCAACGGAAGTTGCTTATAAGCAACTGTGCTTATAAAAACCGTCGTTGGAGCAATCCAACGTGACAACAATAAATTTTGAAAAGTTAAGTACCGCATCTTGCAAAATTTTTCCCAATATTTTTTAGTTTGTTTACACTGTTGTCACCAACGAATTCAACAAATCGAGAAAATGCAATAAACCGGAGAGGAATGCTCACTGCAGTTTCACTATTTTGTATTTTAATTAATGTTAATCGTATTTCCAATGTCAATTTTATTTTTAATTTAAATATATTATTTATTTTATTTTAATAATTAATTATATATTATAGTTATTACTGACATGATATAGCGGGTCCTATTAAAGTAAAAAATGGTAGTTGATTTGTGAGTTACTTATAAAACCCACAATTGGAGTAAAATTGTAAAAATTTGAATAGAGTTGTTTAAATACGATATGACATTGTGGGTCCCACTTAAGAACCCAATGTGTGTTTTTATAAGAACCTACCATTAGAGATGTTCTTAGTGAGAGTTATCACGGTGAGAGTTATTTTTGTTAGTAAATGAGAATTATCTTTTCAATTTTTTTTTTCGTTGTAAAGCTAAATCTATATATTTAGCTTATTTATTTTATGGAAAAAAAACTAAGTTTTTTATATAACACTTGTTATATAAAATTTGTTTAGTAAAAAAAAAAAATACTGTGTTATTCCTCTCAAAATATATTATGAGTATTTTCTTAGTGTACATAAGATATTATCTAAAAAATTGACTTTATTTTTTTATGTTGATTCTTAATATTAACTAAATTTTCGTGGTAAAAAAACAATAAATGTTGGAAATTAATGAGATCAAAAAGTCTCTTATTATAATTGAAGGAGACAAATAGTTGTATATTACATAATTAACATTCTTTTCTGAAAATTAATAATTTAGGCGACATATGAGAAGAGAGGTAATTGATTTTTACGTGTATTAAGAACAATTTTGGATAAATTATTATAATGTTTGAAAAAATTAATATTACTGGTTAAAAAAAGGGAATTATTAAAAAGGTAATGTACGTAGAGATGGAAAAGGTATACATTACTAACATATATTTATTTACTTTTGAAAAATGTTAACAATTTATACAACTAAAAAAAGATAAATGTTCAATTGCCTGCACTTTTATCAATCAAATACATTTAATAAAATATACTGTTAAACAATTGTATTACAAATTTTAACATCGCTCAAATATAAAAGATTTCCAGAGAATTTCAAAGTTATCAAAGCTATATTTGATAAATAGAAAAATGTTCGTAAATACAACATAATGAAATAAAAAATGGCAAAAATGACTCATTGTAAAGTATTTATAACATTGTTTCGCTTAAAAACATATTATATCCTCTCATAAACAAATAACATATTGATCTCCAAAACTTTTTTTTTTTTAATATTAATAAGTATTGATTCCTAAAACTAAATTTTTTAGCTTTGTCTTATAAGTATTTACTTTACACTAACCTAAAATTTCAACGTTTTTTAAATTAATTATTAGTTTTGATTATAACTGTTATTTAAGTACTAATGTCTCTTTTTAAATTACAATAATGCACGCAACAAGAGTTTAGTGATTTAAGAAGATATATCATGGATATCTTTAGACACTTTTCTAAATATTTAAAAGAAAATATTAAATTATAAATTAAAATTAATTTATATTTAAATAAAAATATTTTAAATATATATGAGACAATTTCATCATATTAACTTATATATAAATAAAATTGGTTTATTAAAAATAAATTGTATTCATTTTTATTTCTCTTGTAATCTGTTAGTGGAAAGTTTGTCATCTATATTATTTTTTTCTTAAATAACTACCAAGGTATCCATATCATGTTATATGTTTACTATAGCTTGAGAAAGTACAAGTATTGAGTTTTTGGAGTTTGAATAACTATTTTATAAGCATTTTATTAAATCATGTTATATAATGCTGTTATTTATTATAAAAACTCCTTAATAAATTTATTTACGAGTGTTTGTCAAATAATACAAATTGAATTTTAAAAATATCTAAAAAAATTATAAAGTCATTAAAGAAAATGAGGAAATAAACTCTAATTCTACTATTTAAATTTAATTAATAATATTAAATATTTTATACAATATATTTATTTTTATATTATAATTAATTTTTATATATTCATCCTCTTATATAAAAATTATCATATTTATGATTGGGCCTCCAAGACTATATAAAATTTATCATATTTATGCTAAGCCGTTGACTCATGACTATAGTTTTTTTGAGGCACTCTTTTGCACGCAAATCAACGTTGATGGGGGAAGAAAGTGTGACAGTGGAACTAGCTAACTGAGAATTCTGTTATGTAAAGACAATTTGAACCAGAAAACCATGCATAATGCCAATTGCCATGGAGATAAGAAAAAAAAATGAAATAAATATAAACATAGCATAGGTGAGACTAATGATCCTCAGCTGCAATAAAATTAATGAATGTTTGCCCCACATCCAACCATCCAAGTCCAGTACACATAGTTTAAAAACAAGTATCAAATTTACAAAGACTAACAGAATTTCAAATAAATTTTTAAAACTGTAAATTTTGAATGATTTATTGAAATTTCGTTTTTTTTCTTCTTCTAAATTTAATCTGTTAACACATTAATATTATTAATTAAGAAACTAATGATAAGTTTGTAAAAAAGAAAGAAAGACAATGGCAATTTAGTATTTTTTTTTATTAAACTTTGTAATATCTTGAAAAAAAAATTGTAAAAGTGCCCGTGAAGTAGAAAGAAAAAGGGCACGAACAGTTCAACGTTAAACTTTGTGAGAAAGATTGCAAACCATTTTTTCAATTGGAATTTTATTTCATTTGCAAACTTCCCGGTGGTCAGAGTCAGGTTTTTTCCATTCTTCCCTCCCTCTGTCTTACGCATAATGGGGAAAAAACCGTTGTTCTGCTTGTTCCTCCTTCTCGCAGTTCTCGCTGGAGCCGGAGCTACCTCATCGTCTACCGCGGAACTCGACTACTCCAAGCTCTCTGGCATTATAATTCCCGGCTTCGCCTCCACCCAGCTCCGAGCATGGTCCATTCTCGACTGTCCCTACTCTCCTCTAGATTTCAACCCTCTCGATTTGGTGTGGCTCGACACAACCAAAGTACGTTGCCATTCTCTCATTCTTGCTTCGTTTTTTACGTGCTTTTGCATTCCGCTGCATGATGATCGAGTCCTGTAGTTTATTGCTCCCGGCGAAAAATAGGATAGAATTTGCATTTTCTGTGATTAATATTTTTTACTTTTAATTAATTGTGACTGTTGTATCAATTTTTATAAAATCTACACGCTTGTTTACGCTGACGAAGACGCAGATTCTTGAAGAATGCGTCTGAAAGAAAAGCGAGAGTGAGTTTGAGTTTGTGTTTTTGGTTGGTTTGGTTAGAACGTATCATTCAAATGCTACAGTGGACCTAAAAATAGTAAAATATAAAGTGAGAGGTATAGGTACTAGTATGAATGCATGTATAAGTAACCTGATTGTTACAAAAAGAGAGAGAAAAGGGCGTCAATAAGGTGTTTGCACAATTGAAATGTTCATATATAACTATTGCTTAGTACAATTGTCTCGTGTTTGTTTTACCGAATATAAAATTAGCAATAAGTGCTGATTAAAATATGTGATGATTAATTTGTTTTGCAGCTTCTTTCTGCTGTCAATTGCTGGCTTAAGTGCATGGTGCTGGATCCGTTCAACCAGACTGACCATCCGGAGTGCAAATCCCGACCGGATAGTGGTCTTTCTGGTATTACAGAACTTGATCCAGGTTATATAACAGGCGAGTTTTGTGTGTGTCTCTCTCTATATGGTGTCAATTTGTCAAATGTGATTTTGTCTTCTATTATTGTAGGTCACGGTTTAGTGATGAATAATATACCTGTTTAATGTCAGGACCACTTTCATCGGTTTGGAAAGAATGGATTAAGTGGTGTATTGAATTTGGCATAGAAGCTAATGCAATAATTGCTGTTCCGTATGATTGGAGATTGTCGCCCTCCATGCTTGAAGAGCGGGACCTTTACTTTCATAAGTTAAAGTATATCTAAATCTTTGCATCTAGCTTGCTGTTATCCAGGCAGTTTTTCTGTACAATGATTTGGATAAAATGCTTTATAGATACAACTATGTTTTTCTTTTAGCCGATTTGTTTCTGCTAACCAATTAATTTTTTAGTGATTAGAACTTTTCTTAAGTGTGTACATGATATTCATAATCTCACTGCATTGTTTGTTAAATTATATATTTGCATCTATACAAACCTCATTAGCAAATGGTATGTCCATTCTTCCTGCAGTCCAATTGGAAGTTTAGAAAGAATGGATGAAATAGAAGGGGAAGGGATGAAATTGAAAATAGTTACCCTTTCCCATGTTCATGGATGACTACTGAGAGAAGAAAGGAACAGGTAAAAAGGTTGTAGGTGCAAAATTTTAATATAATCAAATCTACTGGATAAAAATACTAATAACTGATAGGGACTATTATGGAGTGCGTTGAGTTCTTGTAGCTACCATAGGATAAATATTTTGAGGATGAGTTCATCAACTGATTAGGTGTTTATCAATTGGTATTAGAGTTAGTTGTGGATCCATTGCCTGTAGGAACTGGATCCGATGAATCTCCTTGCCATCCTGTCAGTCTTAAGGATTCGGACTATAAAGCCACACTCATCTCTTGAAAAGGATCCCCTCGAAAAACTTGCCTGACGGTGTTCAACTTGGGCTTGAAAAGCACTTGCTGTCCCGTTGGTTACCTGGAATATGGACTCAAACGACTACTTATGGACGGTTTTGATCAACTAGAAAATTGAGTAACATGTTATCAAATAAAGTGTTGTATAGTGAAAAATGCTCAGACATTGACTCTTAAGAGTAGTGCTTTCTAAGTCTCACATTAAAACAGTATGAAGTGCTTGGTGGATTATTTAAGTGTTTGGTTTTTTACCTTAGTAACTCGTTTTTTAGGGTGAGTTCCTCAATCGTTGGGTGTTTTTCTTCATTAAAGGGAGTTGTTAGTATTCCATCCTCATCATTACTCCTCCTCTAAACAAATTCATAGATTTAAGTTCCTAAAAAAAAAAAAAATTGCAAGACTGATATGATGAATTGGCCACACAGGCAGATTGAAACTTACAGCATATCATTCAAGGTTAAGAGTATTCTAATGCTGTGAACAACTTTAGTCTCTTCTTCCTGTATGTTTGTCAAACCTTGACGTGTGGTCACACTAATAATTTATATATATGTTGAAATTGACAAATCTACATTTACAAAATTCAAATGCTCTAGTAAGATATTTTGAATCCCATTAAAAAGATTTTGATATAACTTTTCATATTTTTCATCATACATAGTAAGTTCCACCATAAATATTGTTAAATAAAAAAGGATTTTTCTTATAGCATTTGTACGCAGTACACTTGATTGCGAATTCACCTTTTAAAAACTGTGGGTTATTTATTTATATATTAAAAAAATCAGGGATTAGATAAAATTGGTTTGTTAGTTACGGTAATGATATTTATAATTGTATTTCTCTCTGCAGACTAACATTTGAAACTGCTTACAAACTTCGTGGTGGCCCCTCTTTAGTTTTTGCCCATTCATTGGGTAATCATGTATTCCGTTATTTCTTAGAGTGGTTGAAGCTAGAGATTGCACCAAAACATTATAACCAGTGGCTGGATCAACATATTCATGCCTATTTTGCTGTTGGTATGATTGACTTATCTACATTTATTACCCCTTTAAGGGTATTACTGATATGAATGAATTGATATTCTGATTTTCCTTCTTTAATTGGTTATTTCAGGAGCCCCCCTTCTTGGTGCAATTGAAACCATTGAAGCAACACTCTCTGGGTTCACCTTTGGTCTTCCCATATCTGAGGTTACCTTTTAATTTTTGCAACTACTGTTTTCTTTTGCAAAGGCGACCTGATCAATTGTGATAAGGCATCTGTTGTTGTCTTTTTAGCTTTGAAATTATATAGGTTTATGCTTGTCCAATGTTATATTTATTGGTGTAAGCTTGCTTGGGAATTGTCTGCGTTGACTGATGTATATTTAATACTTTTCCTACTTTCCCTTTTATGTTAGTTTACCTCTTTCTTTTATTATGATTAGCCATTGAGCCTGTAAAAGAGGAATAGTATTTGTGCTACAAACACATGGTAATATATTCTCCCAAAGAAATTATGTACTCGATCTTCTAAAAAAATTAGGAAATTGTGTCTAGAACATTTGGACTTCCCTTTAAACAAAACCACAAGATTGGAATTGAGGAGGGAGGCCCAACAATAGAGAAGTCTTAGTAGTAGTTATTGCTTGAAAAACTCATCTATTTATCTACACTAGACTAGACATTGCTTGTGCAATGCGTGTGGTAAGTCAATTCATCCCTGATCTTTGAGAGGGACACTTGCATGCAATAGATAGAATTCTTCAGCATTTGAAGACATGCCTAGGAAGAGTACTTTTATTTAGAAGAAGGTTCACTATCCATAGAAATGTAACGACCTCACTTGTCATTATTAAAGGGATTAACACAAAACCTGGACATATAATATTACTAATCTCTATTACAAAATCAAGCCCTTTAATTTCAAAATATATAATATTCCCTCCTCACAGGGATTTGATATATACAATATGTATATATATATATATATATATATATATATACACACACACACAAGAATAAAATTAATATTAACTCAAGTATCATCTCCGGCCACATAGGTTCCACATAACTACATCAAACACATGACACTTGACGACTTTCAGTTGTCCAATATTAAATTTTAGATTCAAAGACTAACACTTGTCATACTTAATAGTAGGCATTCAACTCCCAGTACCAACTAGTAACCACAATATGATTGGGTGATTCCATTATGGTACATATATCAAGTAACTGATGACTCATGTATTCCTGACTAGATGAGTGAAACTTTCATTAGCTCTTCATCACCTGATACTTTAATCTATATGATTTTAGTCTATTAGTAGAATCTAAATATCTCATATGGAGCTCCTCAACTTAATACATACACTAGACATCACGCAATAAAACCTCCTTGATAACTAGTTTCCTACATCATATTACAATTCACATAAAACTGTTATTGATTAATAGATGGATTGATTTGGACATATTCTTATTTTTACTTTGTCATATGCAGTTTTATTCTTAATGCATGCTTATCATAATATTTTTAAGGTATCAGGGAACAGCTCGGTTGATGTTCAACTCCTTTGGTTCAGCATTATGGATGATGCCTTTTTCCAAGTACTGCAGAACAGATAATAAATATTGGAAGCATCTTTCTGGGGGAATGCATGCTGGTAAACCAACATATAAATGTGATGAGCAGGAGTTTCAGTCAAACACTTCTGGATGGCCAACAAAACTAATTAACATTGAAATTCCCTCTAATCGTGGTAAGATTGATGATGCTTTTACTTTTGCTAGTGGGAAATCTTGCTGTTGTGCTTTTGGTTCCCGACTGCATAATTTTAACATCTGCTTGCAGAATTTGATGCATATCCTTCATTCTCAGAAATACCGGATTCTAACTTGTCCAGCATGGAGTGTGGTCTACCTACTCAATTATCATTCTCAGCTCGTGAAATATCAGATGGGACCTTTTTCAAGGCAATTGAAGATTATGACCCAGATAGCAAGAGGCTCTTACACCTTTTAGAGAAGTTAGTGTTATCTTGATAGTCATTAAAATATATTTTGCTAGAATATTTTTATCATTCTATATGGAAAGTCACTAATTGATCTTTAAAATAGTTTTTATTTCGGGTGCTGCACAGAAAGGCCATCTAATTGCAATGCCAAAAGGATTACAATTATGTTCTTACTGCAATATTTTTTTTAATATGAAACTAAATCCCTCCTTCCGCAAAGAAAAAATTAAACCTATCAATTTTTAAATGTGGTTACAACAGTGAGCTTTAAGAAGGATTCATAAATAGGGTGCCTTTATTTCCTAGGAATTTATGGCTATAAATAGAAAAAACATATGCTTCTCTTATATCTATTGCACAACTGTCTATTTTATGCAATTTTTAGGAGATTCATTTGCTTATTACTAAGCATGTTTAAATTGTTATTTGTAGTTCTATTATTGAACAGACATGTTTGAATGCTTTAATGTCTCAGTTCATATCTTGGTGATCCTGTTCTTAATCCCCTTACACCTTGGGACCGGCCACCAATTAAAAATGTCTTCTGCATTTATGGGTCTGATTCAAAGACAAAGGTATAATGTCCCTCTACAAATGAACATGCTTTTATTTCTAATGTCTAGCTTAACTGCAAATATAAAAGAATTTCATTTAAATGAAGGTTGGGTTAAGGGTAAAGGGTTTTTACAGATTGGTAAGGGTTCATTCAAATAATTTCATTTGTATGACCTTAATTTAAATGTATTGACAGTATACTAGGTTTTTACATTATCAGTCAGTTACAAATTTCTATGTATGATAAGTTTGTTGACTTTGTAATAATTACCTTAAAAGTTACTTCTAACATATTTCTGTTTGGTTGTTCGTGTACAAATCTTTCCATTGACTGTACATGAAAATTAAACTCTACATATAGTTGTACTTTTTGTTTGAGTTATGAACTCTATCACGTGTTTTGATTTACCATATTTGATTGCTATTTTATTTTATTTTAGAAAAAAAGTGACAAATATTGGGGCCATGTGTTATGGACCTGCGTATGAACACAGTGAGCTTTTTTGGTTCTGAGTATAGTTTTCCAATCTTAGTTTTATGAAATATCTATATTTGTTCATGTCACGTCACAATTACCTGTATATTTCTTGATTCGATCATCTTATACTCCTCACCATCTTTGTTTTCTACCCTTTACACTATTTCTTTCCCTCGTTATGGTTACTTGTGTTCAGTAGAGGTCACATGTAGTAGTATCATAGAACGAGGAAGCATTTCATATTAAGTGCGAAGATATTAATTAAACGGACTATTTTGGTCTCTCCAATATAGTCCGAAACATTCAATATTTTGAACTCTGAATTCTGGTCTTTCACATTCTGGACAGACTTTTTATCTGTGACATATTCTTTCTGGTTTTATTTTTTGTGCTTATTCTTTGAATACAGAATACTTTCTAGTGGTACAGGGGATAACCCTGGTATATTGACACCTTAGTATCTTGCAGTTCTCACAGTTAAAGTATGATTTAGTAAACTTCATAAATCATGTCAATTGTCAAAATCTTTGTATTTAATATTTTTTCCGTGATTGTCAACATTTATTAAATCTCCTGGTCCCTTTATCAAAAATAGTGTTATTGTGAATGATAATTCTGGCATCATGACTTTAAAAATAGGTCGGATACTACTTTGCTCCTAGTGGCAAGCCTTACCCTGATAACTGGATCATTACGGATATCATGTATGAGTTTGAAGGATCTCTAATGTCAAGGTAACTGTCTGTTTTGCAGATGTTGGTTTTGTAGTTGTAAATGGAATGAATTGGGGAGTGGGTGGTTTGTCGGTTAAAATTTTTGGCTTTAATTTTGCAAACTAATATCATCTTTTAATAAGCAATGTGTATAATTGGGAAATAGTTAATGTTGAAGTGTTTTAGTCTCAATTGTCAGGTCAGGGAATCTGGTTGAAGGGAAAACTGGACCTATAAGTGGCGATGAGACGGTAAACACAAATCATATTTCCATTACTGTGGTTTTGATTAAATATGACTGCATTATGTATTAATTGGCCCTTTGTCCCACGTCTGTACATCCACTGTTTTTTGAAGTTTTGGATCTCTGAATTGCATCTACATTCAACTATTGGGTTGCAATAACACCAACTCTTTACAGGTGCCATATCTCTCCCTTTCCTTGTGCAAGAATTGGCTTGGACCGAAAGTGAACATAACAAGAGCTCCTCAGGTATTGCAGAATAAAGATGGTGTTTTGGAAGTGTTCAAGTGTGATTATGTTTTCATGTTTTCAAGTTATGTTCTTGGGATTAAGTTAAATAGACTTTCGAATGTGTGCTATTAAATTGTTAGTTTACTGGTATTTATCATATTAAATTATTGCTGCATGTCTTTATTTAGACAGACAAGTGTGTGACCATGAGTTCTAAGCCAATAACAACATAAGAAGTCCTCAACTCTGATATCTCTCGTTGCGTCTGTATCCTTTTCTTATCTTCAGTTAACTTTATTTGCATGGATACTGCTATTTGTATCGCAATCCTTATATTTATCTTTGTTCTGACTTTTCAGTCAGAGCATGATGGTTCAGATGTACAGATTAAATTGAATGTGGAACATCACCATGAAGAAGATATTGTTCCAAAGATGACAAGATTGCCAAGGGTGAAGTACATAACATATTATGAAGATTCTGCAAGTCTTCCTGGAAAGAGGACAGCAATCTGGGAGCTTGATAAAGGTGCATGGCTTGTCCTTGGAGTTGTCATGGACTAATTGATGCTTTTATTTATAATTAAAATAATCACAATTAGATTACGAATTTTTCATGCCCACTTGGGCTTTGTTGATTCGGTGTACATAAGTATCTTGTCAGCTGTCTGACTGGATTTAGAGTTTAGATATAGATGCTCACAAAATTTTCAAACACTTCAAAAAGTCATTCACTAAGCAAAATATTAGGGTTTCAAGGAATGAAATAAAATATTGGGCTTGGGAAAATTTTTGGTTAAATGTTATTTATTAACCCAAGAAAAGGCTATTTTCCTCCATGTGCTTGTGGAATTATTATTAGTGTCACGATAAACGATAAGGAAAACCCTTAATTTAATCGTGTTACCTCATCAGTCCTTCAAAAATTTAGTCATCAAATTCTCAGAAATTTAAGTTGTCACCATATTAGTTCTTTAAACAGTTTGTCTTGCCACCAAATTTGTTTTCCAAAGATCTAAATTATCACTATATTGGTTCTCTATAAAGGATTAAAGTGGTGAAAAAGTTTACGTTGGTGGCAAAGTGATGATAATGGGGGACTACATCTAGCGATATATTGGTCATTTATGGAGGACTAGATTGATGATAAAAATAATCTTTGAGGAACTAATGTGATGATAAAAAGATCTGAAGGATTAGTTTGGTGGCAAAAGTTTCCGAGGAATAAAGTGGTGGCTGAAAGAATCCTTAGGCCACTAATTTTTGAACCCTGAAGTGTTAACCCATACTTTGTTTTATTGATTGATTAGTGATTACTACTTTCATAGATGAACAAGAATTCTGATCTCAATATCTTTAAGGTTCTAAGTTTTGAAATAAAATAATGACTACAAAAATACATACAAGCAAACTGACACAGTATTACTGTAGCAAATCACAGGAACATAGTTAGATCACCAGTGCTAATGAGGGAATTATGGCTTGAGATGTGGCATGATATCCATCCTGATGCAAAATTAGAGTTTGTAACGAAAGGTATTTTGGACTATATTTATTAACATTTTTGAATCGTTCAGCTGAGAATCTCCAATTAGTTTGATTTTGTTCTGTTACAGCTAAGCGGGGCCCTTTAAGAGATGAGGACTGTTATTGGGATTATGGGAAAGCTCGTTGTGCATGGTCTGAGTACTGTGAATATAGGTTGTTTTCTTTGTCCTATATTTAAGGTTTGATTTATTTTTTGGAAATCTCAGCGCGCATTTCCAATTGAGAGAGAATTAACCAAATTAAGTAATGATATATTCCGTACCAGACCTAGGGTGGTTAAGTTAGCTGAATTACAGAATTAATCATAAAAAACAAGTTTTGTTAAGTTTTCTTAATTGGAGATTTGTATAACAAAACTTTCTAACTTTTAACTCTCTTATATTTGTTTATTTTTTTAATTCTTTTAACATGTCAGGTGTATCATAATACAGGTATGTTTTTGGTGATGTTCACTTGGGGCAAAGTTGTAGGTTGAGATATACTACTGCTGAAGTATTGTCACATTATTTGTAAATAAGAAGGTACCTTGTACAATGTTCGTTATAGTTCTGTTTTATTTGCCTTGAACGTCTCCTGTAATGATTTACATTGCCTTGAACCTTGAGAATAAATTTGTTATATTTTTCTTAATTGTTGTCGGTCTAGATTTTCAGAGTCCTTACCTCAAACCTCCAATTACTCCTTCAGTCTTTTACTATCGTTTTCCCTTTCAAATACTTGTTATTGTCAGTGATTGGCGCATTAAATGCCTTGACGTGCACAAATGCATATTTGCTTCTCCGATGGATTTTTTACACTTTGAAATATTTTTGAAGAAATTATCTATCAAATATTTTTGCTAAATTCTGAAGCTGGTAGATTTTTACTCAAGTTGAACTAAATTTACACAATCAGCTGAAATTGTTAAATTTAATTGATCAGAAACTCAAGATCTAAGACAGAGAACACATAACCACATGGTAGAAGACAAAAACATAATATAAACTTATATACTCGTTCATGAATAGAGGATATTATCATGTGTTCTCTAAAACGAAGATTACATAACTGTATAGTGAATAAAAGATATTCTGATTCTTAACTGTATACATAGACTAATGGTACCTTTTTCATCTTTGTTTTTACTGATATTTCAAACTTTCAGTTTTTTACACCCCAGGTGCTGATACATTCTAGCAGTTTTTATGTACTGGATGAGACGCTTGACATTAACATCTTTCCTCACTAACGTAATCATGAATTTTTGGCTATTGTCTTTCGTTATATACTCGAGGGATATCCAGAATTATTGTTTAATTATCTTTATTTAAATTAGTTATTTGAAAGTTTTTATTATTTTTCAGTTTTTTTAAATATTATTTAAAGTAAGAGAAAAATATATTAGATTATTATTTTTATTTAAAAAGTTAAAATTGAGATATTTTTAATATATGTGTTGTTTTTTTGTCATATGTTAGTATATAAATAAAATACTATTGAAATTCCTCCTAATAGTTTATCTATCAAAAATATATTTTTTAAAATAAAAAATTCAACAAATCGGTATGTAAAGTTTTATAAGAACGTAATGCTATTTAAAGCGATTAAATTTATGAGAAATTGTGAAAGTATATTATTTCTTCTTGAAAGCTTCATCTAAATTAAATTAAACTTTAGAAAAAAAAAAGAAAGAAAGAAAAAGTTAAATCATATTTATTTATTGTGGTTTTTGAAATAATGAAATAAAATCGATGTTTACTGTATCATAATTGGTGAAAGTGTCCTCTGAAGCAATTAAGAATTGTATAGACAACAAATTCAATCAAAATAATTATACCTGTATTTTTTTATCCATATAATTATTTTGTTTGTATTTATTACTTTTATCTTTTTAGGTCTGAAGGTACCTTCACCAATATAATATGATAAAACACATAATATAGCAAAACACCTTTGGATGTCGTTTGACAAATGATAAAGAAGGTGAAATACCTTCCTTTGTCTAAGATTACTTTCACAGCTCGATGTTGTACGAACTTTTTTACCGGAAGGGAATGTTTTTATAATGTTTTGATAAGCTAGTTTGGAGTAGGATTTTTTTTCCTTTTTTGTTTTTTGTGTTGAATAACTGTTTCTTCAATTTAATTCTTGTTTACCCAATTGATTTTTGGATAAGAAAAAATTGGAATATTCACCTAATTGATAATTATTTTATTAATATAATAATAATTGTTATATTATTAAAAGCTGGATATATATTTCAATATATCATTCTCACCTGGTTGCATCATATATCAAAGGTAGAAATGGGTTAAATTAGTGTTTGCACAGTGCGAGTTTAACATATTTCTCAAATTTTAAATTTCATCTTGACCCATTTACCAATTACAATTATTATTCGTAATATTTTATATGAGTTTTTATAATACTGGTTTTTAAATTGAAATTAAAATTTCATTGTGATGATTTATATACACATTCTAATTTGATGCATGTTAATAAAGATCTGTTTTAATTTAGAAGTATATAAACTACCAAGTTACATTTTAATAAATAAACTATAAAACTACCTCCAATTTGATTAATGAATCTAAATTATTGTAATACCTTTAAGACTTTTAGACATGTTATAGAAATTAAAATATCCAAATAAGTTAATAAAAAATTAATACCATTAAATCCTTCAACTTACAAAGCATACAGCATAATATCTTTCCTTCTCAAAATATATACTCCAGTATTTTCTCCATTTTTATTAAATGGTGTCCTTTTCTTTTTAAACACTTAGACTTTGCTTGATGATGACCCACGTTCAACTTACCCTACTCTGTCCAGATTTAAATGCTATTCTAAGTGCTCGATGGCCTAAACATTTAAAAAAATTGAGATATTTCTATTAATATTTGAAATTCTTATAGTTTTCTTTGCTAGATTTTATATTTAAATTTAAATTTAAAAATATTTGTTTATATTTAATATAAAATCATATTTTTATATTTTTATTTTTTTATTTTTTTTACATAATTTTTAATTTATTATATTAATTAATTTATTACATTATTCTCTTCCTTTTATTTCTTATTTTTTCACATTTTTTATCTCTCTAATTAATTTTTTTAATCAATTTGATAAACATAAAATTATTTTTTCTTATTTTTTATTTTTTTTCTAAATATTTTACGTAAATATTAATAATAACTAATATTATTTTATTTATAATTTATTTTTATTAAGTTTTATTATGCCATCTTTTTTTATCTTATTATTTCTATTTATCATATATCAAATTTTATCTTAATAACATAGTTATATTTTAAAAGATAAAAAAATTGATAATTTAAATTTTTATTACTTTAAACTAATTAAATAAAAATTAAAAAAATATATAATCAAATATTTGAATATAATATTATAATCATAATAATGTTATAAATATTTAAATATTTTAATACAATATAATAATAATAATAATAATATTATTATTATTATTATGATTATAAATATTCTATATTTATATAAAGAAAAAATAATTAAATAATTTTTATATACATATTTTAATATAAATATACAAATTAAAATATATATTTAATTAATAATAATTATAAATTATAAAATTATAAATATTTATTTATATATAAAAAATACATTAAAATAATAAACTTAATTTATTATAAATATAATTACTTTTTAAAAAATAATGTACTTCGATCATAAGACGGAAAAACCTGAGTCACACTAGAAGGGAGACTTAATTTCTAATTTAATAAAAAATAGGAGACGATTAAGAAAATTGAGGGCGGATGAGATAGAGAGGCAAAGCCATGCAAATACTTTACTCATTTGTGAACTATTGAGGCGTGCAAGTCATTCATGCTAATAGTTGATTACAAGCAAATGAGAGTAGCTCATTCCACAAACTATTCCAGAGAAGCTGAGGATTGCTTTTGTTTATTTCGTGGAGTGGGATTTGGAAATGTAAATTGTGAAATTATATTCATGAATAGAAAAATGATTGGGACTGTGGTAAAATATCTGTTTATATTCAATAATTTATGAAATTATTAATAGTTTCCAATCAATGTTTCTAACCCTCTAAAATTCATCCTCACTTCAAAAGAGTACATGCCAAATGTTCAGTATATTCATTTTCCAGTTCTTAAAATAAGCCATCACAATCTCATAACATAGTCCATTTCCTTTGTGTATTAGGAAACAAATACAAAGCTGTAACATCGATGACACATGTTCAGATATAAAATTAAGGATTTTAAGAGAATACATGGTATAAAAACAGTGTCAGAAAAACCGGACTAGCTGCTCTTTTTTATCTCGAATAAATATTTGAGTTCCATGTGACACCTTCTATCATCATCTTCAAACTGTAAGACAGCAACCAAACAGGAACAAGTTTATCAATCTTATATGGATCAAATGTACAAATTATATGGAATAAACCTCTCAATATTATTTTCAATAACTTCACTAATGGAAGCTCTCCACATTTTCAAACATTTTGGATTTAGACTCTGTAATAACCTATATAAGATTGAAATATAGAGTATCTGTGATGACATCACAACAATAGTTAAAATGCCAGAGTTGAATCCCAGTTAAAAAAAATGGATCATAATTTGCAAAAGTTATGACAATGTTAAGAAGTTTCAGATCATAGATCTTTGAATAAAACTTAATTATTGCAGTTATCCAACAAAACTGCGAGTAAGCATACATACATTGCCTTCCAGATAGAAAATCCACTTTGAATAAATTAAGAAAAACCAACACATATATTAAACTTATAAGCAAAATATCAAGTTGGAAAATGTAATTTTACCTTGAGTTTGGCTGAGTAAACACCCCTTGCAAGTGCACCAGAGGGAGTGGTGTCCTCCTTCAAGGCATATACGTATGGTTCCCTTTGAGGAGCAAAAGTACCCAACATTCCTTTGCTCTGATCAACTGAAAAACCCCAGGATAAAATCAAATTATCAACACTACAAACGACATCATTACCATTTGACCAACTTCCAAGAATATATGCCAATAAATAAATACAGTAATTCAACTTAATTGTCATCTGCAATTATGCTATAAGTTATATGCTGAATGTATCATACACACCACATAAAAATTCTTATTCTAGGAAACAAGGTGTTATTTGACAACTAATAAGCATTTTGAGACATTCTTTTCTAGGATTAACCTTGTGTTTTTAATATAATGTTCTGTACTGCTAAAACTAAATTCAAATTCATCTCCTAAAAGGGAGGAAGCCATTTACTATCCTGCAGGCCAGATTCCCTTTGTCCTCCATTATGGAATTACTAAAGAATAAAATTAAAATTGTGTATTTGTGATGCATGTGTTGGAGTGTTTGTGTCCATGTCGAAGTTGGTGCTTCAGTGGGACTTGCATCCTAGTGTGCTGCTTATTTTGGACATTAGTGGTGCTGGAGTGTTGGTGACCATGCTGTAGTTTGTGGTTCAATCGACAAAACACAATGCCACAAGACATTTTATCTAGAAGTTGGGACATTATTCGATTAAGGTTCTAGACTTAAAATACTCAGGAGCTTGTTCTCCAGGTTTAAACTGAGTCATAGAACAAAGTATTTATGGTTTTCAACCTTTGGTTTTTCAAAAGTCAATATCACAAAGTTACATATTCCAGATTATCTAGCAACAGAAACAGCGAAAAGTGCTGATAGTGTACCTTGAAGCCCTCCTTTCCACACAGTATTGGAGTATGTCAAGCCAGACACAATGTTGTGCAGAACACTAAATTTTAGCTTAAGCTGATAGCGAGACCCCTCTCGGAGAGTGAATAGAGTACAACCATTCCGATTATGGTCCACAGGTAAAGGAGTAACAAGTTCACCAAAATCCTCAGAGAGAATTCCTATGGAGTGGAATTTCACTTCAGGGTCCAATTGACCTGTAAAAGGAAAGAGCTTGAATAGAAGCAAACAAAAAAGGTTCTAAGAAGCATAAACAAGGATAATAAACAAAACTCAAACAAACCATCTAAATCACTTTCCAAGCAACCCAACAGCTTCTCCTTCCACCTCCTTAGGCTTTCGTCCTCCTATACAAAACAATTATGCCCAAAATAAAAAAAATTACCAGTACAAATAACTATTTTTTGTTACATAAGTAGAAATCTTTTTAAATTAGCCTATGAATATACCTTTGGATATATATGCAGGCATTTGTTAAACAGATAAAATGCAATACACTGAACAATTTAGCCACTCACTGTTTCCTGAAAAGGATACATCTCAAAAGCTTATTATATGAACGTTCACGGGTACTCAAAACCAGTTGAACAATTTTGTACACAGTTTGCAAAGTATTTCACCATTTTCTTTTGTTAGGGCATTCCCTTTTAAATACTTTAACCACTGAAAATTTAACTTCACAAGGGAGGTTTCTTAACAAAACCCATGACACTAAAACCCCATTTAAAACCCAGAAAAAATTAATCTTCCTACTACCCCACAAATCACAACATCAAAGACATTAGGGGGAAAATACGTAATAAACAAAAGGGGGTGAAGGTTATAAAAACCTTGTCCCGTTCGATCTGTTCCTTGAGAGAAACAAGCGGCCCAGGAACAAAGGAGCCATTTTTACTATCTTCAAGGCCTCCATCTTCCTCCTCGTCTGCTTCTTCCTCCTCTACCCTACCATCATTCAAAGCATTACTTACTTTCTCAGTCATTTCTTGTTTGGTTCCATCAGAAGGCCCTGCTTCTTCCTGTGCTCTCTTCCCATTCACACTCTCCATCTCTCTCTCCAATCAGGGGATGTGAAGCTCTTAAGCTGCTCTTGTGTTATGTTATCAGTTAGCCTCTGGTATAATGGAAAGGGTGTATGAAACGAAAGAAAAGCAAATAAATGGGAAGCTTTTGATTGGTTTTATTTAGGGGAAAGGTGAGGAAAATAGAGGAGACAGAGTTGTATGAAGACCTGAAATAACAGTTTTGCCCTCTTTAAATCCTACGTCCACGACACAAGTGACTTTTGTTGAAAACAGTTGCTATTTTTTTTTTCTCTAAGCAGAGCTGCTTCATAGTGTTCCTTTAACTTGCACCCACCCAAAACAGTTAACTGGTGGGAACATGATTCAACAAAAAAAAATTCAAATGGGTAAAAATAAAAACTCACCCATATTATAAAAGAAAAGTAATTTTTTAATTCATTAAATATTTTTTTTTCTTTGAAACCAATCTTATACAATTTTGCATCCTACATTTTTATTTTTATTTTATTTTACTTCAATCAAAAACTTTTTTTTTTACCTTTTTAAATTTCAGTTCCCTTAATTTCTTCCTTATAACTAAGCTAAAGTCTTTATGTAGAATTTTGGCAGTATGTTCTCAAAGAGATTGATGGAGACGTTACAAAGGGAAAAAAGAAAAGGAAAATGGAAGTAGCAGTAATACATTCACACTGTTCTGTTCTGTGTTTCTGAGTTCGAAGGGGTTGTCTGACAGAACAATTTAGGGTGCATCTGTCTGTTTGAGTTTGAGCATTTTCAAACACATGTCCCCACTATGTCGGCTTCTCCTCTCCAAGCATGCATCCTTTCCTTTACATTTTGAATGCTCCAATTTTTTACACTTATAGCCACAAACCGCGTTATATATGTTTGTATTCTCTTGTAAGATTATTTTTAGTAGTTTTGAGTTGTTATGTTATATTATTAAATCAAATTAAAAGGACCTTTTTATAATTTATTTTAAATATTTAATTAAAACTATATTTCTTGAATATAATAAATCAAATACTTAATTTAATTTAAAATAAAGGAAACATAAAAATATACAATTTACTGAAGAAAATTCTTATGAATAAAATTGAGGATGATAATTTTTGTTTCTATATTGTTATTTTAATTTGTATTTGTCTCTCTTCCCTTGTCTTTTTGTTATATTATATATATATATATATATATATATATATATATATATATATATATATATATATATATATATATATATATATATATATATATATATACATAAAATGTTGTTAAAAAGTTACTTGCCAGTTGGGAAAAGAATTACACTTACGCAATTTGGGCCGTCCCACAACTTTTTAGTTTTCAATTCTTGAAAGCCAGTGACATACTTTTTATTGTGACCTCGTTTTAATTAAACAAAATTTCGTTGAATCTGGTAAACGACAGTATATTCAATATAGATATGCTGTTGGATGAACAAATGTATAAGAAAGTCGAGAGTCTAATCGACAGTATTACATCCTTGCGTTAAATGTTGTTCATGATAATGTTAGTTTCATTTATAGTAATTTCGTTTACAAACACTTTTTAAAAAATAAAATAAACTTTTTATTAGACATAAGTTAAAAATCAAAATTTCAGAAACCAATATGAAGGAATTTCAGTAAAACAATTTATAAAAAAATTATCCAAACAAAGAAGATGCTGAAGCTTGTGCAACAACTAAAATAGGAAGGAAAAAAGCAGCAGCTGAGAAGGAAGAAAAGTAAACGAAATCATAGCATGCTTTTCTTATTAACCTTTATACCTTCGTCAGGAACACATACATAGAAATTATACATGAACAAAGAGTGTCGTTAACACTCTTCTTTACACATTCTTCTCTTGGTTAAAATTTATGCGGATCCTACAAATTTGTGAACAAGACCCGCGCCAAATAGAAAACCAGACTCATCCTCACTTTTACCTGATATTAAATAAGAGATAGTGTCACAGTGTCAGAGGGAATGTTGGGACATGAATATATGAAAAGCGTGAGATAGAATAACAAAAGCGTGAGTCATCTGAAAGGTTCAACTGGAGCCGATTCTTCAAGAAAGTTGGCTGTCTCAAAACATTCTGCAGCTTCTAGCACTGTACCCTCGTCCTTGTGAAAAATCCCAAGATTATACCATGCAGAAGCATTATATCTGTCATGCCGTACTGCATCCATCAGAAAGCTTCTGATAGCAGGATTTGATCGATTACTGCACCGTCTAAGAACCACCGCAGTAGAGATCAAGCTAGGGACATGTCCGGGATCAATATTCAAAGCATCACGAAAAGCTTTTGAAGCCTCTTTGTGAAGGCCCTTCGCTTCGTGCATAGTACCTGAGAAATCCAACAAAACCCATTATATCCATTAACATCACTTAACCATTACCAATTCAACCAGCATAGCTACATGTTTTTCTTGTTTAAAGCAACTCTGAACATGTGTATTTTAAAGACTACTATGAGCAAATCCTCTACAACTTTTACTTAGATATTAATATGTTTTAGTTGTTAAATAGGCATAGGTTAGTTAATAATCATAATAATGAAAATTTTGAGTGTCATCGTTTATAGGCTTTGCTAGACACGGAATCTCTGTGATCTCTTGGCACCTCACTGCTTATGAGTTATTGTACAGCGAGCTATAGACAATATCTGCCAGTTATTTCCAAGTGCTATTTAGAACTCAGACAATATCCATTTATGTCCTTTCCAGATTCATAAAACTCAAAGATAAACCAACCATATTAATTACCTAGTGCATGACATCTAGAAGCAGAGTATAGTTTGATGGCCTTAGATTTCGAAAGACACACCTCTGCATCATGCCACCGCGACAGACTAATGTACACAAAAGCAAGATCATGCCATATTTCTATTTCCATGTTCCTAGCATGATCTATGTAGTCCTGTTATAAAAATCATGAGAAAAAAGGGTAAGCAAACTGGCAATTTTTTAACTCTGTATAATAAATTAAACAGCATTACAACCAACAAACCTTATACAGCATCTTCCTTGAACCAAACGTCTTTCTCTGAACTAGGAGAATAGCAAGAAGCTGAGTATATGTGTCAATGGCACTCTTCAACTGGCCCTGCGCAATTTTTATTTTAGCTTTCGTTCGCAGTAACTCTCCTTGATCCCATATTCCTGTCTGATTCAAAGCCTCGTTGAGAATAGATTCGGCATCCAAAAACTGCTTTTTAGCAGATAATATCAGGGCTAACAATAACCACCCTTTAACATTAGACCCAGCTTCCAAGTTTATAAAGCATTTTGCATAGTGAAGTGCAGCGTCCAACTTCCTTTGCTCTGCACATTCTAAACTCAAATAGTATATTACAAGGGGGTTACTCATTCCGGTCAGTTTGCTTGCAGTTTCCAGAGAGTCAAGTGCTACCGATTGTCTCTCAACCCTCTCAGAATTAGAAATAGCAAATTTTGAGTGTGTTGAAAGTGAAACACCAAGTAAGCAACTGGAAAGACCTTCCAACTGATCACATCTTCCATCCAAGCTCTCAAGCACTTTGCGAGCTAAGCTTGCCCCCTCTTTTGCAAGATCAGGGTTCTCGCAACAAATCTTAGAAGCCATTAACAAAGACGGAACATGTTTTGGGTCCTCTCTACTCAACAATTTCCTAAGAAGATTCAATGCTACCAAGTCATTACCTACTCCATAATAACAAAGAGATAAGGCGTGGTACCTTTCTCTACGATTGATAGTCCCAGGGAGTAATTCTTCCCACTGATTGGCTAAAGCTGTCAAATCCCCTGAAACAGATAGAGCAAATGAAAGGTGGTCCAAAATTGACGGATCCCACTCAAGTTTATTTAGAGAAATTTTTCTCAGCAAAATCATCAAGAGGAGTATAGCCTCTTCTAAGTTATTTCTGGGTACAAAGGAGCTGTCCATATGGGAACGGAGATTCGAGGGGATTGCTTCCCCTCCACTATATAGAAGAAAAACAACAAATTCTTTCTGAATCCTTGCTATGGTTTTTGCATCAAGATTCCATTGATGAAGGAGCGCACGCCGGTAAGACAAAATAACATCACGGGGAGAATCAGCAAGTTTGCACAATTCTGGCAGTAGCTCAACTGCCTTACTCAAAGTCTCCTGCAATTTACCATCATCACCGAAGTTTTGAGACAAGCCTTCAGGTAATGAAGACTCAACTATGTCGAGAATAACTTTACAAGTTTGGGCAGCTTCTGAAAGAAGGTTGAAAATATATATTAGATAGCATTTTATCTTCCCGTACAAAGCGTCAGTTTTAACATTCAAACTTCTTCTATCTTCCAGTGCAAACCTAAAGTTTCAAAATTCGAGTTTCTGGGATGGTTGACCGTAACTCCCTAAGTATAAAAATGCTAATAGTACGTGACAATCAAAGAAGAAAATCAGATTTCAAGGCTAAACCGAAAATTGGTGCTTTTCTATTTGAAGTCAATTTTTGTGTGTGGCCAAACGACCATTTCATTCAAACAGTAAAGGCAGGTTATTTAATAAAATTATCAACTCAAGGGATAGACCAATTGGGCATATAGTGTGAAAAAAACATGTTTTTAAGTTAATCTGAAAAACCGCTATATGTCCCATTGTGATTGGAAGAAATTCCAGAGGAACAGTATGCATAGCAGATGCAAGACCAATGCACATCAAATTAAAACCACAAGCACGCAAAATACACTATGCATGAGAGAAATACAAGTCATGTGAATAAGCAGAATTGCAGATAAAAAATAAATATGTACGAAAAGTCACAGGTTAACAAAGAGAAGATATGTGAAAAAACAAGCAGTGAGGGTACCTTTAAACCTTCCTAGAACCTGCATGCATTTCGCTTTTAGGAAAATGGCTTCCAACAGTAATCCAGCCATGTACATGGACATTGGGGGAGTAGCATAATAATGGGAATGTTTTTTGCTGCGTTCTCTGCTTTTGGCAAGGGAAATTTTCATCTTGGAAGTCACAGCGCCTATATTTATTTTCTCATAAACACGTAAAGCAGCTTCTATATTCCCTTTATGATATTCATCTCTTCCTAACAAAGCACTAGCTTCCTACAAGCATGTACAAAATCGCATCCAGTCCAATAAATTAGATCATCAAACAGCCACATACGTCAGTCATGATCTGAAAGAAACCTAGGGTTCTTCATAGCACACACATGATAAAACGAAATGAGACAACCATTTTTTAAAATATCAATAGTTAGATATATACTCAGGGCTCTCAACTATCCACAAATAAAAGTCTCACAGAAAATTCTGAAAGTAAAGTAAGCAAGAGCAAACACTAGTACATCAAAATCTAAATTATGATTCAGGGTATCATCATCACATGAAGAAAGCAAGGGAATTTTGAAGAAACCAACCTCATTGTCCAAGATGCCACTCGCACGTAAAGACAATTCAGTTTCGTCTATGTTTCCAGAATCAGACCCCATCATCTGAATTTCTCCATCGAGGCCAGAACGCCCACTCTCTGTTGAAGAATAAAATTCCCTGATTGCAAGAGATTCCAAGGAAGGAACCGCTTCATCTTCTCCTTTCTCCGGTTCCCTCACACACAGACACTTCATCATCTTCTGCAAACTCCTCCCCTGCTTAACCCTACTCCCCATGCCGCCTCAAAAACCTCTCCTCCGCAACAACACTGTCACACATTCAATTCAAACCACATCACCATCCTCTCCTAATTTTAAATCCCAATTCATACTCATTTAATTCATTACCGAATTTTTCAATTTCACAATAAATAGTTCGATAACTCTCCTGTTTTATTAGGTTCAATTCGAATCGGTTTTAAAAGCAAACTAACAAAAAAAAAAAAATCTGATAAGCTTAGATTAGACAGCGATGTTATCAGAATTAATCACATCATCCGACTAAATTAGATTAAATAAAGAAATAACGTCACAAAATCAAACTCCACACGCGATTACATAATATCTCAGCAACTGTAAATTAAATAAATAACAATAATTACAAAGAAAAGAAAATCATCCTACATAAATGAATAAAGAACTGGTAAACAGTCACAGATATTATCATCGATTGAAAGGAAGAAAGAAATAAATGAGGAATTGCCTTTTGTTTATAGAGAAAGAAAAGCAGAGTGTTGAGGAAGGGCTGGGGACAGTAACAGTAACAGTAACCGCCATTGCTGAGTTTTTTTTTTACGATAGAAGGAACCTTTGAATGCTTTGAGTCAATAAAAGCATTGAAAGCTTCTTTCTCATCTTTAGCTTTTTCTTTTCTATTTATTTTATCTTTTTCATTTTGTAATTGGAACGAAACCCCTACTCTTAGTGGTGTTGTTTGGGAGAGAAAGTGGATGCGTAAGGGAGAAGACACGAATTTTCAGAGATTGAGGGGAACGGAATCGCATGTGGAAAGTTCGTTTTCTTATTGTGGGTCCCACTCTAGGGAGTCACGAGAATTGATGTGGCGTGAATCTTATAGATGTGTGCGGTGGCACTGGAACGGCCATTAACTATACTTTGCCCTCTCCTTAACACCTAACGGGTAACGACCCTCTTTAACTAATTATGATTATTAATTAATTGAGTTGGCATAGGAAAGAGAAAATATTTTATAATAAAATTTGTTATATGTCTTTAAACTATAATTTCTCTGTCATTAAATTATTTGTATATGTGAAGTTGATATATATTTTAAATTATATAATCTAAATAAAAGTTGGACTTATCCAAATATTAAATTAAAGGTGATATAGGATTATAAATGTCTTTATTCTTAATAGCATATTAGATATTTATGTAATTTTAGATTTCAACCATTAGAATATATTTTAATATATTTTTTATATTATTGTTTATTATATTTTATTATTATAATACATGTTATCATTTTTATAATCATAATAATAATAATAATTATTATTATATTTTAATGTCATTTTATAATCATGACTATTATTATTTGTTTAATTGGAGATTTGATTGGTGTTAACAGTAAACTAAAATCTAAAGTTAATATACATGGAGAAGTTTTTAATAAAATTTGTTTAAGAATAAAATAAAATATTTTATTATAACTTTCATACGTATTAGTAAGGATTGTAAAATAGGTAGTATAGGGAATTAGACTGTAGTCAAACCTATTAATCTGTTGAGCCAATCCATTTAATTAATAAAAAAAATATTTTTATTATAATACAATCAATCATAAAAAAGACAATATATAAAATTAAAAATTATAAAAAATATAAAAAAGTCTTATTTTTATTCATTATAAGAAATACTCTCTTTTCTCAAATATAAGTTCTTCTCTTTTCTTCTATTGTTTATCATCTTCTCATTATTCATCTTAAGCATTCATTATTTTCATTTTTATGACTTAAATCAAATGTGTAAGAATTAATTAAAGAAATAACAATACGAAGTTTTATCAAATAAAAAATGTATAAATATTAAAAATATAATTTTACAAATTTTAATGTTATTTATATATATTTGTTAGTATTTATTATTATATAAATTTTATTATTATTCTAAATTATAATTTCTTAAAACAATAAATTGATCTATATTATTATCTTGAAATATATATATTGAATTACTAACAAACAAATGATAAATTTATGATTAAATTTGTTGAAATTTTGATTTATAAAAAATAAATATTTTTTTTAACTTATGACAAGTCTCGCTAACCCACCTTTAGGCAGGGACATGTTAGAATTAATTTAATTAATTCATTCTATTATATATTGAATTACTAACAAACAAATGATAAATTTATGATTAAATTTGTTGAAATTTTGATTTATAAAAAATAAATATTTTTTTTAACTTATGACAAGTCGACTCGCTAACCCACCTTTCTACGGACATGTTAGAATTAATTTAATTAATTCATTCTATTATATGACTTATGTGAAATATAATGATAAACCCAAATGTGATTTAATAAAATATAAGAACTTATGGGTTATTAGAGGAAATCAGAATAAAATAAAGATAAAATAAAATAAAAACTTACAATAACTAATTTGATGGACATTGGTTAATAAGAGAGTATTATGGTTTTGTTTCTGGTTATAAGGTTGTTGTTATAGAAAATCATTAGAAAGATGTGACAAGAGAAAGAGAGATAAATGGATAAATTGAAAAAAAGAGGTTGGAAAACAAAGATGAACACTTTCTCGTTGGATATCTCTTATGGATCAAAGTTAGTCTTCTAATTATGATTTATATTATTATATAAGAATTAGAATCTAAAGAATATGTAAAATAGTTTTCTGGAATGAATGAGAAAGAAAAAAATTATATAATGACTTATAGTCTGATTATTATATTTATAATTATTTTATGATAATTTTAAAATTATGTTTTCCATATATTAAGATAAATCTTAATTATAAATTTAGGGATTTTTCTGGTAAATTAATATAAATCTTAATTTATCCCCAACTTTATTTAGGAATCCTACTTATAAGTTTTAGAGATTTTACCTTTTTTGCTAGAATTAATTTCAAAGTAAAATTAAAAAATTGTGAATATTTGAATCCCAAAATCTGGTAATTGAATAAGTGTGACGAAACTGCAAGTACTTGCTAAACTAATTCACGTACACCAATATGCAATTGATTTGTTAAGTTATACGTGGCCCAGTATGCCATTGAATTGTGAATGTGAGATGTGAATGGCCCTAAGGAGTGCAAATGTGAAAACGTGAATGACCTTGTGCAATGATTTTAATTTCCATCAAGTGATTGACAAATTTAACAATTTTTTATTTTATTATATGAAGAATGTATTTTAATTTGCAATGATATATAGAATGTTATGTTATTGCTAAATTAAAAAAAATTAAAAAATATGTTATGAATGATTAATAATAATTAAATATATTATTTATTTAAAATTAAGTATCATAAATTTTGTTAGTAACAAGTCATCAAAATTTTAAGATTATTTAATTTTAAATTATTAATAATTTTATTTTAATTACATGCTAAAATTATAAATAATTAATTTATCAGTTAATTGAAGTTTATTATTATAAAATATTTAATGATCATCCAAAAGATTGATTAGTCATTATTATAATTAATAAACATGAAGGTAAAGATAATTTTATATGTGTCACTAGTTTTATTTATATACCTAAAGGTATTACATAATTCTAGTTGATGCATATTTTAATTATCATTAATGTTATAAAATAGTGTTGAGTTGATGAAAATATTACATCTTAAAAAGTCTCACCTTATATTTGGTAAGTAATGGAGTGAGTGATAATAGCTATATAATAGGTTTAAAGTCCATGAGGTTTTTCACCCTAGTAAAAAACATTTTAAGTTTGTATTTAACTTTTCTTATACTCTTATAATAGAGTGTTGTGAGGTTTAATTTAAATTCTTACTTTGTAGAGTGTAGGTGTACTTGGAGTCAAAGACATAAGAGAGTTGTCTATGTGTTGTACAAATTTTCACATAGTGTTATTCTTGATGAGAATTTCTAGGGTTTTATGTATGTGTATTTTTTATATATCATGTGGAGATATTTTTATTCGTGTACTTTGTGTATATATAAAGTAAAAATATTACAAAATATCAAATATTAATAATATTTCAATCATAACTGCCTAAATCAAAATAATAACCTAATATCTTTCTATATTTTCTTTTAAAAGATAATAAAATCTCTTAATACCTAATTTAAATAAAAGATAATAAAGTAATATTTCCAACATTCCTCTTTACTTTAATATCTATTTATTTGAATTTGATATTCTTCCTTTTATTTTGCTTAAAATTTTTCCTAATTTTTTTGTTTATACTTCTTGTCATCTTCCTTTTTGTATGGGATCACATATTCGTTCAACTTCACTTTCTTCATCAAAGTATTTCTTCCTTTATCAACTTCATCTCCTTTGTTTCTTTCAAACTTCTTGATAATACCGTTGACTCTTTGATAAAAGTTGGAAATGGTTTCTTGATTTATATCTTTATTTTTCTCCTTAACATCAAATTCCTTCAAGAAATATTCTTCATGCTTTTTCTTTGACTTTTCGTTTGTAATCAACTATCTAAAGTGAAATTTGTTCCTTTCATGTGAGCTTTGAATATTTTCAAGTTATTTGTTTCTTTAATCACACAAAGTTTGTGTTTAAAAGACACCTTATAACTTTTCTCCAATAATTGAGCAACACTTAACAAATTATGATTAATATCAGGAACATATCAAACATAAAAAATTAATTTAATACCCGAATGTCTTTTAACTACAACTGTTTTCATACCTTTCACATCCCTTTGTTCTCCATTACCAATTCTCACTTTAAAAATATGTGATTCGTTGAACTCTTTGAAAAGTTCTCAATCATGAGTCATGTGGTTTGTACAACCACTGTTTATAAGCCAACCTGTGGATTTGTTGATTGTAGAGCATGTTGATGCAAGGAGAAGTACCTCTTCTACTTCATCCTCTATAACTTGAACGACTTTTTTTGTTGTGATTTGCGTATATTTTCTATATGTCCCAATTGACCATATTTGTTGTGTATGTGTATTTTTGATATATCTTGTGGAGAAATTTTTATTCATGTACTTTGTGTATATATAGAGTAAAAATATTATAAAATATCAAATATT